CCAGCCGATCCAATGCATGCAGCAGCCCCCAAAAGCGAATATTTACGCAATTTTCATTATATTACCCTTTTATCCCACTATCCAGGGCTCCTATGCATCATTAGAGGGCTCTATTTTATGTTGTTTATGTCTATACAGATTATAGTGCCATCCCCTGGCCCAGCCAGTAGCCTGAGAATAGCCCAATAGCTATTTTGACCGGAAAATAGCCCCTATTTTGGGTATTAAAAATGCGGCACTGCCACTGGATCCAGCCAAAATTGATGGGCTGATTTGGGGAGCCTAAAATGGCAAAAGAGCGCACCAGAGTGGAGCAAAGGGAGGGCATCAATATGAGGTCATAAATATTAAGGGAGGGAGGGTATATATAGAGATGAAAAGATATATCTATAATGCTAGTGTGGTATAGTGGTTAGTATGCCTGCTCGAGAAAGTCATGTGATATCATTGAATTTATTTTTGAGGTCCCGGGTTCAATTCCCGGAATTGCTCTCTTTTCTAATGATGCCATCATTGACACAGATTGAGAAGCTTACTAAGCCACTTTGTCATCCTGATGGAATTACTGTATATGGGCTGGATGTAAACTGACACTCCTGATGTATCACAATTAACTGTCAACTAACACCTTTCAAACAGAAATCTAGCAGACCAGGCTGATTCTTTTCAACCTTCATCTTGTCGGTGGCTTCCAAGACTTCTTGGATGAGCACGGCACTTGTTATGGGTTTGCTTGTTAGCTTAGCTGCTACGCTGAGCGTTTTCAGGACTGGGCGGTAACTGGGGGGAAGAGATTATCGAATGTACGTGCAGAATGACTGATCGGTGATGACAGTGCCCATGCCGGCGAGTTCCTTGCCCATGCGTTGCATGTTTGAGAGGTGTGCACGAATGTCACCATCCTCTAGGCATCGTGTGTTTTGCAACTGTGAGAGGAGATCTTGCTGTACGAGGTCCCCTTTTGTCTCAAAGATGGCTACGAGTGCAGCCCATACATGTGCTGCGCTTGGTTGGTTCTTTATTTGCATGAACGTAGAGTTTGAGACTGTCTTGTAAAAGATCTCTCGCATTGAGGCCTCCTTCTGGTCATACTCGTCCTGGAGCTTTAGGTGTTTTTCGAGCTCGTCGTCGGACAGTGGTGCAAGTTCTCCCGGCTTGTAATACTCCCCATTCTTTTCAGTGAGTTCAGCTGGCTTCTTTGCGGTTCCAGTGAGGTGACGTTTTAGTCCCTTTGAGGTTGCCACGTTGGGTATTTGCTCTTTGTAGAGGATCCAATTGCTCCCGTCATCTTTGAGCCGGGGCAGGTTGAGAAGCTTCACTGTGGAGGTGGTATTCATATCGCCGAGGCCCATAACCTCTTGAGCAGTGGACCGGGGTGTACGCGAAGGGAAGGCACGGTTGTGAGAGGGAAAAAGATTCTATAAGATATATGAGTATCAAGTATATATCTCAGCGTGAAGATGTTGGTTGAACGCTGTACTGTACCTATAAGATATGTATGAGTATCAAGTATATCTATAGGTACGATTAGCAATAGTATAATAGAAATATAATGAGTATACACATACATCTCAGCGTGAAGACGTTGGTTGAACGCTGAGATGCTGCGATGAAAAAAATAGACTAATCAGGTATGTACCAGTAATCTAAATATAGTCCATGGCTTGCAGTTAACGCTCGCCATGCTCAACACTTCGGGCTCTTTGGAGTTTTCTTTTCTGGGGAGTACCTCTTCTCCGCCTCTGTTCTAATCTTCCTCGTCCCTTTTACACCACGATTTTGGAGTTATCTTCTGACAGCAGAGCCTAAGACCGGGGAAGGTATCACCAGACGTGAGTGGATCAATCTGTTCTTATTCTGCTTTAGTCGGCACTTACTTGGCTTTGTAGTGGTTAGCTTAGCGCAACCACGATCCACTATAGTTCGTCAATCACAGAAGGGGATAAAGACTCTGAAGTGAGCCCTATCCGTCGTTCGATGGCTATTTGGTCAGCAGGTGCTGGTAATCGATCCACCCTATGACAGAAGTATGTGGTTTCAGTGTGGCCCTCATGGGTAGGAATTCGGGCAGACGTGAGATTTTGCTGGTTTCTGTGGATCACATCTGCTGTCGTCCCGAAACAGTGGATATGGTCTATGGGCATCATGATACTCGGTATCATTGGGTGCTCAAGAGGAATCTCTCAGGAGAAACATCTCACGAACTCTGATCAACAAATTGTTTTCAGCTACTTTTTACCATAGGCGCAATACGAAAAGGCAGGAAGAAGTTAGACGGCCATTTTCATACTCGACGCTCGTGACCATATGCTTCATTCTAGCCCTTGGTCGGTGATAAGTATGGTGACCATTGTGGCATCTGTTGTATATTGCGGTAATTATATGATTCCAGTCGAGTTGTCACCCACTCTAATGCGTGAATCAGGCATCTAAAAGGGTTTCTAGGACAGTTCCCGGTGAACTAAGAGATTTTATGACAGTGTTTGGGTGCCAGTCATCAATTCAATATACAGGAGCTTCGTTTCATATGGAACCATAGTTCATGTCAATGGAACGGACATGGAACTGGACAGAAGAGCCAACTATGATATATGAAGTCCCGTCTCCCTAAATCTAATAAAAGCTGGTAGACCTTTTCACGGGGTTGTGATTAGCTAATATTCAGACTGTATGGATTTGGGCAGCGAGCAAACCTTGATATGGTATTTTCACCTGAGGCCATATTTTGCCTCATAATCCGTCTGTCCTAGTTCACTTCTCACGTCGATATTGATCTGCCTTTGAGGAATGCCGATCAGATGCCTCATCGTATCACAAAGTTATTCCTTCTCATCCTCCCTTATGTTCGCTCACTGATTCTCTCTTTAGATGCTACAAAAAAAGACTTAAATGCCAATGTGAATATTGTCAATCATCTCGATCAGCCTGACATACACCCTCCTGGCCTGCAGCTGTTCGCAGCCCTGATGCTGGACTTCTTTCTTACGGTACATCAAGCAATGCTGATTGTTACGTTGTAGATATGTGGCATGATTCGCAAGCAGTCTCTCCTGGGCAGACCTCAAATCTTAGCCGTCGTATAACCGGTCCGAAAGAATGTCTCCTCATTACCGTGTCGATGAGGGATTATCCTCTCTTCTCTTATCATCTTCAATGCCATAGCTCGCACACCTGCATACAACGATCCACAACATTACCATTCATTTCACAGTCCAGCGCTATCTTCTTTTCAGTCAGTGATAACAGGTCTCCCTAGTCTTCGCCTCTCCCTCTTCGTCCGCTTGGACTTTATACTGCGTTTTAGCTGCCAGCATGTGGTATAGTGCATATCCGCACCTTACCTACAAAGGTTGTTCCATGTCTTTGTCAGCAGTTATACCCTGTCATCGCACTTAACAAGGGTCCGTCATTGCTGCTACATTTCTTAAGAAGTGATCCGACCAATGTCCGACCCTCTGCTTCACCGAGACTTTGTTCGACGTTGTATGTTGCTGTCAGCATGCCTGCTCACCATTCAGAAGGGCCATGGTTGATGGTCCGCCAGGTGCTGAGATTGTCGCTGAGGCATGGCCCATATTCTCCGGTGCAGTGGTGCATCCAAAAACACGGCAGATACGACAGGCGTGGGGTGAGGTTGTTCTCACTGAGAATGGACTCTGGATATGAGTTCCATGAACCTTTGCTGCCGCAAACCAGCCATTACCTTACCACCCAGCATCGCCCCCCTGCAGTCTCGAAGTGCCCCTCAAGACCGCCTTCCAACTCGAAAACAACCCCTCCCAAATTCACCTTCGAAGGGCCCGACAACGCGGCTGTTCACAAAATATCGCACCAAGAGGAGCTGACGCTCCTGACCATCTAGAAAACACTGGGGTCGAACCCGAGAACGTGGCCGTTTGGGTATGGGCATGATAAGGAACTGTTGAAACCACCATCGTTACGTGAGTCTTGGCTTCATCATGATTGCTCAGCCTCGACATTTTTTGATTGTAGATCGACTGACCGTAATGTTGTGTCGCCATATAACTCGATCAAGGGTGACTTCGTCACCTCCTATGCATCTTCTGAAACAATAGGCTCTTCGCATCACCGTTGACCGATTCAGAATGCCATCTCCAAAATGGGATGGGATTTGCAACGATGTTAAGTATGGACTGTTATGTGTTACTGTTCCCTTTCGCCAACCCGAAATCTTAGCATGGTCTATAGCAATGGTTATTACGCTTACCCTGAACCAACGGGAATGGAATGCCTTATGGACCCGGACCATTGTCCACTTTTCCCTCTGTATCGACATCAGACGTTTGGTGAGTCTAGATTTCCAAAAACATCTTCCCCAATCTCATCTCTGATCTCGGATTATGACCATTGACGACTTCTTTGGTGAGAGGTTGTGGACTGTCGCATACGAGACTCTGTATCAGCCCTAGGATAAGGTGGACAACATCTAGATTGGCATGAAGTCGTGTACCATCCTGCATGGTGAATCAATGGAAAATAGTACACCTTTCTCATCTGCTTGCTATCTCAAAGAGCGAGGAACTGCTTATTACGTTACTGTAGCACTTTCAGTCTTTGATTTTCCAGGAGTGTGGCCTCGTGACGGATTTTGACAACTTCCCAGGTAGTGTATGAAGGTTCTCTTACACACGCCGTGTCGTAAACCATTTTCTAGTGTTCTAAATTCAAAACTCTAAATCGCGAGTCGGATAAATATCCGGCGGCCCCAAATCGGGGTTACTATAAATAACGTTCAAACTGCGTATTGATAGTAGCCGTAACATCAAGATACACGTCTCAAACTTGTTCCAAGCATGTGGCTGACTGAATATACGCTTTTGTGGACTATAGAGATCACTACAAACCTGTGACAGAAATGTTCTACTAACAAAACAGACGTCTCGGATCTTCTGGAATCAGAATTAATTGTATAATAAATGTAACAAGTCGCAGCGTAGTTTGCAGATTACCTATCCACGTCGAAAAGAATATGGTTCAAATCATGTAAATCTATCCAAAAGCGAGTTAGGTAGCGTCTCGATTATATAGTCAGAGAAACCGTACCCAGGCATCAACATCTCCCGTAACCACTCAGAGTTATTCAATCCTTGTATCGATGTAAGCACGCCACCTTCTGGCATACTCCCCAGGCTCTCTGCCCCACCATTCCCGATATTCTCACCCTCGTGCGTGAAATAAAGAAACTCCATGCCACTTCCAAACTGCACTGGCCAGATGCCGGCAGCATGACTCGCCTCCGGCCCGGGGATCTGTAACTGTGGCCATTGGTAACCTGCAGAATCATGGTTGTGGTCCTGTGTAGTCTGAGATCGCTGGTAAGTACCATGATCCCCACCCATTTCGCCAGCTGTGCACATAGGTATGCCTGTATCCTTTGGAAGGGTGTTCTGTAAGGCTCCGATAGCTATCGCCTGGGCGCAGTTGTATCGATACTTGCTCAACAACGTAGCCAAGAACCTAGCATACAGCTTCGGGGTATGACGGTCATCTACTGCTATACCGGATGAGCTAAACTGATCAATCAAGGTCTCGATGAGCTTAATGCTCTCGTCTTTATCGGCCTTGCCTAGGAGAGACGAAAATTCTGGTCGCAAGATCTGTTTGTTCATTAGGTCAATTAAATACGAGGTCTATGATGCGGAATGTACCTTGAACAGGAATACAGCTGCGAATGCGACACACAGAAAATTGCGATCTGGAGCGTACCGCAGAAATCCGCTAGGCGCCAAATCCTCGTTTACGCATCTGATCAGCAATTTAGAGCATTCGAGGGACTGTAAAATGCATTAATGGACTCGGCATAGAGGAAAAAAGTGCCGAACCTTGCTAAAGAAATAATCATACCAATTTTCTATACCGGCATGAAACACCTGATGGAAACCAAAAGAGAACATCACCAGCCTGAAGTAGGCTACGAAACTGCGTGAAAACTGAGTACGTTACGACCGGCTTGAAGATGGTTTCTGAACTTACAAGTTCAGCATGCCGCACCTGAGCATAGCTCCACGACTGAATCCCCCAGCCCTGAATTTCTTCTTCCATTCCTCCTCGAATACTTCTATCTCCACATCATATCTCATGGTGATGTCCCGCAGATTTCTCCTCTCCGAGTTGATCAGTTCGCTCTGATCTAACTTCAACACCTCTTCATGGAACCTTGCTACGATGCGCAGAAGGGCGTTGTACCCGCACATGTGCACGTCGTAATCGAGATTATATTGAGATTGTTTATACCACTCCTCCGAATGACGGATAATCGTATCCTCCTTCATCATCCAAAGTTTTCCAAATTGTATCGCTGTTCCTCGGTCGATGTAGAAGCATAATTGCCAGACACGCACTCGATTGAGGGCCTCACGTTCCTCTTTCTCGTTCGCTGAGTCGATTTTTGGTGTCCGATCCAAGTGTAGAGCAGTCGCAATGCTGTTGAGAAGTTGGAAAAATGAATATATACCTAAGAAACTTGAACGCACCTGATGGCTAGACCCGTATATAACCAGCTCTGATCTCTGTCCCAGCTTTTCTGAGGGACGGCATACATGCTCATCAATATGTATGCCTGACATAGTTCGATACTTTTCATTTCATCGTGAATTAGGGCGTTTGCAGCCGAATGCTTGGCAAAGCGCATGGCTAACGGGTAAATGCTTGCTTTTGGGGCATAGTATCGACACGATATCGCGCAGATAACTGCGAAAAGGACGGGACTTCTAGTCAAAGTCGATTTCGGAGTGAGCAAGATCGGATCGAGGATGGATATGAAGGGCTAGATGATGATTAGCGTGCCTTGCATAGAACGAACCTATATTTCCTCACATTGATATATTTATAAAAGCTAACCAAGCGGCAAGTCAGAACAAACGCGGCAAAGCTCGAAAATGATAAAAAACCTCACATGTCAAACAATTGCTCAGCGTCATCCAGTGTCACAAGACCGAGTACCAGTATATCTGGAGAATCAAACTCCTTAGAACGACTTAGATTAAGTCCTGGACGGAGAATTCCGTGAGCAAACTCAACAGTGAATAGGAACACGACTATGATCAAACGAACCATGTTCTGAGTATCCTTCGCAGGCCTCGCTGTGCCAAGCAATGCCGTGCTGAGCATCTTTGCGCTGTCGTTCGTTTTCCTTCCAACTTGGAAACATCAAATCCGGGGGTCTGTCAGGAACATGCGGAGATTCCATAAGTGCAAACTGCGTCCGTTCGTGCTCCTGGCGGCCATGAGAAAGCGAATCATGATGTTCTTCGTCTCCTCCGTGTAGAAAGTTAGATGAGATCCCGGTACCTATTTGTACACTGGAATTGAGACGATCGAGCCAGACAAGAACATTGGGATCGTTGGCATCAGAGGGTGATATAGATTTGAGGTATTCGTTAATCGAATGAGGTGTTGCACGGTAGGGGTCATAGAGCTGTTTGATGAGACTCTCAATGACAGCGTCTTTCTGCCGGATTTCGGCCAGAAGGCGTTCACGCTTGCTGTAGCCTGATCAGACTGCTTTCAAGGGTATACGTGTATACAAATAACTTACTAAACCTTTGGTTTCGGGGCCTCGACGACGCATTGGTAACCTTTGGGTTTGCATCGCTTGCATGCCTTTTCGTTGAGTGGAAAGTCGCATTTCATCTTGACTTTCTTGCAGTGAATACATGCACCGGGCCGGCGTCTAAGGACATCATCCCCGCTGCCATTAGACGCATCTTCTTCATCTTTCAAGGGCGGGCGCTTTTTCTTGTTCAGGGTCTGCTTCTGTTGCTGCTGCTTCCCTGACGGAGGAGTCGGTGACCGAGGATCTGGAGGATGATCCTGATGTCTGACGCTGGCTGGCAATTGGTCGAAATCGTTGTCCTGCTGCTGATGCGGCTCCGTCGGATATTGATCATTGACATGCTGAGATGACTGCTGTCGCGATTCATAGTCGTTTATGTTAACGTGCTGTTGGTACCACAGGCTGTAGGCGTCTCGAGATGATTGGAAAAGCGCAGAATTAGAATCGTAGTAGGAGGGAGTGGGACCAGTCATCATGGCAGTCTGAATGTTGTCAGCCTGAGGCTCACGTCTTAAAGTCTCTTTGCGCAACTGGCCGAGTCAATCACGGATTTTGGATCTTCCCGATTATGGAGGTGAATAAGGCGCAGTGGAAGGGCCTCCGACACCGATCCGGAGCGAAATACTTCACCCTCTACACAACAACAGGGAGGAGGTCAGGAACAGACAGATCCGAACTGTTACAACATTAGTGTTTGGCGCTTAATGTATGACTGAATAGTTACTTTAAAATTTCAAGGTCCCTAGTCACGCTTCGGTGCTAGTTGGTACTAGTATACACAACCTCGTGGTTCGCCCAGTCCGTTCCTGAGAGAAATCGGTATGTTAGTATTTCTTCCTTGGCTCGGAAGTGATTATGCGATATTAGCTGACCGTTTTTCATCACGAATCCTTCAGCGTGATTCATAAGTTAGAGTATGGCTATGCTGAATGCTTACTTCGAATGATCAAAGAATTCTCCCATCTGTTTCGAGATGAAGTGAAGACTGCTCCAATGTGATCGGTATCAGAACTTGAAGGTAATTCCGAACTTGGAGGACCCACCGACAGAAATAGAGAACTGACAAGGATACGAACGCCTTACGGGATATCAGCTCCACAGATACTTCGGAAATACATTAGGAGAACCAAGAGATTGCGTCGTTGGGTAAGGCATCCAATCAATGACGATAGACATGACAAGGACGTTACTATGGGTGTTCGGCTCATCGTTTATGCGCTTCTCGAGCTATGCTCCAATAATCAGGTCGCAGAGGTTTTAAGACCTAAGTAGGGATAAAATCTTTATAGTACTTATCACGTTCACAGGACCATATGAACGCCGCCCTTTTTCTTTGATACAACGGCGAACGATGTGCTTTGCTTTCACATGCTGTTCCCAGATGGCGGGGTTCTTTTAACAAGGCTCTGTACCCGGACCAAAGGATAGACAGTTTCGGGGGGAGGGGGGACGCTTCCATGGAATTATTCACAGCCAGCCGTGTACTATGCGTGTAGTTGGATCACAGGTCGTCCACGAGGCTTCAGTTGGTCTCACGCCGAAGACAACCGGAGATGACTCTTCCCCTAAGCCAAAGCGTAAACAGCGAACTGAAATCGAACCTACCTGGGAATGCAATGTATGCAACGGTAGTGACATCTTCAATAGAAGTTTTCTCCGCAGCTATAGAATACACTCACTGAGTTTGTCACGGCTGGTTGGCAGGGCCAACTGCTTTTTTTTTAGTTTTTTTTTGTAGAGTGAGTTCGGACTTCGAAACCTTAAATTGTGATTTAGCGGATGGACGACTGAATGCCGCACCAAACACTCTAGATATGGGAGCGCGGGGAATTTTTGCTGATGAAAAGTGGCCAAGTTTCCAATAGTTACGATAGGGTAGGATAGGAATCATAGTAGGATACACTCACACCGGATAGATGAGAATTTGAGGGGAGCCAGAATGTACACAATAAGGTAACGTTTTGGGGGGTCGATCTTGGCAGTGAATTTACATAAAATTTGCGTGCTCCCGAAACTTATTTCTAGCGGGCGGCATGGATTTTGGATCTTCCAAAATCCGAAGTTCGTTGACTCCCAAACGATGCTCCTAAAACGTTACATTTGTGCTCAAAATTCCGGTCCGTCACAAATGTCCATCTTCCCGGTATGACTTGAAGTTGTTTGTTTAGTCACTTCGCTCGGGAATTGCCGAAGCAGGGCAGGGGATCGTTTAGGGTTAGGGTCACACTGACTCTTGGAAGATTTCTTCACCTGTTTTCACCTATCGATACCACCTTACTTACTGTAAACCTCATGTTCACCTAAATTTCCAAAATTCCGGCAACAAGGAGCATTTTCTTCCCTACTTTGCTACTCTGGCGCTTCCACGTTTCATCTTGCCAATTTCTTCGGGATGTGCAGAGCTCGAGTCGAACTTCAATTTGTGCCACAACGCGCGCTACAAGCCGCCATGACGAGGGGTTGACTTGTGCGTGACTGGTAGACCTACTCCCCATATCCGATTGGGACACAATGGGAATCATGAATCATTCACACCGGAAGAGGGTGAGTTTCCGTCTCTTTGAGCATGTCTTGAACTCATTTTCTGGGTATTGATTTAGAAATTTTGAGTTGTACGGTCGCATCAGGAAGGCTGAAGAGCTTACGTTCTCAGGTATCTTCTGGAATTCCCAAGAAAATGCTGTAAATTTCATGTTCTTCGATCCTGCGCGGTCTTTACTCTGAGACGGTATCATCATGCAGTAACCCTATCCCCCTTTCATATATCCGAAGTCGGGTCTTCTGCGGTATACATTCAAAAATCCGCCCGTAAAGAATCTGGTCGGACGGCACAAGGATAATGAAGAAATCGGGACAGCTCCACAAAGCAATGCGCTAATATCGCATCGACTTGAATTGCTCGCGCGCCCCACAAGAAATCAGCCGCTACTCCAATAGTTAGCGCGGGTGCAGAAGACCACCTGTAACAAGCTCCAGTGGCTCTATTTCAGTGCTAGGCATCCTCTATCACAGCGCTGTTTCACCGAGGCCAGTTCCTGCGATTCAGTCCGATATGCCTGCCGACAACGGGTTTGTGTAGGTGTCCGGTATATACTGGTCGATCTCATTGCGTTCATCCTGACCCACTGTCTTTCGTCTCCTAGAGACCAAGCAGGCGTATATATTGGTTAAACCCAAGGAACCGCAACTGTAAGCTTCCGAGTTTTTACCGCCTAAACCACCATCATGCTCAAGCTAGATCACGAAATCCTTGCCGCTCTGCTTGAGAATGATGATTTCGCTTCATGAAAAGGTCGCTGGAATCATTCCCCCAAAGGCTCAAACAGGTTTACCACGAAAACGTCGGTCTACTCTTCATCACTGTTCCACGGGCGATTCTTTTCTTCGTAGACCTGAGCGTCAAGAAGCAGAACGAGCGCTCGACCTGGCCAAGTCTACTATCAAGGTGACGGCACTGTAGTTTTCATCGGTAATCAGCGTAAGCCGACTATCTCTATACATAGGACACACATCCGCGCCGCGCGATTGTCATGTGCTGAGCAAGGGTCTGACCTACGTGCCCCGCGGAGTCTTGATGCTATGTATGCGTTTCCCTAATTCAGTTATTCGACCCCAAAGGTGTCCGAGGCTTTCTATGTATTTCACTAGGGTGTTTTTTAATTTATTGATCGTTGCCACAAAATTTCCTGGAAACTTCTATTCACTGAAGTATTCCTCTTCCGAAGCTACCGTTCTAATGTTTATTGTCGCCTTTACAACCACAACATTTGGAGAAGTCGAAGATCGGGGATAAGTCTCCCGCGGACGTGAGTGGATCCAGTCGTTCTGACTATTTCTGTAGTGGAAACTGACTTCGTTATAGTGGGTCAGCTGTGTGCATCGTGTCACCCAAGGCAGGGGACGAGAACCGAAATGAGCTCTGGATCGCTAAGACCTTGTGATTGAGCCGACCTATAATCCAGAATGTTCTGGTGTTGTTGTGGGCTTGGTCAGTGCACTAAGAAATTCGGATCACCTATGTAAGACTGATATCTTTTATGTACGCGACGGACCGTCGAGGCTGACCAGCAAATCGTTTTCAGCTGCTTCTTACCATGGGTTTGTAACGTTTTCAGGTGTCGTTGCTTTTACTCTGTTTCCTATGTCTTTTTGATTTTTGCGCGTAACTTGTGTCCATAACGGTGTGAGACAACCTTCTGGCTCTTGGTCAGTATTGCAGTCATTGTAGCATTTTCCGTATACAGCGGTAATGATATGATTATATTCGATTCGACTGGTAACTTCTTACAGCACATCAATCAGGCACATGAGATAGCTCTTGGACTGAGAAAAAGGAATGTTGTATGAGATTGTTCGAGAGTTATCGCTTTGGGGAATCTTGTTTCACCCTAGAGAACCTTTATAATTAGACATGCCTTCAGAAGAGGATCAATTCTCCTCGAGTCCGGTTCTAAACATTAAAGAACACGTCGTTGATATCGCGTCAGGGTATCCACGATAGAAAAGTATGAGGTATACACATGGAAATGGAAATATCTCATAGGATTATGATGCTTCCTGACGACAGACGAGATATAGCAGCTTTCCTGAGTCGCCCCGGAGAGTTGATGCATATGCAAGCTTGGAGTCTTGAATAGCGACTAGGGAAAAGCTGGGTATCCTGTAGAGAAAAATTATCTAGGAGGTAATCGGTAGTAAATTATGAATCTATATGAAGGACACGTATCATCATCGTTGTACACAGTACCGTTGTGGGTTGCCCCCCCCAAGAACTAGCCGTCGGATAACCGGATCGGATGCCTATAGTGCCTCTTCCATTACCACTATGGCGACAGTAATACTACGCTCGACCCGTCGCCTCAGCTCATAGGTCGTGGTAGTTCTGTGTCTGCCTACATTATCCTTGCTGTCTCTTGTCGCTTTCAGCGAAGTCCAGTTGGTCGGACGTAGCGCAGCCTCAAGCCTACCACTGGACGTTCAAGCAAATTTACAAATCTCAGTATTTCCTTCTCCCTGCCTCTTCCACTTGCATACAATGATCCAATTGATTCATATTCATCTCGTTTCCCGGTGCTATCATCTTCTATTCCAGTGAGAACGCGTCTTACCGGTCGTCTTCGTCCAGTGATGATTGTTGAACGTCTTGCATATGCCATGGAACGTACCCACGAATTAACTGTAGAGATAACTACGCATATATGTGCATAATTCTACCTTGCCCTGCCAGTATTTCTGACAAGAGTTCGTCGTTGCTGCTTAAAAGCGACCACGTTAATATCCGACCTTCAACCTCTACCGGAACTTCCTCGATGTCGCACATTACTGCATCTTGTCCAGTTCAGAAGTGGGCATCATTGGTAGCCTGCCAAGCACTGAGGCCATCTACATCATTGGACACATCCAAGTATGCGGCGGATCAACAGGCATGGTGTCGAATTCGTACTCGGTAGGAATGGATATTCTGGGGTTTGGGTCCATGTTATTGATTTTAACTAGGTGCGTATATTAATAATTGTCTTTCAACCTTTGGTCAATAACTCTCAGACGCAGGTTCGCAGGTGGAACTGCACCGTTGGAACTGTTGTCCACCTTCTCGATACATACAGGGATCAAACTGTACCTCCCATTCCTATGCCGAGGCGACAGATCATACGAGACATACAGATACAGACATCGCCCAACCTACAGTGAACATGCTGCCATTGCTGATGAATTTCTAAATCGAATCATTGCCCTACAAGCAGAAGGTGGCGTGTAGTTTGGTGAGGATGGTGGCTTGTCCCCTCAACTTGCAAAGTCTTCCCATCCGAAAACCGACGGCTGGCTTTCCCAGTATTTTTTTTCTTCCCTAATGCCCTTTCCTGGCATTGGAGTCCCGAAGTCCAAGAAGCTCACCTTTCTCATCTCGTCGTTCCGCGGATGTCAGTAGTTCTCGCGGCGATAAGCAATCTAACCTTTGATCATGCACTAGCCTGGGACGGTAAGATGACTCTTTGCATCTACCCATGCATCACGAATAGAATGGTACGCTTTTCTGAGGGACACGTTTTACCAAGCTGTCGCATGATATCAAAGAGAGTTCGGAAATAGCGCAGGGAACACATATGGTTAGTCTTCATCGTTTTCAACGTCAGGCTCTCGACTTATCCTTTACTCCTGCCGTGTGGCTTTATTCGTTTTGTTAATTTTGTTGCCACTGGTCGTTGTCTCCAAGTCTCCATAAGCTAAATCATGCTACGGAAGTGAGTCGTTTTCTGGCTTTCTCATTCGCGTTCTAATGTCCATGTACAGCCTGTTTTTACGACGATTCCTGTCTTCCTTCACATGTGAACAATCATAAGGCAAAGAAAAATACACTTAACGCCAGTAGAGGTGTTTTAGTCGAAAATGAATACGATGTTCTCGCTATTGATCCGCGGGTTTATTTTTGGGGTTGAGACGCCCTTACCGATAATCATTTAGGTCAACTCTCAAGAAGTATTGTAACACAAGTCTCTTCACTGACAAATACCCGTAGGTTCATGACCTATAACTTCAAGCTCAAGTTCGACAGACACTATATCTATAAGAATATCCGCAGAACGCCACGATGACTTGTCAGATAAGCTTTGCCATTGGAGCCATACGTACAGTTGGAATACTTCTTCTCACCCACCAAACCCCGAAGAAGCACGTATGCCTATATTAAATGCTGTCAACCATTCGGTTTGACAGCTAGCTACGCCTCCCTCTTTTCTCATTATGCTGGGACTCGATGCCGGAGGCTCTATTGCATTGCCCTCGGAGTGTTCTAGGTCCTGGAAAACCCTGTTCAAACAGTTTTTCTACGATAATGGGGCCCTCCTTCTCATGACTGCATCGCAAGGAGTTTACTCTATCCAGGAGGTCAGCGTTAAACAAATGAGCAAGCTTGACCCGGCATTGCCTACACTTGAGGTAAATAATAAAGCTCTCGTTATTCTTGGCTGAAGTTTACTTTTTAGTGGCTGATATTTCGATCGGTATGCATTAACGCGATACATTTGAGAGTCAAGAGATTTCCATCTAATCACCATCCTTCAAGGTCTTGCAATACATACTCTGCCTATGCGCGTCGCTATTATCGCGCGTCGCAGATCCAATCATGGGGCCAAAGGGTGTCAGAACTCTGCTCGTAAGGAACAAGAGGATGATGACAAAAAGGGGAAAAAGCGACCGACATCCATCCCCGCAAGCCGAGATCAGATGGACGCAGGTAAAACCTGCAAGGAATGATATTACGTTCGCTAGTTGAGGTTCAACTCAAGCAGAAGGAAATACGAAGCAGGGACAAAGAAGAATGGGATATCCGGACATACGTTTACGTGCAGGATACGGTACACAAAGTACGACTTAGGATACAAAAAAAAAAAAAAAAAAACTCTGCTCGTGTGGCAAGGCACGTTCGGGTACGTCTTTTCATCCTTGTCTTTTTAAACTTGAAAGCTCACCCTCACGGCTCAGATTTTGCGGGATGTTCGGAATATACTACTCACTCAAGTATCTCGCCTTATCCGAAGTCACCGCGTTGATTTTCCTTGCTCCCTTTACGACGGCGATACTCGGAGTTATCACTTTGGGGGAGAAGATTGGCCTTGGACAAGGACTCGCCGAGTGTGAGTGAATGCCATGTTGACTGCGACTCATTATGAAAGTTAAAGAGGTCTACAGTGTTTAGCATGGTCGGCGTTTTATGCATTGCGCAACCTGCATTTCTCTTTGGTTCTGCGGTCGAGGAAGAAAATCTTGTCCTTGACATCGATCCTAGCCATCATACGATAGCAATTGGGTGAGCCAGGACAGTCCATTTCATTGCCACTTTGCTTGAATTAAATTTTGTCTCTCTTGGTAGCGCGGCGTTGGTAGGTGTGCTCGGACTGTCAAGTGATTGTGGGTTTTCATTTCATCTTTCACTACAATGTCGCTCATCCATCAAATTTCCCCAAAGACACGGTGATACGAGCTATTGGACGACGCGCACACTCATATCATTGTATGGCATACCACGCTTTGCAATGCGGGGTTGTTGCTAGCATTGTGTAGGCCATTCCGTTGCTTTGGTTGTGGATGACATATATTTGCTAACATACGGAAGGATGCTTGTGACTCAGACACCGTTCGTTATGCCTACACAGTGGTTGTGGCTTACGATTATTGTTCTCTGTGCATTTCCTGCCCAGGTGATTTCAGATTATTCTGTGGGATAAACGTGATACTGATTCAGATTCTCAGATGTTCGCGGTAATGGGCTTACAGCGGGAGACGGCGGGTAGGGGAACGACTGCTATATATACTAAGGTAACCATTACAGCCGCCCTTCTTTGGCAAATTCTATTCATTGGCTTCTATGCTTAGCTTATATTCGTTACAATCCTCGAGCATATATTCTTCGACTTCCATCCCACTTCTTGGACGGTGACCGGAATGGTCATAATTGTGGTTTCGGCACTGTATATAGCGGTATGCGTCATGCGTCGTCTGCGGTTTTCTCATGATATTAGTTTTTTTTTAAATTTACATTCCAGGTGTCCAAACCAGAACGCAGAATCACACTTATAATCGAAACAGGCTCTAATGAAGAAGAGGCGGAGGAGGCAGTTTAGACGAGTAGCTTGGCTCTGGAAGGCTCTACTTCGTTACTAGGCAAAATTCCACGACATTGTACGTATTTCTTGACGCACTCTGCTGCGCTTTTTCTTATCTTCGTCGTTCGGGTATGTACTCAGGCCACCATGTGGTGGGAATTCCTATACAGCTTTTGTGCGATTGCACCACTGGTGATGGGGAATAGAGATTGAGCGGGGAATGGAATAGACTGAAATGGAACATCAAAATGAGTCTCGTGAACGAGGTGATGGGTCTCCGGATCGGTTTATCCTGATCTACTTCCCTCGTGCGTGAACCAGCTGACCTCTAGTTGCCGCACTACGATACGAGGTGCCGTCGAATACTTGGCTGCATTTGAAAAGATCCGACGCCACAGTTCAAGTGTATAAAGGTCGCCACAAACTGCGATTTTCCATCAGATCTCGGGGTCTTGCCCATACATCAGATTACCCACCATGTGGAAAGTTAGGTCAGACAGGATGCCCTATTTTGGCCTTACAGGGATGGCACTGAACGCTTGGGTCAATGTCGCGTGTATCACGGCTATGACGCTTTTTGGTGCGACGCATCCCGTTCTTTCCCACGTTTCTATTGAAGTAGAGGTACATATCAGGATACGATCAAGGCGTATTTGGCGGGATCATCGTCACGGACGACTTCTTGAAGCAGATGGGTTACCCCGACTCGAGCCTCCAAGGCACAATCGTGTCTCTGTACGATACTGGATGGTGGGTTGCTTAGTGTCCGTTTTATTCGCGTCTGACATATTACCTCCATAGTTTCATCGGTGCCATGAGCTCGTTCGTCATTGGTGAAAGATTTGAGCGGAAGAAGATGCTCATGTTCGGAGTCATTGTGATGTCCGTTGGAGCCATCATACAAACGTCCTCTTATAATGTACCAACAATCATTGTCTCTCGTATTATAACTGGTATAGGTAATGGGTGGGTTCTCCTTTTATTCTGATGCCGTTTCTTCTCAATGACGTCTATCAAGCATTAATACAGCTACTGCCCCAGTTTGGCAAAGCGAGACTACTAAACCCTCTCTTCGAGGAAAGGTTGTCGTCCTTGGAATGATGTACGGGATTACCTTTATTTCTTCATGTACGCACGAACACGGAATAACGTCTCTTCCTAGTATGAATATTGCGGGATATGCGATCAGCAATTGGATGACGTTCGGACTGAGCTATGTTGGAGGAAACATCAGCTGGAGATTCCCCCTCGCCTTTCAGCTTGTCTTTTCGGTCATCATGCTCTGCACTGTTCCGTGGCTTCCCGAGAGTCCTCGTTGGCTTCTTGCTCATGGGCGTGAGGCAGAGGGTGTGTTAATTCTCATCGTGCTTGAAGGAGAGCATGTCAAATCGACAGACACTACTATCGTTACGCAGAAGGCGGAGATTCTTGAGGCCGTTCGCATTGAAAGGGAGACCTCTCCAAGCTTGTCGGACCTCTTGCACGGACGTACTGGTGAGACTGGTATGGTAAAGCGCATGTGTCTCGGCGCGGGTGAGCGTTGCACTCTCCGTTGCAGATAAGTGCCTAATGCTCGGGTCCTTAGGAACGCAATGGATGCAACAGTTGTCTGGAATCAATGTCACCAGCTATTAGTGGGTTAATGCCCTTAATATTTGTTCTTTCGCTGATTTTTTATAGTCTTCCTCTCGTCTTGCAAAACTCTGTCGGTCTATCGAACCGTCTCTCTCGGCTCCTCGCTGCCTGCAATGCCATCTCTTATCTCGTCTTTTCCTTCGCCGGCCTTCATCTTATCGAGCGAGCTGGTCGGAGAAAACTCTTGATATGGGGTGCAGCAGGCCAGGCCGTATGTTATATCTTCATTTCTGCCTTGCTCTCTCAGGGCGGGACGAATTATGGTGCTGCTGCGACCGCCTTCTTCTTCGTGTACTATATCTTTTTCGGTGTCTGTTGGCAGGTGAGTAGACCGTACCTTTTGACCCGACAGTTGTTGAGTACCATGTAGGGCGTTCCGTGGCTGTACCCTGTGGAAATCAATTCCCTGTCGATGCGAACAATGGGCGCGGCGTTAGCCACTGGAAGTAATTGGATATCCAATTATTGTGTCGTACAAGCGACGCCTCCAGGTATTCAGCACCTCGGCTGGAGGTTCTACCTCATCTGGATGACGTTCAATATCGTGATTATTCCTGTAGGTCGATGCAATCATTGATGCAGGAGGATATACTCAAGCTTTCTCCAGGTCGTATACCTCTTTTACCCGGAGACTTCAAATAGACATCTAGAAGACATAGATCGTTTGTATAGAGAACACAAGGGAATGGTCTTTGTGTTCCGAAACAAAGAGGCCATACAGATGGAACGACCAGAGCGCTACTCATTGACAGATGAAGAGAGGGTATCTCAGGTGAAAAAGAATCTAGTTGATGTAGGAATTATAAACCATTTGGAGCATGCAGAGAACGAGGAGGATACGTAGAAACCAGGAAAGTACTGAGTTCGACGAACAGCGTATGACAACCATCGAGTATTTATCGTACGTCATACTATTCGACGATTTTACTGGATGATGAAGGATATGATTGACACGGAGAATGAAGGCGAGTTTACCCTCTCCGAGCAGACATGTCGGGGTGAGAATAAACGCTCAAGGGAGGGAGGCCCCCGGGGAACGCGGGCATGTTAACTTAGTTGCCGGGATCATCCGGACGCAACGGTTGCCCAAAATAGGAGTATGAATAATCTTTTTCTCCCCGTCAACACATTGAAGTCTTCCCTTTAACTGACACACCATACCGTCTGCCGAGGACATGATACATACGGATATGTTTTATAAAGTGAGTTTGCTTTTACAATTGAACAATCTGCTTACGTTCGCAAATCCTCTCTATCCCTAGTTGTTGACGCTACACGTGTAACCTGTTCAAGCTATTCCCAGTGCCAATTTGATGCGACTTGCCTAAGACGTGAATAAACAATGACGTGCCTATAATCCTTCAAGCTTCCCGTCGTAAATCTGCAAAAATGTCCTGTCTTTATTCCACTCAAACAGCCTTTGCAGCTCCAATACAATAGGCAACAATTTTCCCCGTTCATGACGCTGTCAGGAATATCCTCGTAGAGCTTCTCAATGTCGTCTCCGTGACCTGGAAGGAGTTCTACCTCTTCATCAAAAATGTTACCTGGTTATGAGCTCGGAACGACCCGAAGAGTTTCCGTAGGGCGAGCGCCATTTACACGGTCTTGACAAAAACCTTATGCAAGCTATGCGAATAATAAATAGGGCCTTTTCTCGTGGGGATCTTGGATAAAGCTTAGGAACCTTTGTCTCAGAGCTCCGTAGCCGCCATATTGTGGAACATGCATTCGGGCTCACAAAAGGTTCTTCGAATTGGAGTCGATGTCATGGAGGATCTTCCTCGTCACATGAATGTGGTCCGCCGAGATGCGCGAAATTACGGACCGCCTGTATTGCTTGGATCCTGAATGGTGGGCTCGTGTAGAGACACCATGGATTTGCTGGTTGGAGTTTGCTGGTCAGATCTGTCCTTGCGGCGCCACAGGGTTAGCGACTGGATACATTGCTTATATCAATGCGGGTCGAGAGAATCCCTACCTGCGTACGGTAGTCAAATGTTTAACCCTTTTCTGAATGTGGCGAAGCGGTTACGTGCTACCTTTGACTCAGTTTCGATGGTCCCATGGCTCAATTGTGGCTGGAATCAATTCAGTTCCTCTTTCAAAAGTCTACCATGCAGTATAAAAGCCCTTGGTTTTACGGCATCGCTGTCTGTTCCCCAACTTTTTCTCTCCGCTTGGTTTCCCTCTGAAACGCAAGTTCGGCGACCGGTCCGTCTACCCGTGTCACACGGAGACTCCGGAACGCCCGGGCACGATGGCCAACCAGTCGCTCCTACCCTCTCCCGCCCTTCTCGTCACTGACCGCCACAGTCAAATAATGTCAAAGGACATCTAGTCGCGTAGATACTTTCGAAGTTGGTCATTGCAGTGACTGCTGTGTATCATCTTACTGGCACCACCGTCCAACTCAGCACTCTACTTCTTATTCCAGTGTACTATGGTGAGCTTGTTCGCCCTGGAAACTCTCCAAATCAACGTCTTACTTTGGTTTGTTGTCGTAGATCAGCGCTCTCCGTATATCGGACAGCATTGGGTAGCATGATGGCGATGCTAATCTCTGGAGTTGGATCTATCGCCTGATTTTGGCGAATCTTGGGAGCTTTCGTCCAGGGGCTAGTCTCGCTTCACCAAAATCTTTCAAGACTTCCAGAAGTGATGAAAGTGGAGCGGGAGAGTCGGTCTTACTGGCGCCGTTATTAATTGGGCGGGGGCTGTCTTCATCCTAGCTTCATCCTAACCCCATGTCTGTCGACAATATTTCCACCAAGTCTGTTGATGACTCTCTTGCGTCGGGATGGTCTCTGGCAGACAACCACGAAGAGAAACTTTCATTCTCTTCGGTGATGCCGGTGGACGTACGGATTCGGAACCTTTCTGTACAGGTAGAGGGCATAAGACAATGGAAAGAGTGTTTCCCTGGCCTCAGGAAAAATTCTTCCGATTTGGAGGCTCGCAGGATCAAGAGCCTTCTCAGCCATATCGACGCTGATTTTCCTCGCGGCACTCTGACAGGCATTCTCGGTAGCAGCGGCAGTGGAAAGGTACGCGAGTTAGTATCAATTGCAGGATGTGCTCTGACATGTCCCTCAGACGACGCTACTTAACGTTCTGTCTGAACGCATGCGCGGCAGTAACCTCTCCGTCCAGGGCGAGCGCCTCCACAATAATTCGATATCCCTATCTAGTATTTCACATGCATATGTTACTCAGACAGACTCCCTTCTTCCTACCCTCACAGTTCGCGAAACTCTCACATACGCTGCAAGCCTACGTCTCCCCGCTACTACGAGCCGCGCACAACGCGCCCAACTAGTCGACGATATCATTCTCGAACTCGGACTAAAGGACTGCTCGAACACATATATCGGGGACGGTGTACGCCGCAAGGGGTGTTCTGGTGGAGAACTGAGACGTGTCAGTCTTGGTATCCAGTTGCTGGGAAATCCCTCTGTGCTGTTTCTGGATGAGCCAACGACGGGCCTCGACGCGACAAGCGCCTTTCATCTTGTGAAGACGCTGAAGAGTCTCGCGCAGAAGGGCAGGACGGTGATCATGACCTTGCACCAACCTCGCTCTGAGGCGTTTCTTATGCTCGATAGGGTTATGCTACTCTCTCAAGGACGCACTCTCTACGCTGGTGCCTCTTCAGCAGCGATTAATTGGTTCGAGGGACTTGTCCATCCATTAGAACTCCACGTCAATCCTGCGGACTATCTAATCGATGTTGCTGCCGTTGATGTTCGCACGGTTGCGGCTGAGGAAGCGTCTCGAAGTCGTGTCAGCAGGCTCATCGCAGCGTGGAAGTCAGAGTCTGCTGTCCGATTCCCGCCGATCAAACAGGAATTAACGGTCAGCAACATCGATAAACGAGATGTACACACGGCACCTGTTGGCCGTGTGATACTCACTCTAATCTCTCGGAAACTGAAGACAAGTATCCGCGATCCATTTGGTTTGGGCGCCACTTTGTTCGAGGCCGTGATCATGGGGCTGTTCGTTGGAGTCGTCTTTTACCATATTCCTGACTCGCTGGCGGGAATTAAGACCCGGCAGGGCGTGCTTTATACATCAGTGGGTCTGCAAGAGTACCTGATTATGATGTATGAGGTGTATCGTCTGACCATGATAGACCTCCCCGTATTTGACAGAGAGCACAGTGATGGCATCGTTGGCATCGTCCCATGGATCATAAGCTATCGTACTGCGCACGCCATCCTGGAGGATATTCTAGTCCCTTTCGTCTTCTCCGCCATCACGTACTACATGGTCGGACTCTCACCCTCGTATACCCAGTTCTTCTACTATTTCGCTGTCGGACTTCTCACTCAGTACATTTCGGTCACCTTTGCGGGCTTTGCTACCGCCATGACGAGGGATTTTTCGAAAGCCACCATCATAGCAAACATCGCGTTCATGCTGCACACGTACCCCTGCGGGTTCTTCATCCAAGCTGATACCATTCCTATTTTCATCCGCTGGACAAAATGGATTTCCCCAATTGTAAGCCGTTCTAGTTTGCCATGCTCTTATCCGTTAGCTGATCTTTAATGATAGTTCTACGGCTTTACCGGGTTGGTTTACAATGAATTTAAAGGCCGCTTTTTCACTTGTCCTTTCGGTGATGCCGTGACAAATCCTAACTGCGCCAACTACCGAGGCGATTTCATAATCAGCTCTCTCGCTGTACCGAACATGACCTGGACATACATCCCGATATGTGCCATACTCGGCATCGCTATCTCATACATCATAGGTCAAATGCTCTTTCTCCATCTCTTCAAAGTCAACGTCTCCATGCTTGGAACCAAGAAACGTCCGGAGGATGAGTCCCGGCACGCATCTAGCGCTCCCGTGTCCCTCACTCCAAACAGCGTCGCTGGCATCGACGTTGACGTCACGGATTACACTCTCAAAATCCGCCCACGACGAGGAAGGGATAAAAAAATCCTTCAGGGAACTACTTCTTGTTTCGAGGCTGGAAAAGTAAACGTCATTTTGGGTCCTTCCGGGAGCGGTAAAACTACTCTGCTCAATCTCATGGCACAGCGACTTCAGTCGACACTTCAGACGACCTACGTTGCCGGGGGAACGATGACGCTAAATGGCGTACCAGCTAAACCAGAGGTGATGAGCACCCTGTGTTCGTATGTAACACAGGATGATTCTGCTCTTCTACCATATCTCACCGTTCGCGAGACTTTGCAGTTTGCTGCTGCATTGCGGCTACCAAAAGCTATGTCCAAGGAGGAGAAACGCCATAGAGCGGATGAGGTTATGCTGAAGATGGGCCTGAAGGATTGTCGGCACACTCTCATCGGGAACGAGTTGTTGAAAGGTATCTCTGGAGGCGAGAAACGACGAGTGAGCATTGCCGTCCAGGTGCTCACAGAGCCTCAGGTTCTGATGTGAGTAGTGTTTCTGCTATTGTTAATATGATTTGCTCATTGCTTTCCAGGTTGGATGAGCCGACATCAGGGTTGGACGCATTCACAGCAGCGTCTATTCTTGACGTTCTAGCACAACTAGCGAAGGAAGGTCGAACGATCATAACGACGCTTCATCAGAGCTCCTCCGAACTTTACAAGCGATTCGGCAACGTGCTGCTGTTGGCGAAGGGTGGTCGGGTTGCATACTCTGGTGCTGCAAGTGAGATGCTCGACTATATGTCTTCGGTTGGGTTTGAGTGTCCTGCTATGATGAATCCTGCGGATTTCGCATTGGACGTCGTATCGGTTGATACGCGGGAGGCCGAACAAGAGGAACTTGGTAGGGCGAAGGTCAACGAGCTCGTGAAGGCCTTTAAGGGTCGCCAGAAGGAGAAAGGCAGCGTATCACCGCTGCCTGACAAACACTTGGGGATTTCATTAACTAATTTCAAGGGATATGAGAGGAAGATGTTGTCCATTACCACTTCGCTGCCGATCCTGCTTAAACGTGGCGTTCTGGCGTTTCTTCGGCAAAATTCCTTGTTGTTCGTACGGATTGGAAGTATCCTTGGCCTCTCGGTACGTGTTGACGGTCTTCTCCGATGGATGGCTCTCATTGTTAATACACAGATTGGTATTGGACTCTTCTTCTCGCCGATTGGAGATGATTACCCGAGCATTCAGTCTCGTGTTGGTTGTATCCAAAAGACACTTCCGCGTGAGTCGCTCAGTTTACTGAATCTCGCCAATCTAAACGCTTTGGAATAGTGTTCTTCATTGGCATACTTCAAAATGTCGCAGTCTTTCCTGTAGAACGGGATTTCTTCTACAGGGTACGTTGACTTTTGGTGAATGTCTATTAGTCTGACTTCTCTCCTAGGAATATGATGACGGTGTTTACTCTGTCGAGGCCTTCTTAACCTCATACGCCTTATTAGAGCTTCCTTTCGAGGTTGTCACTGCATTGGTCTATTCACTATTTGTTTCAATCTCCGCCAATCTTGGGAGGACAGTTTCGATTTACTTCATAACTGCCTTGAATGGGTTGTGTATCGTGAACGCCGGAGAATCTCTCGGCATGATCATGAATACCTTTCTTACCCAGGACACGGGTCTGGCTCTGAACATCACGAACATTCTGATGTCTATCGCCATGTATATGGCAGGTAAGCTGCATTTAACATCCGTCTTAGCTGTTACTTATTACGCGTGATATTTCAGGTCTTATGAGTCTGAACATGCCGGGCTTCCTGAAAGCCTTGAACAAGCTGAACCCGCTTGGCTACTCTGTTCGCAATATGATGCCTTACGTGCTCCGAGGCCGGACATTTTCGTGTGGAGATGACCAACGACTCACAGACGGATCATGCGCAATCAGTACAGGCGAACAGGTGCTCGAAATCTTCAAGCTGAATGATGTTAGCGCTCCTTTGAACCTCTGTGCGGTCGTGATCAGTACCGTTGTGTACCGTCTCCTTGCTTACGCTGTGTTGAAGCTGGTAAAGAGCAAGTTCAAAATAGAACGACGACAGTGATGAATTAGACGGCATTTTTATCATGACTCTTACGTTGGGATTTTGAACGTGTATCATCTGTATTCTTAAGCATTGCATACATACTAGAAATAGAGTTGTGATATATTCATTGTGGACTCTTATTCCATTCCTTAATGTTTAACTGCATACACGTCTATGTTTCGTCGTTACCGATCCTTCTTGCATACTTATGATCATATTTCCTAAACTTGTGTATGTCCGATTTTTGTTTACTCAGGTTCTCAAGGTGAGATATTTTTCCCCGATGGTGCTGCTTCTGACTGAAGACATTTCGATGTGTTCAATTTGAAAGAGAAGGCTGCACGCCCAAACCTTCACCCTATTCTCTGGATGGATAATCCAACTTTGATCCACGATTCTCTGCTCGCTTCACTAGTACCGCAAGCGCTCTCTCGGAGGAGACGAAAACAACCTGGTTCAATGTTTAATGTACCGAGTGCAGAGCCATTCGAGAACACGTCCATTGATTCTCCATCGATGGCAACCAGTTCATTAGAAGTGCCTATGTGATACACCTTGGCGGCGTCCCTTCTTTCTACCACAAAATTCGCCCTCAACGCCACTTATCCAGTCCTCCAAGGGCCGACACGCGTCGAGGAGTCTCAAATTGGACTGAGTTTGGATGCGAGTTGTCGGGTGTGTAGACGGTATGACTCGAGGTATTGTGAGGGAGGAATGAAATGGGAATAGCGTTGAAAATTCCCCACTTTGCAGGATGAGTCTCCCTTTCCAACGTACATCGCCTGTGTTGACTGTGTTTTCACAAACTAACATACCATTAGGTAGTATCCGAACTCTGGGATTTGGTCCTCGTCAAGGGTCCCTAGTATGGTGGATATTGATAAAAAGTCAAACCATGGTGAGTTGGTTCGTTGTTGGTTCTCTTCTCCTAGTATCTAATGTCGCGTGTCTTGCCCTCGAGCTCACCACACATCCTCGACCCAGATGTAGGAGCCGGATTTGGTTAAAACGGGAGCGTAACCTCTATGTCGAGAGTGAGGTTCGACTGATAGATCAAACCAGACTCTCGACTACGTTAACGGATTCAGGCTTGGACGCAAATGAAGTACGCCAAGACAGGTCCTCAAAAGAGGTATGTTCAGATTCTGGCTAGTGAAGACAAGGGGCGAGGCACTATCAAAGGAAGCCAGACCTTGTATAAGAATAATGGACTGCGGGGTACACCAGGTACGGTACGTACTACTGCGGGGTGTACTTGGGAACAATGTCAAATCAACGAAATGGAAATCATACTAGCGGCCTTGGCAAATGTAACCTGCCTCCGGAGTCTCGCGAGGCACCCACTACCCATTTTTGAACAATTGGAATACACATTGTATGACATAGGGAAGGTATCTTCCTCATCGGAGGTGGAGCACTCTGGCGATGGCCTTCAAAGGGTGACTCTTGGATGATGGCCGACCAGTCTAGATACTCTATCGAGAAGAAAAGCTTTAAGAAGCCAACATCGACATCTTGTCCCTCTATTACGCTGAAGCACCATGAACGTTCCCAGTCCTTGGAGCCGTACCCGATGGACAATGATTCTTCAGGGGGGAGGGGGGCATCCGATTGATAGAGTGCTTCTAAAAAAGGCAGGATCTGTTCAGTAGAGCAAGGAGTGATTATTGACAGAACTACGTACGAATGCACAAATCACTGACATCAAAAAGGAACATCGAAACATAAAGAGGCACCAATGTAGTATTGGTAAATTTGAATCCATATTCCGTCCGCAGATCGGCATCAACGAAAATCACATCTTCGATGTTCAGGTTATCGCCGGTAGACTCCAAGGAGCCGCCTGTCCTTTTGAGTTTCATACACTCGAGTGTGACCTTTCCGGTGAGGGGGCTCTCTTTGCTAGAATGGTGAAGGTGACAGTAAAACTCAGCGGAACTTCGAAGAACACGGTGGATAGTGTCCGAATCACGGATATCGACTTCGAATGGTATGCGTGTTAGCCCATGTTGTCGACAGATCATGTCCATGATTTCAAAATGGAGAACATCGTCATCTGTGACAACAATGTCCAACCATGGAAGAAAGTAGTGGCGGAAAAAGGAAGTGAATAGTTCTATGTTACTCTCGCTGAAAGCGGAATACCAGAACACTCCAAACACTGCATATTTGGATATATACGACGGTACGGCTCCGATATCCCTACTACTTTTGGGAGACCATGTCTTCAGAAATGATTTCGATGCAACCTGACACTGATCATATATTGCCTTGCGGTGCAGAGTGACATCGACGAACCATTCATCCCCACATCGACTCCGATCCTGCAAGAAATCATCGAGGGATTTGTGTATAAGTCGGATCGGTGAGTCCTCAGTTTCAGGGCTAAGTACACTTCCTAACATAGACACGATGTGACGCGAAGGAGGGCTGCCTTCGCCTAGTAGGACAATGTTATCAAGGACATCCTCTGTCATCCCTGGAGGTGTCTGGGTCACCAACACAGCACCTAGAACACCTCGCACATACTTCTTAATATCTGCATTGGTACCTGGTTCAGACACGAGAGTATCCAGAGAGGTGCGGTATAAGGTTATTAGGGCCTCAGTGGCGTCATTAGGGGTTTTCGTGTCTAGGAGAACCTGCAGCCTCGATATCCCCGGAAATTCATGGACAAATTTCGCAACAGTCGCTGCCCAAATGAATAAACCACTCGCCCGTGCTGTCAGTTCATTGACAGCATCTAGCTCTTTACACTTCTTCAGGAATGCATTGTCACGTATGGTTGCAAACTCTCGCTTCAAATAGAACTGGATATCACGGTTTATACTCTTCGAGGAGGTATCCAAATAGAGTGGATATATGCAGTCTCGTCCCTCGAACGCCGTAACTACGCGATGAACCGGTCGGCTGGAAAGAATGAGGCGCATAAAGGAAAGTTTTGGACCGAATCCCTCAGCGAGGATGGCCAGCATATCATCAGACGCGTCGCACTCATCCAATCCATCAATGATGACAACCAGAGGTCCTCCATCACCAAGATCAGGAACGGATTCAAGTGGATTACGGAGTAGAAACTAAAACTGAGCGGACGGTGGCAAGGTTACGACTGATGGCAATGTCTGGACAACTAGGGAGATGGCCATCCCGATACGGTCGTCAAACATTCCCAAGGCATATGCGATACTGGCGATTAACTTGCTAGCCTTTGGATATTCGATACGGTCGTAGCGAATGAATGCTGCAAGCCGACTGCGACCTCCGAAATTCGTTGTGAGTAACTCGTGGAGAGTTCCCATCAGGGAACTCTTCCCCGTCCCCGCCAATCCTTTGCACCACATTGTCTTGCCGTCACGCTGGGCAATCCACGACACCATCATGTTGATTGTCGCAACACGCGTTCCTTGCTTACACCACGATTTTGGGCCTAGCTCTTGAGGCGGATGGAGATCTCGTAGCCGATCTCTCATGACTAAAAGCATTGATGGTCAGCACTCACGAAGCACTGCAGCTGAAAAACGGCGCACCCAGAACATCCACACTTTTCTGGACACCGAGAGTAACAATGACTGCTTCCTTTGCAAATCCCATGTTCAAGTGGTTCTTCAGATTGACGAAAGCCTGACGAAAAATTTCGGCTTGGCCCGATATATCTATCTCGAAGAGATGCTCTGAAAGAACCGTCAGATATTATGAGACGATTGTAACTTAAAGACATACTTATCCCGCTCTCCTTTGTATAGCCTTCAATGAAAATGGCGCACTCGATGGTCTGCTTGAACAAGGAATTATAAATTCCCTGTAACCGAACACGCCGCTCTAAGATCTCATCCTTGCTGAACGCGTCATATGCTGATATCATGTCTGTGTAAAGATCATGTATAGCTTGATTCGTGTCGTGCTGCTTCTTTAAGATCTGCATCTATGATGTGAAGATATCCATGCACTGGGAACACCGTCGACAACCCACCTTGAATCCAATAGACAGAAATCCCCAAGCGATGGTAGCCGCGGGGTGCACCTTGGGAAGAGGCTTGTTAAGCAATATGAATTGGCTTGTAAAATATTGCCTACATCTGCGAGAACATCGATCATCTGCTTCACAGCATTAAGCACCGTGTCCAGGGTGTCGTTTCCATCCAGAAGCTTAGAGCCTTCTGAGGGTTTCTCGATGTTCGGGATGACATCGATCATGACACCCTTGGCACCGCCCAACTTGCAAGATATTTTGAGGACTGCGACCTCGGAAGATCCGTTGTATAGATGTATATCAGCGCCTGCAGAAAAATCAGCATGTATTAGAATAAAGAAAGAAATACAGCACGCACTCGTACTAGTACTCCCTTCAAACAATTCTCCAAGTGTTTTCTCGACGCTGCCAAGGACCTCGAAATGCGGGTTCATCCACCGACGACCGTAAAGCTCCCATAAAACCACGGCTTGCGAGTCGAGGTCGCTTGTGAAATTGTGAGACATCCACCAAGATGAGATGGGTGCATATACAACCTACAGCATCAAATTTTGGGTCTACTTCGGCAGGACACCAACCCCATCGATCTTTATTACTTCTGTTTTTTGCTTCTTGTCGCCAGCAGTGATTTTCAAGCGAAACCTTGACTCTTTGGTAGGCACGATCTTGACGATTTCGAGCTCTATAGAGCTTTAAGGCTGGACTGAGTATTCAAATGTAGATGACACGAACCACGAATGAAAAGGATCCGACTTCGGCGAGGACATATGAGCACAGAAATTAAGGAAGAAACAATGAAAGCGAAACTAACCCTCCTTCATTGGCCATGGTTGTTGGTGCTAGCTACTGCAGACAAGGTTGACACGTGTATGGGAAGTCCCATAACATCAGGCCCCATAACATTGATGGCACTTTGAACGTCATTCAACAAGCTGTTAATAAGGAGAATATTATTGTAATATAGTTTTAATCTTCTTTAAAACAATTATTTTACGCATTTCTAATTTCAAATCAGAAATGTTAAAACAAAATTCTCTCTCTGTCCACGACGTCAACGACGCCTGTAACTTGGAATGCTGAACCATCTAACGCGCCAACCATGGACTCGCCTGCGTCTGCATAGATATTTCTCTTCCGTCGTCGAACACGTTTCCGAGTCCTACCAAGGTATGTGAAGCTCCTAGTTCAGCTGTTTCTTGAGCTCAGCTTGTTTGAAGTCTGTGTCATCGGCGCTGGGCATGCAGGTTGCGAAGCGGCAGCAGCAGCGTCTCGCTCAGGCGCAAAAACGCTCTTGTTGACGAAAAATGTGGAAAACATAGGTGAACTTTCCTGCAATCCGTCAATTGGAGGCGTCGGAAAGGGAACTCTCGTTCGCGAAGTCGATGCGATGGACGGGCTGATGGGTCGTGTTGCTGGTACTCAGTGTGCTTTCCCTGCGATGTATGCAATTGATCCTTAAGAGTAGATATGTCTGGGATAATGTTCCGTATGCTGAATGCGACGAAGGGGTCGGCTGTTTGGGTACGCGATACACAATGCTCAGATCATTTGAGTAACAATTCATCTCTAGGGACCACGAGCGCAAATTGACCGCAAACTTTACAAGCGCCATATGAAGGAAGAACTCGCAAAATATCAGGAGAATTTACACATACGCGCTGCGGACGTCTTCGACCTTGTGTTCGACCACGATCACAATCCTGATGCTGTATGGGGGCGCATTAAAGGCGTCAGGCTTGGTGTGTTACCAACTATGTTTTGTGGGTTACGCTGACCGTTCATTTAGACACTGGGGAGATTATTCCTTGTTCCCAAGTCATCGTTTGCACCGGAACCTTCCTTGGAGGAGAAATACACATTGGTACCTACTCCTGCGTTTTTACCTGCCACAAATTGATGTTATCACAGGTCCAAAGACTTTCCCTGCTGGAAGAATCAACGAAGACCCCTCTATAGGCCTGTCCGGCTCGCTTCGCGCGGCTGGATTCAGACTCGGACGCTTACAGACAGGGACGCCAGCTCGCTTGGATGGAAAAACAGTAAATTTCACGACACTCGACCGTCAGGACGGTGATCAAGTCCCAGCTCCATTCAGCTTTCTCAATGATACCGTACCAAACGCAGTGAGTCCTAAGCGTTTGGCATTCTGAATTTCATCTCATTGTTGCAGAGCAACCAAATACCCTGCTACATGACTAGGACAAACCCGTCTACACACCAGATAGTCAAGGACAACATGCACCGCAGCGTTCATATACAGGAGACGAAGAAAGGACCCCGATATTGTCCATCTCTGGAAGCCAAAATTTTGCGATTTGATCGAGATGCACATACTGTCTGGCTAGAGCCTGAAGGTTATGATTCTGGTGTGTTCGTTTATGCGTGTTAGCCTTTGGAATGCCTGACGCTCCGTAGACGTAATATATCCTAATGGGATCTCCTGCAGTCTCCCAGAGGAAGTTCAGGAACCGATGATGCGAACTATCGAGGGCTTGGAGAGTGTTAAAATGGTCAGACCCGCATATGGCGTGGAATACGACTATGTGGATCCTCGAGAGCTCTTGCGTAAGTCTGCTTTACCGCGCTCATTATACGAGCTAACTCGGTTAATCAGCCACCCTCGAGACAAAACGTATCAAGGCAGCGTATTCTCCTTTCCCACTGATATTCAGCGTAGTCTGACGCCATTGTAGGGCCTCTTCCTCGCGGGACAAATTAATGGTATATTCAAAGGTAGTCACGATATTTTTCTTTACTAATGTCTTTTGTCAGGTACAACTGGCTATGAAGAGGCTGCTGCCCAGGGTATCGTTGCAGGTATCAATGCGGGATTGGCGGCCCTGCAACGTCCACCGTTCGTCCTTTCAAGGGCAGAGAGCTTCATTGGAGTCCTCATCGATGATCTCATTGTCAAAGGAGCAGACGAGCCATGTAAGTGGCACCAATTTAGTCATTAGGTCTACTAAAAACGATGCCAGATCGGATGTTAACCTCGAGGTCAGAATATCGAATGACGCTGCGACCTGAAAATTCCGATATGCGGTTAACAGCCAAAGGTTTGACCTCGTTTGCATCTAGGTTCAGCGCGTCATTAATCGTGTTTATGTAGCATACAATGCTGGCGTGGTATCTGACGAGCGTTGGCGGTCGTTCAGCCAGCTGCTACAGACGTACAACCAGATCATCGACGTCTTAAAAGGTTGTGTGCTCAGTACACAAGTAGGTCACCATTCATTTATTGTGGAATCGTCTAATATCCTCTGTTTGTAAGGGCTGGAAGTCTCGAGGATACACCGTTCCACTGGACGGCAAAATGAGAAGGTGAGGCTACCCACAGCTTGACATGGAGTCTCTCATAGTTTTTCCTCCCCAGTGCCTTTGATTTGCTGCGATACCAAACTATATCTTCTGCAGAATTTATCAAGGACATTCCGTTGTTGGCCGATACTGATCCCAGACTGCTGGCGCGGATTGACATCGAAGGTACGATAGCTGGGAGTGCTACTACAAAACGATCCTAACGTGCATATGCACAGGCCGATACCAGCCCTTCCTAGCAAGACAACAAGCAGATCTGCGAGACTTTATGGTAGACGAGAGTCTGCTGCTTGATCCTATGATGGACTACCTCACTGTGAAAGGATTGAGTTCAGAGATTCGGGAGCGGCTGTTCAAGGTTCGACCGACAACTATCGTGAGTTGTATACGAAATTTCTATATTGCAGGATCTGACTAGTTGCTGGTTCAGGGAGCCGCGAAGAGGATGGAGGGGATGACGCCGTCGTCGATGGTGCATTTGCTCAGACATGCGAAACGGACCTTCCGTCGGGACCAAGAGGAGGGAAAGTTCAATGATGTGAAGGATATTGCTGCATGATAACGTCCCTCATTTGCACTAGCCAAAAGGCAGGGAAGTCACCCGAAGCATTTCAGCTGACACAAACATGCCGTGGAGCACAATTCTTCGTGCCCGCTCAGAATATCGTAGATCTGAGGGAAGTCACAGGTAACAATAGACATATAAGGCATATATAATGCCAAAAATACAACAGCAAGTACAATGCTTTCGAAGGATATCACATCTCTTCGCGTAGAGACGTAGAGACCAAGCGGTGGTCGCGCCGTTTTCATTTTTCCACCCTCAAGAAAAAACCTCGACATTCTTTGCATTTCCTGCCTTGTTCAACTTGTTTGCCTTGGTGAATTGCCCAGCATTTAGCACCAGGGAAAAAATGATCACTTCCCTGATTCAAACTACATTCCGACGCTGAATGGTCCTGAATGTTTTGTCTTTAGCACGTCGACTGGTCGACTGATGCAGCCAAGCCGTCTCGATCGGATACCTATACTGTGGCGCTATTCCCTGTAAGCTGTTTTTAACATCTGTGTCAACTTTGATATGATTAACGAAACTTGCATCCCCTGCATGTAGAAGCACACTTTTGAATGTAATCATGGACCAATCTCTCGGATGCTCGTTTCGACAGGGTATATATGCATTTCCAAGGCAAGTACCGATATTATATTTCGAGCAACCACATTGTGACGTGAAAGACCAAGCCCGTGATACAAGGTTGATTAAGGCGGAATCGTTCGGGTTGTGTGAGAAATACTTGTATGCTCTCGCGACCTTCGTCTGACTCAAAGCATAGCAATGAAGCATCAAAGAAACAGTGTTCAATTAGGCTGAAGTGACCAATGACATCTTGTACAGTAGGTTTGTTTGTATCATCTTGGATAAGAGCAAGTCTTCTCTCAATGGACGCGATACTGTCATATCGGCAGTTGCGAGCTCCTTCTCGGAGGCATCACCATTCTAATTAATCCATATGGCGTGGCGACTGCATGTTTCCACGCAAGTCTCTTCGGGACCGAAAGCGTTCGAGTTTCATGTTTTCAATTTTGCCCTGGGGCCCGAGTATGAATGTTTGGACGTCAGGCTTGGAGATCAATATGCTGCCAGTTATACAGAGCTCTCAGCTGGGTCATGTCCTGGTCATCGGATCCTGGCTCCTAGCGCCTTCCAACCGAAAGACCGCCGCTCGTCACACGAGTGATCATATGGAAGAACAAACAATAACCGTGGAAACCCATTTAATACCGAGGTAGATAAGCAGGAACTTGAGCTTACCATCGCATAGAGCCATGCCAGACCAGATACATATCCTCTTCATAGGGGCTACAGGTCTACCGCTATTTCTGTTACTCTGCCGAGATACTGATGCATCTTTTGGGCAGGATACATTGGAGGTACTTTCCTTCACCGCATCTTGGAGCACCTCGCTGCCTCAACATTAAAGATCACTACTCTCGTCCGATGTCGTGAGAAGGCTCAGAAACTCCGGATGTTGAACCTTGGGATAAATATTCTGGAAGGCTCTTCGGAGGACATTGCATTACTAGAAGAGCTAGCTGAGAAGGCTGATATCTACATCAATGCGGTGGGATTTCTCATCCTCGTCCACCGCTGTTCATTTATCCGTACTGACAGTACTCAAGTGACGATTTCTCCGGGACAGAAGCAATTTTACGAGGCTTGAAAACGCGACATAAAAATACGGGCAGGAAACCAGCTATCATTCACCTTGTAAGTCCATCCTCCAGAGTAATTCATTCCATTAATCATGGGCTATATGTAGTCAGGCGCTGCGGTTATCGTAGATGATGCCTGGGGGAAATCTTCTTGCACGGTTTATGATGACGTTGACTGCGAGCAAATGGCGGCAATCCCCATCACTCAACTGCATCGAAATGTTGACTCCGAGCTGGTTAATGCAGACGAGGAAGGTCAGTCGCACGTTCATGGACCATCCCTTTTTAAGATTCACACTCTTGGAATGACAGGATATATCCGATCCTACATTATAATACCAGGAGCAATATTTGGTACCTCATCCGGCGTGCTATCCCGTGCCGAGATTCGAAGAAGCAACTTCCCGATCATGAATATACTTACACCCCCCGCAAGGGACCATGGTACCGGCGTTATCGTAGGAGAAGGTTACAACAGATGGCCGGTCGTCGATATCAATGAGCGTGGGTTTGTGCTACACTCGTCCGTGTAGATTTGTCTGTGATCTTGTTCGCAGTAGGAGATCTGCTTATACTCGTCTTCAGTAATGTTGTCTCCACACCGGTTCTTCCACATGGAAAAAATGGTTATCTTTTTGCCGAGAACGGTGAGATTGCATTACGGGATCTCGCAAAAGCCATGACGAAGGGAATAAAACGTGGTAATGATGGTACGGGGGACGAAGACGAAATAATATCCCTGACTGATGACGAACTAAATCGGTACTTATCCCTGGTATGTGTTTGAGCTGCATATTTTCCCTTACTGACTACTGTTTACTGAAGTATGAAATTCGACGCGCCATCAGTGGCAATGCCAGATGCCGTGGAACGAGAGCCAGACAGCTCGGCTGGGTTCCAGTTCGTGGAGCGAAAGATTTTTTAGAGGATATGGAGCGTATTGCCGCAGCCATCGGCCAATAGGTCTTGTCAATATATCACATATATACGCTGTCCGGTCTCCGTATACTCATCTTCACGGTAATTGGATATCTGGACCTCCGGAAGACGCGACATACTAATGTTCGTCGACGACGGTCTGATCAAACGAAACTGAGATAGATATAAGTTGCTGTATTGCATTGTCAGACGCTCCTCTGGCTCTGCGATAGTTGCAGCCTTCAAGTTGCGACCACCGAGATTATCATTCTTAGCTTGACTCCCAAGTTTAGCAGTGGTGCCTGTGCAGTGTGCATGTCAAGTGCGGTATTGAAAATCTTTGAACGTCATTATTCCTCTAATATCTCAATTATTCGAATAGCACTGTCTCCTCGTCTAGTATACTCCTTTATTTGAGGTAAGTTTGAGGATGGGTCAATATATATTCTCTCCTCACCCCGATGACTACTTTGTCGGAACGACCTTCGGGTTTACGGACCGGTGGAGTACCAACGAACAGTAGCTGTGAGATTTCAAGCTTCTCATGGCACTGACAGTCAGTCGCCGTATAGATTTATTTACCGCGGGTATTTTCGGTATATAAGGCTGTAGATTTTGTAGTTGATCCCCATGTCGAGTTTGCTAAAGATGTAACCGATTCTTGCCACACTTCGTTTGAGAACAGCCTCGCGATTCTAACAGTAGCCTTGATCAGGTCCATCATGACCTAAGAAACAGATTGCATTGGAACCCTTATAGGTGTTTGTATAGCTGGTAATCTACCTCTATCTTGGATGCAATCATTTCGTTGAATGTTTTGTTGATCGTGAGTACGTTCTCTATGAATGCCGGGTTCTCCTCATTTCATTGACTCATTGTCATAGAATACGATTGGGACATGTATGTTGACAGAAGTTGTGACAATTTCTACTATTCATGGCTTGCTAAAAAAATACAGATGATGCGTGCATAAGATCCCAACATAAAGTTCGTGACAAAAACGGTAGGCAAACTGATCACTGTCGGCGCTCAATCTTGAATCTAGTTTTCACTAGCTTCAATACTGCGTAAGCAAGGAGGCGATATACAACGGTAGTAATCACGATCGCGCAGAGGTTCAAAGGGGCGTTGACGTCCTCCAGGTTAAAGATTTCGAGAACTTGTTCGCCAGTGCTGATTGCGCACGGTCCATCTGCAAGCCTTTGATCATCCCTGCACGAAAACGTCTGGCCTCTAAATGCGTAAGGCATCATGTTCCGAACAGAATAACCAAGAGGGGAGAGCTTGTTAAGGGATTTCAGGAAGGCCGGCATGTCCAAGCTCATAAGACCTGAGATGGTGAACGATATAAGCTCCAGCTGACACATAAGAGGAGTATTTCTTACCAGCCATATACAAAGCGACAGACATTAGTACATTAGTAACGTTTAGAGCCAGTCCAGTGTTCTGGGTCATAAAGGTATTAAGGATTATGCCGAGAGATTCTCCAGAGTTCAGGATAGAGAGTCCGTTCAGGGCAGTGATGAAGTACATGCCGACGGATCTACGAAGATCAGTGGCAATTGACACAAAGAGTGAATAGATCAAACAAGCGATGATCTCGAAAGGCAACTCCAAGAGGAGGTACGAGGTTAAAAATACTTCGACAGAGTAAATCCTATCGTCGTATTCCTATTGAAAATTTCAGATCAATGAACATGAGAAAAGTAGTGATTACCCTGTAGAAGAAATCCCGTTCTATCGGGAAGATCGCGACATTTTGAAGTATACCAATGAAAAACACTATATCGACCCATTGAGATCAACAAGATATAGTGACATGATAAACTGAATGGCTCACGTGGCAGTGTTTCCTGGATACAACCGACACGAGATTGGACGCTGGAGTAATCATGTCCCAGCGGAGAGAAAAAGAGTCCGATGCCGATCTAAGGCATGAGGATAAGGGTCGGACGTGCGGCAATGAGCGTTAAAACGTACCGAAATGCCAAGAACACTCCCGACCCGCATTACTAACAAGGAATTTTGCCGGAGAAATGCGAGAACGCCACGCTTAAGCAGGATCGGTAGCGCGGAGGTGATCGACAACATCCTCCTCTCGTAACCCTTCAGATGTGTCAACGAGGGCCAGATTTGTTTATCATACAGTGGAGATCCACTATCGTTCATCTCCTGGCGATCTTTGAAAGCTTTCACGAGCTCGTTGACCTTTGCCCGGCCAAGTTCCTCTTGCTCAGCCTCCCGCGTATCAACCGATACGACGTCCAATGCGAAATCCGCAGGATTCATCATAGCAGGACACTCAAACCCAACCGAAGACATATAGTCAAGCATCTCACTCGCAGAACCAGAGTATGCCACCCGACCACCCTTCGCCAACAGCAGCACGTTGCCGAATCGCTTGTAAAGTTCGGAGGAGCTCTGATGAAGCGTCGTTATGATCGTTCGACCTTCCTTCGCTAGTTGTGCTAGAACGTCAAGAATAGACGCTGCTGTGAATGCGTCCAACCCTGATGTCGGCTCATCCAACCTGGAAAGCAATGAGCAAATCATATTAACAATAGCAGAAACACTACTCACATCAGAACCTGAGGCTCTGTGAGCACCTGGACGGCAATGCTCACTCGTCGTTTCTCGCCTCCAGAGATACCTTTCAACAACTCGTTCCCGATGAGAGTATGCCGACAATCCTTCAGGCCCATCTTCAGCATAACCTCATCCGCTCTATGACGTTTCTCCTCCTTGGACATAGCTTTTGGTAGTCGCAATGCAGCAGCAAACTGCAAAGTCTCGCGAACGGTGAGATATGGTAGAAGAGCAGAATCATCCTGTGTTACATACGAACACAGGGTGCTCATCACCTCTGGTTTAGCTGGTACGCCATTTAGCGTCATCGTTCCCCCGGCAACGTAGGTTGTCTGAAGTGTCGACTGAAGTCGCTGTGCCATGAGATTGAGCAGAGTAGTTTTTCCACTCCCAGAAGGACCCAAAATGACATTTACTTTTCCTGCCTCAAAACAAGAAGTGATTCCCTGAAGGATTTTTTTATCCCTTCCTCGTCGTGGGCGGATTTTGAGAGTGTAATCCGTGAGGTCGACATCAATGCCAGCGACGCTATTTGGAGTGAGGGACACGGGAGCACTGGATGCGTGCCGGGACTCATCCTCCGCACATTTCTTGGTTCCAAGCATTGTGATATTGACTTTGAAGAGATGGAGAAAGAGCATTTGACCGAAAAGATATATGACAATAACCGCGAGGATTGCGCATATCGGAACGACAGTCCAAGTCATGTCAGGCACAGCGAGAGATTTGACGATGAAATCGCCCCGGTAGGCAATGCAGTTAGGGTCAGTCCTAGCATCGCCGTCAGGACAGTTGAAAAAGCGGTCCTTGAATTCGTTGTAAACTAATGTGGTGAAGGCGTAGAACTACAAGAAGTGAGAAAATAGTGGAATGGGTTAAACTGACATTTCCTCACGACTGGAGAAATCCATTTTGTCCACCGCATATAAATCGGTATTGCATCGGCTTGTATGAAGAACCCGCACGGGTATGTGTGCAACATGAACGCAGTATTTGCGATGATCGTAGCCTTGGCGAAATCCCTCGTCATAGCGGTAGCAAACCCTGCAAAAGTAACTGCAATGTAATGATTGAGAAGGCCGATTGCGAAGTAATACAAGAATCGTTCAGTGGAAGCTGCGAGTCCAACCATGTAGTAAGTTATGGCGGAGAAGATCAAAGGGACAATGATATCCTCCAGGATGGCGTGCGCAGAACGATAGCTTATAACCCAAGGTACTACACCGACGATACTCTCGCCGTGTTCTCTATCAAAGATAGGAAGGTCTATCATGGTCAGGCGATATACCTCGTACATCATGATCAGGTACTCTTGCAGACCCACTGATGTATACAAGACGGCTTCGCGCGTCCTTATACCTGATATCGAGTCAGGAATGTGGTAGAACGCTATCCCGACGAATAGTCCCATAAGGACAGCCTCTATCCAAACTGCGGCCATGCCCAATGGATCGCGGATACTTGTCTTCAGTTTCCGAGAGATTAGAGTGAGTATCACACGGCCAACAGGTGCCGTGTGTACATCTCGTTTATCGATGTTGCTGACCGTCAATTCCTGTTTGATCGGCGGGAATCGGATAGCAGACTCTGACTTCCACGCTGCGATGAGCCTGCTGACACGACTTCGAGACGCTTCCTCAGCCGCAACCGTGCGAACATCAACGGCAGCGACATCGATTAGATAGTCCGCAGGATTGACGTGAAGTTCTAATGGATGGACAAGTCCCTCGAACCAAGTGATCGCTGCTGAAGAGGCACCAGCATAGAGAGTGCGTCCTTGAGAAAGCAGCATAACCCTGTCAAGCATAAGAAACGCCTCAGAGCGAGGTTGGTGCAGGGTCATGATCACCGTCCTGCCCTTCTGCGCCAGACTCTTCAGCGTCTTCACAAGGTGAAAAGCGCTTGTCGCGTCGAGGCCCGTCGTCGGCTCATCAAGAAACAGCACAGAGGGATTTCCCAGCAACTGGATACCAAGACTGACACGTCTCAGTTCTCCACCAGAACACCCCTTGCGGCGTACACCGTCCCCGACATATGTGTTTGAGCAGTCCTTTAGTCCGAGTTCGAGAATCACGTCGTCGACTAGTTGGGCGCGTTGTGCGCGGCTCGTAGTAGCGGGGAGACGTAGGCTTGCAGCGTATGTGAGAGTTTCGCGAACTGTGAGGGTAGGAAGAAGGGAGTCTGTCTGAGTAACATATGCATGTGAAATACTAGATAGGGATGTCGAATTATTGTGGAGGCGCTCGCCCTGGACGGAGAGGTTACTGCCGCGCATGCGTTCAGACAGAACGTTAAGTAGTGTTGTCTGAGGATCATGTCAGAGCACGTCCTGCAATTGATACTAACTCGCGTACCTTTCCACTGCCGCTGCTACCGAGAATGCCTGTCAGAGTGCCGCGAGGAAAATCAGCGTTGATATTGGTAAGAAGGCCTTTGATCTGGCGAGCCTCCAGATCGGAAGAATTTTTCCCGAAGTTAAGGATGCGCGCTTTCCATTGCTGGGTGCAATCAACCTCTATAGAAAGATTCCGAACTTGTAAATCCACGGGCGCCACCAAGGAAAATGAGAGTTTCGCTTCATAATCGTCTCCCAAAGGCCATCCTGAAGCTCGAGGCTCGTTGACGACCATGGTGGTAGAGAGACGAGAGACAAAGAGCCCGCGCCCAATGTCAAACAACAGCGACGCCCGAACGCGAGCTGTAGAGTTAAATCCCCAATTTTATTCTTTGCGGAAGGAAACCTTGAACAGTTTCGGTGAAACGAGACTAGCCCCTGCCGGACTACAGGGTGATTCACAACTAGGCGATAACCACCGGGTTAATCCAACCCTTATCAGTGATTTACGCTAGTCGCCGTGCTACTTAGTCCCGTCCAACACTCAGACAATCATAGCCTGAAATCGGATAAATGGACTAAGGCGTCGATTCGTAGGTTTCTAGGAGGAGCTCACCATGATACACGGCGTAGGCTCAAAACCGGAGATTGAGTAGATTAATCATTTCCCATCCGTTACATAGATTGACGATGGTGGTGTAGCTAGTATCAAGAATTCGGTCGGAAAGAGTGGGTGCAAGATATTGAACATAGATTGTCTCAGAAGGATATCCGGAGAAGAGTCACATCCAAAAATCATATGACAACCATATAGATCTGGACGAAATTCTGAATTCAGATTGTAGACTGAAATTGATCTTAAAGCAAACGAACACTCACATTTGTTGGCACCTGGGCCGGTTGAAAGAGGGTGGTGCAAACACGGAATTTCGCTCCTTCAAAACGTGTGCCCAATGATGCATTATAACGCTGGAGTAAGATACGGCTTGTCATAAGTAACAGAGATGAAGAGGCAGGCCATCGATTGTTTGGTGAACCGTTGCAATCCTCTTACAAAACTTTGAGAAACCAGAGACGTGAAGAAATGAGGACGACATACTACTACATCACATTTTTCTGAAACCGACGTGCTTCCGAGGCACTCTCACAATGTTCCCCAGCCTTATTCCACGGTAATGGGGAAGGAGGATGTTGGAAAAGCAACAGGGTTTTGGGTGGACCTAGATCGTTAAAGACGGAATCTATAGTAATAATACGCCACCTTTATAAACCGACCTTAGCTCAGCTGGAAGAGCGCGAGACTGTAATTGGATAAAATTTCCCAGATTATCTTGAGGCCGTGCGTTCGATCCGCACAGGTCGGATTGGTTTTCCACTAAATTATTTTTTTGTCGCGGTTTTAATTATCAGTAGTGGCGAAGGTAAACAATTGATTTGCTAATAGTCATCCCGCATATGAGTTTGAAGCTTAGTACAACAGGGTATAACTCTCGAGTAATGAGGCCTGAGGAACGATAACTAACGAGTCTGCCGAGTCTGGAGGCGCTATCTAGCTTGGCGTGGAGTCCTTCAGCTTACACTTCACAGAGGTACGTTAAATCCTTGCTTGAAACCTCCCATGATACAGAATGTACATGTGAAAAATTGAACCTGATAGATTCCGTTATATGCAACAGCCCCGTATCTACACAATCTCCCGCTCCAGACATTGTCTTCGCATTTCCTCCAGCACCCCTTTCATCGAATATACTTTCTCCAAGCCTGTTCCGAAACTTCGTAGTGCCAGCCCAGAGTAGACACCTTGGACCTTAAACTCGCGAGACAGATCGTGAACCTCCCCAGGTATGAAGCCGAATGCGCCTTCTGCCAGTCAGGTCAATAGCGATAGATTCCCACCCATTGGGATTTGAGTGATACATGCTGATGCGAGGATCTGGTTCGCCGAGTTAAGATAACCTAAAAGAGGACCAACAAGAAATCGCTCAAGGCATTTCTTGATTCCCAGCGGCAAGGGACAGCGCATTGTAGTTGTCGATGCAAACAAATACCGTCCATCATGCCACAAGGTCCTTCAGCAGAGACGAGAAGGAGGGAACTTTAATAAACAAGGGTAGACAGAAGACCGTACCAAAACTCCGGCCAACGAGAAAGTCTCATTTTTGTAGATATAAAAAGAGGTGCCATGTTGGTACTTGCATAAAAACCGTTTCAGGACTGTGTTAATGGGCTCGACAAGCGACGGTTCAAAATTGGTTACCCGTGTCATGGCCGGGTCAAAGGTCAGCACCAAGTCTGCATGCTGACATGGTGATGCTTGGCTAATGGCCCACCATTTTGATAGGGCTCGAGATACCACAACTGCCCTCTGAGTACACCGATGACTTGGAATTTAACATGAGGTGTAGGTGAGATTGAAGAGGTATTAGCAAGGGTATCGGATGATGTCGAATCCTGGATGAGCGTGTTTAGAGGGATAATGCGGGAATTCTCAATAAACTCACCATCCGAATCCTCGCGGTCGAAAAACCATGCAACAGTAGCACATCCCTCTGTCCTCAACTTTGATACCTCCTTGTCCTGCTACCCAAAGGAGACGTTTCATATCTTCCTACTGACGAGTGGCTCAATTTCCCCGTAAGAAACCACGCGTAGTCGCCCGATGGCAGCATTCATTATCATGAACATCCTTGGCGGCCTCAAACAAATCGGCAAAGGTGTTTCCACGACAGACAACCCTGTATGTGGGCCAGAAATCGCAGGAGGGAGGACACATTCGACGTCGACTCCAAGCGACATGGTGGTTGTCGGGTGAAACCACTTACGTGTACTCGATCACATTGGACTTCCTACAAATACAATGTCAGAAAAACATGACTATAGTACTACACAAGCGTAATCTACGGACCAGTGGGAGAAGAAGGGGTCTGAATTGCTAAATTCCCAAGAGGGGCGGTTATATCCAAGTCTATGTCCGAACCTCCAAGTTATTTGCTAATTTTGTTCAACACATGTGTCATGGAGTACACCTTTTGGTTACCAAACCGATGCGGCACCAGCTCCACCTCAACCGAGTGAACATTCAGACGACGTTCGAGTTCGTGGATCTCCTCGAGGGTGAAACCAAATGTGGCTTCCACCATGTCCTCGTCGGTCATATCAACAGCCACCGCAGTCCAAACATCACATCTGCCGTTGCGATAGTAGGGATTGATAAGAGGATCCGGTGCATCACCAGTGCCTACGATGAGCCCTTGGACATAAGGCAAAGACTTGGAAAGGGGCGAAATGATTATTTGGTTTAGACATAAGTTGACCTCGGACGAGTTTCCAGAAGCGATGGATGGTGCGTTGTAGTTGTCGATGAGGATAGAGATGCGCCACGATTGTTGGCGAGCGAGATCCTGGAAGCCAAGCAGATGAGTCATTTGAATGAAGAGATAGTACAGAAATGAAACGAACCAGAACGCCACCAAATGAAAGGCTCCAATCCTCGCTAAGAAATATGGGAATGTCTTCAGGCTTGATCATAAGCTCCTGCTGGTATTTCCATAAGAACTTTCTTAACACGGAGTTGATGTAAAAACCAAGTGAATGGTGAAAATCTTCCACTGAAGGCACCGACAGATCAAAAGTCAAGACTAAATCACGATGCGCCACGACCATAAGCGGCGCGTTCGTATCAACATCAGAGACGCGTGTACACTTGAGTACCACGTTGGAGATGGGCTTTGCGAAATGCTTGCAGTCATAGAAAAACTCTAGCATAGACAAAAAGGAGGTTTTTCCGAAACCTTCAGGGCGGCGAACAAGGGGCAGCTTGCGGAACAACTGTGATTCCACAGAAAGGTCGATGATACACGATGTTTTATCAGCCCAGATGAGGCCCGGAGAATACAGTAGATCATGTACGATGAGAGCATTTAACGCGACTCTCTGGATAACATGTCAGATGTCGAATAGGCGGTGATACAAATAACACGTACCGGGTGTCCGGAGCCAGATTGTAACATGCCTTGTCCTAGGGTATTCAGGCCAGGCATAGTATGACCAAACTTGGAACGCGTGGGGGACTCAGGGTCCGCTAACGAAGATGCGGCTGAACTGAGGGCACCACCTATCTTCACCTGCTGCGTGTGACTGACGACGGCTTGCATCCGAGGTACTCCAAGGGTTCGGGCCTTTCGCAGAAGCAAGCGAGGCGATATTATATGCCTAAGGGGAATAGGAACGAGTGTTTGACGGATGGCAGAAGGGGACGAACGCGGGACGTCAGCGGAACGGGCCTGGGCATTTGCATGTGAAAATCGCGTCCAACGGTGACCGCGTCTCCGTGCAACGGCGTGTGCGCTACGACTGTCTCGACGTCTTCAGATACTTGGCGCAGCTGGTGTGCAGGAGACGCCGGATATGCCACCAGGAGCAATGCGGCCGAATCAAAGCTTGCAAGGTCCGCGCGCGCAAAGTGGATCGATGTCGTCACCGTCGAAAGTGGTGCTGCTCGCTGCCAAGGAGGACTGCTAGACGTCGCCGGTTTTTGTCACTGTGGACGGTGGTAAAGGTAGAAAGTCGGAGCTGGCTGTCCGCTGCCTAATTTGGTTACATAAGGGACGGCACCTAGACATTTGATGGCTCCCATTTTTTCGTCCCTCGCCAAATCGTCGTCCTCTGTATGATTTCAGCTTCTCCCTTCTACACCTCCCTCCGCCGCCGACAGGGATCCCAAAACCGTGCGAGTACAAGAAATGGACGGACGAGCTAATTTGCAAGTGCGAAGGGACGATACCACCAAGGGATCAAACCTCTTGATCAGCTTTGGAGAGACGGACGATATCAAACATGGATACTATTGCCGGCGACGGAGGTTATATTTTTCAGGCCATAGAATCATTGGCCGCAGCCGTATAGCTTAGGAAAAGACCATCGTCTTGTGAATGCATCCTTATTGCTGCCGTTGTCGACGCCGCCTGGCAAGCGATACATCCGTTTTGAAAAGTAGTACTAAGCCAAACCTTGTATCGCCGCAATATAATGTCATAGTTTACAAGTGAATGACGTACCGCTGTATGTCAACGGAACGGAGAGTGGCTTGAAGCTCAAAACTGGTATGCTGCGACTCGAGAGGACTCACGGCCCTCAACTCGGAACAGTTACAACGCAAACATGTCAAGCCTGGGGGTATACAAAAATACATCTATTCACACAAAGTTACCTACAAATCGAAAAACTTGGAATACAGTCTCTTAGAACTCTGCGGTCATCTATTTCTATTTCTTCTCTGCCGACTCTGGCTCAAGCTCAGCGTGCTCCAGATGGTCGATGCCCGCCACATCCTTCACATGCGCCACCCGTTCCACATCCGTCTGCGCGTAGTGCGCCGGCCGCTCCGTCTGAGTCGCTTCCTTGTTTCGGAACACAAACACCATCCCCTGGTGCTCTCGGTACAATCTATCAATGTCTTCGAGATGTCTATTCGAAGTCTCTGGGTAGAACAAGTATATAACCTGTGAGGCGTTCAGATACACTCCCCCGGGATGAAGAGTTGGGTTACTCACAGGAATAATGGCAATGTTGAACGACATCCAGATAAGGTAGAATTTCCAGCCAAGACGATCGATACCTGGTGGTGTAGCTTGTACCACGGCGTAGTTTATTATCCAATTCATTCCGGTGGCCAATGCTGCGCCCATAGTTCGCATGCAAAGCGAGTTGATCTCTACGGGGTAGAGCCAAGGAACACCCTCAAGCATAATGTCAATAAAGACGACGACACGACTAGAAAAATGGCACCGCTCACCTGCCAACAAGACCCAAAGAAGACATAGAAGAAGAAGAAGAATGCAGTCGCAGCGGCACCGTAGTTTTGGGACAGAAACGCAGCAATAAGAATGTAGCACACAGCTTGACCCGCAGCGCCGAACATCAAAAGCTTCCTTCGACCGGCTCGCTCAATGAGATACAGACCAGCAAAAGAAAAAACGAGGTAAGATATCGCGTTGCAAGCAGCGAGAAGTCTGGAGAGACGGTTCGAAAGACCAACAGAGTTCTGTAGCACTAGAGGAAGACTACAACCCATCAGAAAAAGTAACAACTATCGGATATTTGACATACTAATAGGTCGTGACGTTGATCCCGGAGAGCTGTTGCATCAACTGTGTTCCTAAACATTGACTATTCAACTCCAACTCTGACTGGAGTCAAAGAAGACTCACCAACGCCGAGGATCATTCGTTTGACCATACCGCTCTGACCAGTACGCCCGCGCAAGAGGTCCGACCAGTTGGGAAATGTCTCCTTTTCAATACGAACGGCCTCGAGAATCTCCGTCTTCCGTTCGATGATCATAATGTCCGTCGGCTTCACGTGCTCTCCCTCGAGCGCCGCGAGGATAGCAGCGCCCTGTTCCTCGTGTCCGTGCGCAAGAAGCCAGCGTGGACTTTCCGGAAGCCACGGGATGGTGCAAAGTAGAATGATTGAGAAGACGAGTTGGAAAGCGAGAGGAAGCCTCCAGCTGATACTTCCTTTGACAAAACTTAATCCGAAAGTCATCCAATTGCTAATCGCATAGCCGGCGATGTTCATACTAGACAGAATAATCGGTGAAGAAGACACCAATAGGTGGAGAAGCGCACATCATCCCGAGTATTATAACTTTTCCTCGAAGGGACGCCTTGGTGGTTTCGCTTTGCCAGACTGGAGCGTTAGCCGTGTTGACGCTGTGAGAATCAGCTACTGGAGGAAAACGCGTGCAAAAGAGAAAGCGGACGTACCCATTACCAAGACCGGTAATGATACGAGAAACAAGGATCATAGTGACGTTAAAAGACGCGGTTTGAATGATGGCCCCGATAGACATGACGACGACACCGATAATGAGCATCTTCTTTCGCCCGAGTTTTTCGCCGAAAGCAAAAGAGCTCATAGCACCGACGAAACTGTAAAGGCGAGGCGTTGAAGTACGAATAAAACTGATACAGGCGACCAACATACCATCCAATATCGTACAGAGAGACAATGGTGCCTTGAAGTTGAGAGTTGGGGTAGCCCATCGTTCGCAAAAAGTCCTCTGTGACTATGATTCCGCCATATACGCCTTGGTCGTATCCTGAGATATCACCTTGAGTAACGACGCGCGAAACAAACGAGCACGCCTGTACCGAAAAGTGTCATAGCCGTGATACATGCGATATTGACCCAGGCGTTGAGCGCCATTCCAGTCAAGCCAAAGTAAGGCTTCTTATCCGAGGTGGCCTTCGACATGGCGGGCAGAACAACCAAAAAGTAAACGTGAAAGAAATCTAAGAGTAAGGAGTGTACCGCGCCGGACTTCAGGCTTCAACTTTTATAAGCTTTGTGGCTATGCCATGGATCGGCTGACGTCAGTTGGATCGACTGTTTTTTCTTTCCTTTTTCCAATAAGAAAATCCGTCAGTCTATACATCCAAATTGATATCCCTACCCCGCCGGCGGCAACTTGATGTTTGATCTCTATCACATGTGGGGTAATTGGAAAAAGAACTTGGTGTTCCACGGGACATTTCTTTTGAAAAAAAAGGTAAATAATCCTACCACACATTATACCGTCGTACAAGGTGACCTGAATGATATTCATAAATAATGAGCAGGATAACAAAGCAAATCATAATAAGTACGAAAGAACGAAAGTACACCCCCGCCCGGAAAAGTAACCAGAAACATAGCTTGTTCATATATCATCATAACTTCAACTCGGTAAGCACTCGTCTAGCAAGCATCTGGTACTGCCAACCATCCCCGCTTGCTCTTCGAAATTGTATACCATGCAGAGGCAGCCAAGGCACCTGGAACGTACTGAGCACCTGCTCACATCAACCAAAAAAAAGAAACCCTCACCTTGACAATATTTATCTCAAAGCGCACACATAGCGAATTATTCCCCATGGTTTCAAATATATCCCGCTCAGCTACTTCGCCTGTGGGCAACGGACTCACGCTCCGCGCTCCAGGTGCAAAGTCCCGCGGTATCGGAGGAAGCACCTTGGACTTCACACTCGCAGATTCTGCGGGAGGAGGCGACACGTCAATCTCCACAGACGGCGAGGCCGTGACACCGTTCTCAGACGGGACCACCGTGTTATTCGTGGAGACGTTGAAGAATGATGAGGACCGACTCGGTGTCGTCGTCAACGTCGTCGTGCCCGATGGCCGGCTAGGAGTCTCCATCGAAGGCTCTCGCTCTTTTTTCTTCACGCCGAAAGAAAGTTTCGACGCCTTCTTGACGATAGACGGTCGTGGCGTTGACGGCTCTCCCCCAGAGCCAGATGAACTCTGCTGTTGATGTCGAGGCGATGGGTCCACAGACGACATATCAATCGACGGCAAATGAAGGCACTCGAAGCCCCCTTTCGTCTCCCGATATTGTACTTGCATCCGGTCGAGCACGCGTTTAATGTCAGCCTTGATGGCCGGAGGCTGCTTTGTAGACGTCGTCGCAACACTGAAAGACACCAGCTTAACAAAAAAGAACCTTACAGTCATTGTTTAAGAAACACGAACCTAAAGAGACCTTTCAAAAACAGAGGCTTGAAATCCTTATCGTTAGTAGGAACATCATCCTGTCGGTCGTCATCTCCGGGAATAGGTGCAGTCCGTGTCTCACTCTCTTCCCTCTCCTCCTCCTCATCAGTCTTCGAGAAAAGCTTCTCTGCCGTTTGCCGAGGACCGCCCAATGAAGGCCGCCTACGTCGACCTATAGTGCCTCCTGAAAGTAACGCAGCACCAGTGCTACTCCTCCGTTCATGCCGTCTCCCGCTGCTCTGTGGGTCCAGTACTGTAGCCGCCCGCCGGTGGTTACCAATCGGCTGGCTCTGGCTGTGCGATACGGACTTGGGTGTCGAAACCCGTTCCTTCTCGTGCACCTCTCCGCTCTTCTTGCTCTCCCCACTCTTCTTGTGTTCGACACTCTTTTTCTCGTCCCCGCTGAGCTTCTCCTTGTCTTCGGAGTGTCTCGACGGCCTCTGTGACAATGTCAAGCCACCCAAAATCGTCCCTCGTCTTCCAACGCCGTGCCGCCTGGAATCGTCACCCTTACCGACCAACATACTGCCGAATTTGCGAACAAGCGTGGCGCCAGCGGACATAGAAAGATGATCCCTTTCTTTCTCCTCCCCGTCCCTTTCTTTCTCCCGGTCATCCTGAGCCTTCTTTTCCTTCTCTGCATCCTCGAATGTCGTAACGTGCGGCGCAGCGCTCTTCGATAGTTCCGGCGCAACAACTCCGTTCTCATCCACGGCTTCTTCATGCCCGAACCTGCCCGTCCATCCACGCGACACCGTTAGCGGCCGTTGACTCAGACTATGACTTCGTCTATGTGTGCTGGCTGGAGGAGCTCGAGGGAGCGCAGAAGCGCCCGAGACAGTGGCCTTGTCCAGCTCGGCCCTCTTCTGCGCTGAAGGTGATGGTGGCGGAAGACCGATATCACGGGGACGTGGTTGAGGATGGAAGGTTGGCGAGGTAGGCGACGGAGCGGCTGCCGTAGTGTCGTAAGACATCCCGGAATAATGGGACGTTTCCGGTGCAGGTAGTCGAGGAAGTGGCATGCTGTAGTCGGCTTTGGCTGTTGCGGATTCCCTCTTCGTTGTATCCTTCTTTGAAACCGGGGTAGGAGGAGGCGGTTCCACAGTAACAGCGTTACTGATATTAGCAGTGGAACGAGGGTCTTGTATTGATGTTTGTGAACTGGCGAATTGACCAGGACCATAGACACGCTCCCGCTCGAGTTTCTCCCTAGAGAGGTAGTACATTGATATCAAGGGGTGAAACCCTTTCGTTGGATCCAAGGGTTCTCGGTTAGGGTCCAGTAGTGATGCATGGGAGAGATGGCTCTGCGAACCGGGGGGAGACTGGCTGAGAGGGCTAGAAGGTGGAGACGAAGATGGCGAAAACAGTTTTCTCCGATAAAAGTCGAAACCAGAAAATCGTCGCGACTTCTTAGAAGGCGTTTGGGGCTCGGCCTTATCCAAAGATATTGCAAGGCTGGAATTGGATATTGAATCGCCCCACCGCCCCATTGTCCCGTTTCCATTCACACCTCCGCTACGCTTACGTTCCCAATTCTGGACGGCTCGGATGTATGCTTCGGACTCCAAAATGTTGATTAGATTCTTTTCGATGTCCTGCTCGGTACCAAACTCGAAACCTTTCATACCCTGAATGACTTGACGATCAAGTTCATCCGCTCGGAGAGGTTCACGGTGGAGTAAGTGATTTTCGGGAGGTCCACTGAAACCTCGTACCATCCACGGGTGGCTAAGGACTTCGGACAGTGGCGCGCGCGCTGCCGGGTTCGTAACCAGCATCCGTGATAGGAGACTCCGGCACTCTGAGCTGAGCCACACTGGGTATTCCACCAACCCCCGTTTTATCTTCGCATGAAGAGCAGGCATACTTTGGTCATCGAAGGGAACTTTTCCACAGACAAGCACATAGAGTACGACGCCGAAACTCCAAACGTCAACTTCCGGGCCAGTATAAACTTTGGCGTTGAGAAGTTCAGGGGCGGCAAAGTAAAGGGACCCACAAAATGTGGACAGGTGGGCCACCGGATCATAGAGATTGGATAAACCGAAGTCGATGATTTTGATGTTACCCGTCTGCGAAATGAGAATGTTTTCGATTTTGAGATCTAGAGAGGGTGAGTGAGATGTATCAGATTATTTTCCCCAATGCTGTACCTCTATGAACGACGTTATTCCGGTGGCAATAATCCAAAGCGCTCCCTATCTGCCGAGCAAACTTCCTCGCCACTCTTTCCCGCAGGCGGCCGTGACTGATGATATAATCGAGCATCTGGCCACCGTTGACATACTCGAAGACCATGTAATAGTGGTTCGCATGGGTAATCATCTCGCGCATACCACAGACATATGGATGGTGGAGTAGCATAGATAGAGCAGCCTCGCGAAGTGTCCGGATTTCTTTTGAAGCGTCTTTCGAGGCTTGCCGTGCAATGGAGTCGGGAGTAGCGCTCGTACTGTGTTGGGTAGCCGCAGGGTTGACCCTTGGTAGTATTTTCACGGCCATCTAGAAAAAGGATGAACACAGAAAAGGGGAAGAAGTGTAGTAGAGCACCTGCTCCCCAGTCAAATTGTGAGTTGCAAGCTTGACCTTGCCCATACTGCCTGCCCCCAACGTCTTTGTGAGGGTATAGTCCCCAAGAATGCGCCTCTGCGTCCGATTTGAGTTGCCATTACTGCGGCTTCCGTCTCTCCGTCTATCTTCACCGGCTGTGTGCGACCGATGATCCCTTGCGTCCGAGGTACTCCCAGTATTCGAGCCGTTCGCAGGCGCCACCGAGGCAATATTATATGCCTGAGGGGGCATGGAAACGGGCCTTTGACGGGTGGCAGAAGCAGATGAACGTGGCACAGCAGCAGAAACAGGTGGGTGAGATTCTGATGGCTGGAGATGTGACGACCTGAGGATTTGCATGTCAAACTCGTGTCCAACGGTGACCGTGCCTCCGTGCGACGGCGTGTGCGCTACGACTGCCTCGACGTCCTCAGGTACTTGGTTCAGTTGGTTTGCAAGAGACGCCGGATATGCTGCTGCCATCAACTGGTATCAGTAGCAATGCAGTCGAATCAAAGCAAGGTCCGTGCGCACGAAGTTGAACGAAGTTGTCACCGAAGATGGTGCAGCTCGCTGCCAAGGAGGGCTGCTCAACGTTGCCGATTTTTGTCACTGTGGACGGTGGTAAAGGTAGAAAGTCGGAGCTGGCTGTCCGCTGCCTAATTTGGTTAAGGGACGACACCTAGACATCTGATGGCAAACGTTTTTTAACAGTAATTCCGGGGTATATTGTGTAGCTACACCAACGATACAGATGCAGAGCAGAAGAGAATTGAGAGTCGTATGCACAGTACAGTACCATCCGAAATTATTGAGGAAAAGGATAGATGAAAGTGACACAGCTTCAGTAATACATACATCAATACTTCATCACCAGGTAAACATGTTATTCGTATGCGAATTCAGTACACCTTGCGCTCTAGGTGCAGCTCCAGACAAAAGAAGAGTATAACTTTGTCCGTACAGCTGGAAGGTGCCTGATCAGTATAGCAACTGTCTGAAAAACTGTATGCTGACTGACTTGAATGATCCCATGATACCTTGTGCATGATATTATGATGTCTTTTTGCTTCCCTCCGGTGTTGGTGGTAACCAGGTCACGGCATGTCGATTGAACATCGGCCAAGGAGGGACCACAATCTGTATCATCATCGTAACGTACTGCGGTTTCACGGGACAAAGTGTGGGACTCACAAGTGCCAAAACAAACACTGAGACGCCGTAAAGGATGAATGTTGTTTGTAATGATTGTAACACAAAGCCGACGATGAAGGATATTGCCTGCGGGATACTGTTAGCACTGCCTACAAAACCTAATTAGACGGAGCCAGCGCTGTACACCAGCCATTGTGACCGGTAAATGTTTCGACAAGCAAAGCATCATCTACCACTTGAGCCGGTAAGTCCCGCACCGCAGAAGAAGCCATATGACTCTGGATTCGCGGTAGAGGGTGCTGAGTAAAGTGCTGCACTGAGGGCAGTTACGCGGGTCTAAAACAGCGGCATATGCGATGGTATTTCGGATATACGAGATGCTTTCAGCCTTGAAAGTGTAGTAGAGGCCTCACCGTCACTGCAATCAAGTATATCCTCGACATTTGTTCAGCCAGTCTCTGGCCTTCAAAATCCTGGAAGGTCTATTAGATACGTCAACAGTACAGAAGATGCAACGACGCACGATTTTTCCTTCGGCTAACTGAGAGAAGGAGTCCATTTTCCACTCGTTTCAAAGAAAGGTCCCCGAAGAAAATATGGTAGGTAGAAGCGACCAAAAGACAGAGACGAGAGAGACGAACGCCTGGTAATGGAGACGTGTAAGTCGTGGATTAGGAAAGTCTCAGGGCCAATTTCGGTCTGGACAAATAAGCACCAAATTTAGCGGCGCATATAGGGACAGATTTTGTATCAAAAACAAGCCATGCTTCTTTGCCTCCGCCGTCGCGCGTCCGGATTCCGCTCCTTGCTTCTTACCATCATCGTCGCGTCTCAATACGGCCGGGCTTTCTTCGAGCTCTGATATATCCCATCTCCGGTAACCTATGCCGTTCGACTAGATGTCATTCCCATATTCGAAGAGAAGAATTACTTGTTATCAGGTGAGAAGAGCTAATATCCAAACTGCGGCAAATTTTCTGAACAGCAGCAATGAATCCACGCAAATCAGTTAATGAACCAATGCCAAGCATCCAAGATGCTCATTAAACGAATAGACTATCCAGTTCGCTCTGACATTGAGTATACTTTCCGGACATACCGGTAATTTCTTCAATTGCGCATAGATCAGCGCCCCTTCTCCCGCGCTATTATCAAGCACAAACGCACACTGTTTCTGTACTCCGGCAGAGATTCTCAGCCTTCCTTGCCATATTTATCCCTTAGCAATGATCCGATGAGGCAAAAATCGTGATCCATGTATATCGCGGCTCCCTTCCTCGCCGGGATCTACTGCGTAATAGTATGGCGCTACAGATTCCGACGAATGCTTGCACCTCAAAGTCCTATCAACGCATCTTTTATCTCCATGGGTATGGACGAGTAGAGCTGTATAAGTGCGGAGTCATTTCCTGTCACTCGTGAAAGATGGCTACCCTCCTCCCCATTCCCCAACCTCCATCAATACCATTAATAGGCAACATAACATCGTTGGACAAAGGTTCGGTGGCTCGTTTTCGATGAGAGGCTAATGGATGATTCTTACTTGTGGTAGACTTACCGACGCGCGGATTTCACCGACTCGCCAAACAGTATGGCGAAATATATCAACTCAATCTTGTTGGTGCGTGTCCATGCTCAACGGCTGTTCCATTGGCTGATTTCGTTCACAGGCAGGGTCGTGGTTTTCGTGAGCTCCTACGCCCTTGTCAACGAGCTGTCGGATGATTCGAGATTCCGGAAATCAGTCGGTAGTATTTTTTACCCACGTCTACATTCTAGCTGTCTGACTCCTTCCGTTCCAGGCGGTGCACTCAAAGAGACACGGAATCTTGTTCACGACGGAATCTTCACGGTATGTTTTCCGTCGTGGTCTTCTAAGTATATAGTCCGGGGCTCTAATAGCGTTCTGTGTTTATCAGGCTTTCAATGATGAACCTAACTGGGCCATTGCACGTATGCAAGCGATTTCGCTTGGCTTAGGATGCCTTCACTGATGTCGTCTCTCTTCACAGATCGCCTTCTTACACCCGCTTTCGGTTGGTTATCTCCCAAGTTCGCCTACAACATCAAGAGTCATTTTTAAAACCTAGGCGCGGTGCCGATTCGCGATATGTTTGAAGATATGCGTGATATCAGCTACCAACTTGTTCTGAAATGGGAACGGTCACTTCATTCTAATTCATTCAGTCAAATCATCGACTTAATGATTTGCAGATTTGGCCCGAATCTCGAGATTGACCCGACAGATGATTTGACACGAGTAGCTCTAGACACAATTGCTCTGTGCTCTATGTCGTATCGACTGAACTCTTTCTACACAGTTCGTGACGCTTCATTGCCAAGCCACTTCATGCTGATTTATTTGTGACGGTAGCACACACAGCCCGTTTTTGTTCGCGCGATGATGGATTTTCTTACGGAGTGCAACCGTCGTGCCAACCGACCAGGCTTTATACAGGCTTTCATGACGAACACGAATGATAAATACGAGACAGACATCAGAATTCTGCGTGAAACGGCAGACAAAAGTACACTGAGATTCGCTTCCTTTTTTTACCCGTTTCATTGATGCCCTCCCTAGTTGTTGCTGATAGAAGATTATATCCGACAGAGAAGCGGGACATTCTTTACTCCATGATGAACGAGAAGGATCCCAAGACGGGGTTGAAACTTTCCGACGAGAGTATTACCAACAATGTGTGTCTTTTCTTCATTGTCTTCCGTAGTATCTGATACGTTTTTTGTTTAGCTTCTGACATTCCTCATCGCAGGTGCATATCTTCCTTCTTTGTCGTAAATGCACCTCGACTTATGAATATCTAGGGCACGAGACGACATCTGGAGTCTTGTGCTTCGTGATATACTACCTGTTGAAGCATCCTGATGTGATGCGTAAACTCCAGAAAGAAGTTGATGGGATTCTTGGGGACGAGCCTGCTCAGTTGGGTGATTTCAGCAAGATGCCTTATCTCAATGGTAAGTTGCTTCTATATGACCCGCTTGGCCGCAGCTTATCTTTTTGTCCCGTCTATTCCAGCTGTACTAAGGGAAACGTTACGCCTACAACCTACAGCGGCCATACGAGTGGTGTATCCACCTGAGGACACCGTCATTGGCAGAGGCAAATATTTTGTCAAAGCTGGTCAAGCAATCGCTCTCCAGATATGGGACTCACATAGGGATCCTTCTGTGTGGTCTGACGATGTTTGTACTTCTTTTTCTCGAACATGTTCGATGTTGAACTCTGTTGGCAGGCTGAAGAATTCCGACCTGAAAGAATGCTGGATGGAAAATTCGAGGCGGCACCGGTAAGCGCAAAGTTCTGCATTAGACTGTCCTTCTCACGTTACCATCAAGCCTAATGCCTGGCAACCTGTAGGTCATCATTTCTTGCGGGGATGGGGACTAAAGCATATTGCTGCATAGTTTGGTTTTGGGCTTCGGGGGTGTATTGGTCGCCCGTTCTCATGGCAAGAGGTGAAGTCTCATTTACATAATGGTCGTCGATGGATACTAATGTATAATGTAGATGTCACTTGTGATAACGTCCATCATACAGCGACTTGACTTGTCGCTTGTCGATCCTTCATATACTTTGGAAATTACGCAAGCCATCACTATCAAGCCCAAGAATCTTCGAATATATGCCAAGCCGCGACAGCAGCAGCTTCCTCGACGTCGTTCTTTGACGCCAGACAGAAAGATAGATTGTCCAGTATCACTCCTGGAATCGAATCGTCATCTGAAGCGTCCGCTGTATGTTTACTACGGCTCCAATACCGGGAGCTCCGAAGCTTTTGCTCGAACCATCGCCAGAGAAGCTCATGAACACGGTCAGCAAGCAACTTCAGAAAAATCACTTTTTAACTGAGACCGTCTCCAGGTTTTCGCTCGTCGATTGGGACTCTTAATTCTACGGTTGGTCATCTGCCAACAGATGGTCCTATTGTGATCGTCACTGCGTCATTCGAAGGTGCGTATATCATAAATTTTCATCACTCACTGTGACCGATAGCTTCATTCAGGAGAGCCGGCGGACAACGCGAATCAGTTCGTTCCTTGGATGACAAGTCTCCTCGGCCATGAGCTGGATGGAATACGTTTTGCCATATTTGGATGTGGTAACCACGAATGGAGAAAGACATACCAGCGGATTCCTAGGCTATGCGATGTCCTACTAGAGAAACGAGGCGGACGTCGACTGATTGATAGGGGGGAAGGAGATGCCGCGGATGGGAACATATTTGATGTGTTTGAGCAGTTCAAGACATCCTTATGGGATGTTCTTTCCAGAGTCGGTGTTACCATTGGCATCCTGTTGTTGTCTTCTGATCTCATTGATCGCAGGAATATCATGCTTTACATGATAGGAGTTTATTTGATGTACAGGTTCTAGATAGTCGAAGAGCTGAGATCCTCCAGCATTCTGAGATGACTTTGAGCTGTGTGCGATCGAATGTGTTGTTGACTCGGTCTGGCTTTCCCGCCAAGCACCATATCGGTGAGGGTGGAGATACGCGTGTATCGTCCGTGCACTAATCGACATCACTAGAGCTTGAGTTACCCCATGGAATGACCTATCGTGTTGGAGATTACTTATCTATGTGGGTCTGCCGCTACCTTGCAAGATGGAAACTGACTCCTACCTTCTTTAGCTTGCCGCAAAATCCACCTCGGGATATACATCGTGTGTTTTCCCATTTCAGGTTACCTTTTGACCAAGAGGCTAGTGTTCTGTGCCAGCTGTTTCGCGTGCATTGTCTTATGAATGTCCCTTGTAGATTAGAATTTCAGCGCCGGGTACGGCCCTCCTTCCTGTAGGAGAACGTGTACCTCTGTCAAGCATTCTCAGCGAATTTGTTGAGCTCTCACAACCTGCCACAAAAGACGACATAGTCAGCCTCTTGGATTTCGCAAGATCGGATTCTTCTCGACGTTATCTCCGTGATCTGATGGCTAACCACACCCACCTTGTGACATCGAAACGACTTAGCGTTCTCGACATTCTGGAGCAGCAAGATGTAGACCACATAGATCTTCCTCTGGTTAAATTTATTCGTATGCTTCCTTCAATACGACCAAGACAATATTCAATCTCCTCATCACCGCTATGGAATAGTCGTCGTGTTTGTCTTACATTCAGCGTCCTCGACTCCCCTCCTCTCTGCACGTCCAAAACCCGCTCATTTTTGGGTGTAGCCTCTAATCATCTCGCAAACCTTCATACGGGAGACCAGGTCCTGGTCACAGTCAGACGATCCGTTGCCAATTCTCACTTGCTGTCGGACCCTTCCCGGAACTTGGTGATGATCTGTGCTGGATCTGGTTTCGCGCCAGTAAGAGGGTTCATCCAAGAGCGTGCAATGCGGAAGCGAGCAGGTGAAGCTGTCGGAAAAATGCTGCTCTTCGTGGGATGCAGATCCCCTGATGGAGATTTCCTGTATTCTGATACGGATTTAAAGGAGTGGGTGGACATTGGACTAGTGGATGTCCGGGTAGCGTTCTCTCAGTGCCCCGATAAATCTCAACAATGCTGTTATGTACAAGAGTGAGCGTTTTAGTTGTCACTTTGTTTCACCTCCTGATGTCTTCTTGTTTCGCAGTCGCATTTTGTTAGACAAAACCGAGATGCGAGATGCCCTATTGGGAGATGCCCTTGTAAGGCCCTGTATACCTATTCACTATATGTTACTGACGTTGCATTAGTTTTTCGTTTGCGGTTACAAGCGGGTTGTGAGTGCTGTGAAGAATACGTTGACTGTGTTGTTACTGCCTGAAGGAGTCTCAGGTCCTGGGAGTCTCGCACAGGCTTCGGTGGAGTTAGACAATCTCCTCGCAGAGAGATACTTCACAGATGTCCTTGAGTAGCTGTGTCAATGGGAATAGTGTAATGTGAGTCTGAGGTGACTGAGTGCTGCAACGTGGTCGTCTTGAAGACCTGTACAAAATCAACTACTATCAGCACGTCTGATCATCGAATGATCAGTGATTTCGCATTCACGTTGCTGAAGGGGAATCAAGAATGTGGAAGATCTCAGGTTCATTTCTTTCATCTGCACATTGGCCTGATGTGAATAAAGGGCCGCTGGAGATGGGAGTATATTTGATATGTATCAGCTGTCTAACGATAAATTGGGTATTCAAACGTTCAGGCTCGCGTTTGAAGCGTTTCCCCAACGACGCTCGCTTGCTTTACAGTCGCGTTTCCTTAGGAAAGATTGAGACGGTCATACTACCGTAAATATAAACATATTTCCCTCTCTTTCTGTAGTAAATATCTGTTGACGCAGATCTTCCTTAGCGGTTGGCAAGTGTGGTTCAGGACAAAGTGGTCGAAATGCACGCCAACTACCGAGGAGTTTCACGCTTTGGCAAAGATGGAAAGTCCCATTTCAGATTCCGTAACCACCCTCAGCCAACCCTCGGCGCTTCAGCGCAATGCGGCCAGGGAGCGCGGATTCTCTTGACAAACATGGGCAAATTTGACTGCCTGACTCCACGAAACGTTCTCCCAAACCCTCGAACTCAAATTCAGGTCAGCAACGCTCTTGTTTCTTACATACGGTTTGAGGTATTGGTCCTTATTTTTTTGTCAGGTAGCTGATGATGAAGCACTTGTACTTGGGTACGGACCTCGTGGAAAGGGACGACATCTCGGACTACTAAACATACTCGAAGTACCATAGACCAAGCCCGAATAGTCCACGGATAACGCCCTCTCGATCGTTACATACGAATTGATATCTAAGGTGCAGCAATAGCAATGATGAAGCAGTTAGGCATCGGAGTAACCGGGACTGGCGGAATGAGATGGACCTAGCCCAAAGAGTGCATTTCCGATTTCGTTGTCTTGTTGAGCCATGGCGCTCAAGTGGTGCTATAGCAAGCTGCGTTGGTGGCACCTCAGCAGATGTTACAGGATAGTTCTGATGTGGTGCGATATAAAGTTCTTGCACTCGGTGCGTGCTACTTTTTTCAAAGGTAGAATGCTGACTGACGCCCTACTTCCGCAGACCTTTTGCCAATATTATTCGCGGTCGTAACCCACAGGCAGATAATGATCATGATACACATCTGGAAGAATTGCAACGAGCTGGCGTTCTTCTAAGCTCGTATCGCGTTCCCTAGTATGTGGGGCCGAGAATATCAAACACGCCGCGCCTTGAAACAACTCCTTGTCGTGTTGTCGTGTTGATTACTATGTTCTTGACACCACCATTTCTTGAGGGGGCCGCCTCGACCATACGAATCTAATTCAGCATCAGGAATTTCGACTAGTACACATTAGTCTGAAGTGGTAGTATAATCAGCCACGACGAATCCACGACCTGCGCTTCTCTATGTTCACAGCCACAAAAACAAATACCGGCGATCTCGTGCTGCTTCACTGGGATAAATATGGCCAAAAGCTGTGCTAGCACGGGGGTTTTAGCCGTAATGTATAATTCCCAAAAGGACGGATGGCAGTGTCTTCTGTGTTCACTCGTTCCCGCAGTCTATTTATTCGCGACTTGCCCAGCTCCAGTTCACATTTACTCCTTCCCCTTCACCGCCGTCTCCCTCCCCTCATGCCTTTAATCCCTCTCACGAGGCGCACTTCAAGCGCGACTTTGAGTTCATCGGATTCGGGGACGAGTACTCAGGTCATTATTGGGGTCGTAGTGGGTGCTGTGGTGCTTTCGCTGTTCATAGCCTTTGCGGTGTGGTTTTTCTTCAAGCAGTATCGTCGTCGCCGCAACCCTTCCCCATCTTCCCCCAACATTATCTACAATCCAAAGCTCAGTCGTGTGGCAGACATTGGCCGACTGCTTGATCCGGAACCTTCGTCTCGATTTGAGACCAAAGACTCGCGTCCCTTACTTTCGCCTGAACCTACCCCTGCCTTTCATACAAAAATCGATTCTAGTAACACATGGGTACCTTCTGGCGTCCATTACTCAAACGTCGCACCAGCAGAGGAAGCATATCATATCGAATTCGAGCGACTCCCAACACCTACATTCAGTGATCAATTCGGGGACCGGCTCTTGTCGTCGTCATTGATGGAAGAGTCTTCAACACCTTTCCTGCAGAGTTCGTTCAGTTCGAGACATACATCCCCACAAACCTCTCCTCCAGCAACACCCTCACCTGTACCCAGCCCTAAACATCTTCCTCGTCTCCTTATCCCCGGCAAAGATAAGCCTGCCATTCCTGTGTCCCGATACCTTCTTACGCGTCCGATTGCGAAGATGGAGACACCCGCCGAGACATCGCCCATATCTTCTTCTTCATCAGTCTCATCTGAATCTGTGTACTCGCAAGCGAGCGCTTCAACGCGTAGACATACCATGCTATCTATGTATGAAGTGCCGCCGCCAGTCCCATCCATTCCCCTCGCTTTCCGATCAAGCTCTGGTATACGCCCTTTGCCCCAGGTTCCGGATCACGTCTTGAAACGCGTGCACGAGGAGGAAAATCAGGGTGACCTGTACAGGATGCCAACGAAAGTGATAGCCGGTCTGGTGAAAGGTCGGGTAAAACGTACTAGAGCAGTAGATCTCGAACGTCATACGAGCAAAGTGTCGCGTATCGAGAGGGCAGATTCTATCAAGTCTCTCGCAACGCCTTCGGATGACGAGGAGGAGACGACGTCCATGTCTCTGCATTACCCCCGCCTTGAGCGGACACAGAGCCGATGGGTGAAGAGGTCACAAGCTCGGATGGACACAGTAATGGAGTCGCCTTTATCGGCGTCTCCGGATGCTTATTACACGTTTAACGTTTCTACTTCTCCTTTGCGGGTGAGGAAAAATTCTTCACCCATTTCGTAACGTTTCGATAGACTATCATTTCTATATTCGACGAACAGCGACGTAAGTGTTTGGACGACAGCCTTACATATTTATGTATAACTTATTCTATAGGACCGCACTCTTTTTAGGTTCATATTATTGATATTATTGTATTCCCATAACTGTACATTATCGAAACGTTTACTAATTCACGGTAACCAAGCTCCGAAATGCCCGCGGCCTCTCACAGCTCACTGAAACTGCGGCGACTGTTGGGCTGTACAGCGTGGCGGCGCGGCTCGGCTGCTGCTACGCGCTACGCACCAACTTGTCGAGCTCCCACATTATCTTGAGCTCCTGGTTTGTCGGGTATGGTTTATAACGTGGTGCCTTTTGGGTAGTACTAAGTACCGTCCCGCAGCATATACCTACGGCGAGGCCTGACGCCTAATGAGATGAGGGATTTCTATCTTTGGGTGGTGCTGGGCATTGGGAAAGGGTATCGGCATCTCAAGCCCATCTGCGATATGGTGACATTCATATCAAGTTGTACAGATAATAAAGCATGCTTTCACTGAAGTGTACCTAATACTTCCTTCCTGCTCTTGGAATTCGGATCCAAGAATGGCTTCTCTCCCAAACTCACAACGCGGTTACCTTGGCGTAGGCTAGAACCATAGTCGTTGCTAATGACAACGTAAGCGTAAGAAATGCGGTAAGGAAAGGCGATACACGTACGTTGCGGTGTGGAAAGTGGACCGGTTGTCCCAAATCGCGACATCATTCTTCTGCCATCGGAAGCGGACCTAAACGACGACGCATCAGGTATACTAACCATAGTCAAGCAGCGCGAACTACCTGAAGATCATGATTTTCTGAAATATGCCTCGACAGATATGCCAAAATATCATCAGACTCGTCCAAGGTCAGTTCGACGATGCGTTTCGTGAACCTAAGAACCAGTTCGTTCACCACGAAGGGAAATTTGTAGTACTGGAACTCACGTTTGATTCACGAATAAAGACTTGAATCTCGTCACCGGGTTTGTTCGAATGACCGGGCTTGCAGAACACGTAGTATTAACTTGCATGTTAGTCGGATGGGATAGCTAATGAACCCTCACTGGATAGCAGTCAGGTCGGAACCTGTGTTCTCTGGTGCACCACGAGGATCCTGAATGGGAAGATTCTGTTGTCGGGCATACTGGTGCAACAGCAGCCTCAATCAGTCAAAGTAATGGCACGAGAAATGAAGGGGATCTTACCTTATTGAAAAATTCGCCACTATGCCGTGCATGTAAACCCTCAAGGAATTGCTTGTATGCAGGCGAAAGCCTGTCATAGGCTTCGTAACCGCTTTTTGATACTCAATAAGGCAAGCTGAGGGATCAATAGAAATAATCACCTTGCCCACTATCACGCAGAATTAATTAAATAAGCTGATGCACAAAATCCGAAAAATACGTACTAGAGTATCCCCTCCAACTATCGAGCCGTGGCTTCGCATTAATTCTTATCATAGGTACAGATTGTGTGCTCACCAGGTGGTAGCGTATGCATCTTCAAGAGCTGGGTGACGAAGCATAGCATAAGAACCAAAAATAAATCAACCAGGATGAAGGTGCTCACGGCGTAATCTGAAGGAATCTTCTCAAAAGTAATATCCGCATGCCATCCCTTGCTCGCCCTCGTGCTTTCGTCTAACTCGGCCCGCGCAATTCCACTATACTTATACATCAATCGCCGACCCACATTCAATAGAGCGTCTCCTCTACTCACCCCTTGCTCGAAATCACACTGACATCCTTCCCCAGCTCAGGCACATCCTCAGAGATCGGATGGATGTGCAAATCCGACGTCCTAGGGTTTCCAGACAACTTTCCCATCCGCCTCGCGAGCTCCTTCTGCTGGTCTATCGTAATGGTTTGGTCTGTGAAGAATACAACACCCCGGTGGCTGACGAGCGTAGCGAGGTCTTTGATGAGCTCGTCGCTAGACAGGAATGAGGACAACTGGGTGGCTTTGGAGGGGAAACGTGTTCCGATATGGGTGGTCTCATCGTAGTGGGAGAAAGCGCCTAGGGAGCCGAAGATATCAGTAGCAGGTGCTTGGACCATGATGATGATAACATGATCTAGAGACAAAGATTCTAGGTTTTATGGAGGGGTAGACGATAAAGACTCCAAATGTCGCTATCAGCACGCCATATGTTGGTTAATCATCAGAGTTGAGATAAGTACGAAAGCTGGCCACCTGGTGACTGAGGAAGTTTCGTAAAGGTGGTACAAGATAGATCCAGGAATCGATAACTCGGCGCCTCTGAGTAGTCGATCTCAGAGTTCCATGGTCCTGCTCACGTCCATTTGGCGCAACCTTATCTGGTACTGGCAGCTACTTAAGAGACGATGAAATTTCAGATGTCCTAATTATCAGATAACAGGAGGTCGATCTGACGTTTTCCTATCGACCTCTCCAGGCTTCCCCGCAACAAAACGGACACATAGAACAGAGTTGGGATACAAGTTATCCCAGGTGACAGTCAGGCGATAAGGCTTGAATAGCTTCCTGAACCCAGTTCCGAAGGCAAAACGACCCTGGACCACCAGGACTTTGGGGGCATAAAGATGGTATGGGCATACGTAATACACGGTGAAGGGTAAAATCATTTTAAGACGCATAGAAGAAACTCTGAAGGAATAGAATATGTTTATCAGTTCTTTCACATTGGGGGAGAGAGCGAGAGAGAAAATAGCCCAAATGCCAGAGGACGCTAGAAACTCGATAAAGACAGATGCGTGCAAAGAGTAGTCTCGTAAGGCTTCTGAAAGGTACTGTCACAGGGCTATGTAAAGAGGCGAGATCACTAGAGATGTCCAGAAACTAAAGTCTGCATTGTCGTCGTGAGTAACGAGTGACTGATATAGGCCGTTGGAAGGAATCGAATTAGGTAGCATATCATTCTTGAATGTTTTATTGTCGACTTAAGATGTAGAATTTGCACCAGACGTTCATGTGAACGTTCGATCCTTTCTAATCCGACGTGAATACATTTTCAAGCAGAACTAGAGAAAGATGGTAGGAGAAAAAAAGACGGATGATACGACGTACAACCAGATGTTCAAGTTTCCCCCAGAACGCAAACAGAGTGAGCATTTGATATCTGGATAATCCAAGGTGAAGGGCAAGGCTCATTGCTAAACAGTAAAGCCAGTTGTAGCAATGTTGGACACGACAAAACGGCGGAAAACAAGACAGTAAAAGGTTGAGCGACAGATTCAATTTCCGAGGAGTCCGAGGACAGCAGTTGGAACGTGAACGTGATCAGTGACGCGTGTCGTCTTGAGGGCCGGCCACTAAGTGAAACCTTCCGACGTTCGGCAGATTCTTAACTAGAACACTAATACTACACGTACCTGCTTAACCGTTCTGCAGTATGATGCGAGGGTCAGGCGCCCAGGTATCTGTCTACATCTAGACTGAAACCTATGATGTTTATTTGAGATAACATCCAGGACCACGAGATCGGCTATGTCATAGACACCCTCGTCGAGGAACTGACGGGATCATATTACCAGAATTTGATGTTTTTGATAACCCAAACGTCCTTCGCCGCTCCCATGCGCAAGAAATCTCTTTCTCTTATCCACATCCCCATCCGAGATGTCTCTGCAGAATATTACAGTGCCATCTTGGCAGTCTTGGAGGAGGCCTATCGTTTCATTGACTATGGCCAATTTCTTTTGTGCTCGGGCTATAACCACGAATCCCTTTTCACCGAGGCCGGCGACTGTATACGTACTCTTCAAAAGGAGTGCAACCGAGCCAGGCAAGCAGAGTTCCAGCTCGAGGAGCTTCTGGAGCAAAGTGAGACCCTCTTGATCTCAGAGCTACGAGGCTCTCATGGTCTGGAAACTCTCCTTCGCTACACCAGGAGATGTTGTATCCTGTCGTCCTATCGGCTCGAGATAATGGAACGTCTTCCCCGTCGCATTTCAAGATTATGTCGGGGAGCCCGAAACATCCTGACGCGCATCAATCGCTTAGAAGAGCTGGTCTTCAAAATCCAAACACAGCTCTGGGACCCTGAATGGCGTGCTCGTCATATGGATCAGCAGGAAGTTCTCCAACCTTTGGTTGACATTCTCGAATGGGAATCTCGTCAATGTGACGGAGTTAAGTATTACATCGGTTATCTGTACGACTACACTCCCTCGAAAGAGCCTCCCATTCGTCCTGATTACAGGGGTCCGTGGGATCCCAACAATATCATATGGAACCATTTTTGGTGGTGGTTGTAGCGACGTTTTGTAGTACCTGACTACTTGTCTTTTCCCATCTTTCAGTGAATCGAATATCATCAATGGTCGATGCCTATATCCTTTCGCATTCATCTATCTCACAACGACCTACTGGGCTAATCATATCATCTAGATAAGGTGCAGCATCAACACAGTAGTTTAAATATTGAATATCGGGTTCGCTGTCCACGTTGAAGGACACTGCTTAAGCATACACAACTAAATACGGGAAAAATTACTAGTACAATAAAAGGTGAGCCGAAACACTCTACAAGGGAATTCCATTGACGGCACGCTGAAGGATCCCGTCAAGAACCAGTCCTGCCAGGACGATGTTTCCTATCATCGGGGTGCGGAGGAAAAACTTCATACATTGCCTAGGGTCGTCGATGTTGGTTGAGAGCAGCTCCTTGAGCAGAATACCTGCCGAGATCGCGATGGCGAAGTGATATGGCAGGCCCTGCTCGTTGAGACGGCCACCGTACGACATGAGGAACGCAAATCCAATGGTAGTGGTGGCGCAAACAGGGATGGTGTATTCCCCGCAGAACATGGCTAGAGATTTCATGCCGATTTTGACATCATCGAGCTTATCCTGAAGAAGATTCATTCAAAAATCAGTGTCTATGATAGTATATTATACTTACCTGGTGCTGATATACAGTCTCGTAGGTGATTGTCCAAAGGATGGCACCGATGTAGGCGACTGTAAGGGACGCCCAAGGAATACGACCGTCAGGTGTAAGATCGGCCCAGCCCATGAATATTCCGATGTTGAACATCAACCCCTTGGAAGGAGTAAGACTTTGAGACCATGAATAACAATGCGATGCTACATACCAGTGGAATGGGAGCAAAGTACATCCATCGCTTGCACGTGGGATACAAAACATATAACGGCCAAACAGTCATGGAAATGTGACGACTGCAATGAAAGATCTAACAAAGTACGCCAATAAAGACGTTATTACTTACGCGTCAGGACTTAAGAAGATATTGGCCAAATAAACACCGACAACGACCTGGAGGGCAAAGAACAACCAGGCACGTTCTATACTGATCGCGCCTCGGGGAATGGCGCGGTTCTTAGTGCGTTCAACGTGAGCATCGATATCATAGTCGAGGATATCATCAATAGTCATAATCTAGGAGAATTATATGAGACTCATTGCCAAAGCGTATGTCAAGATCACCAACCAGGGATTTAATACCGATACAGAGGAAGAAGTAAAGTGCTGCACGGTGTAGAACATTGATCCCGCTAAGTTCGGGATAGGCGTGGTATACCATAGCAAGTGACCACGCTGAAAACATGCATTAGACTATTATTCACGGATAAAATGGAAGATCACTATTCTTACCTACGGGTAAGAAAACGGTAGCGCAGCCCATACCATTCTGAAGTCGACAGAGCTCCCAACAAGCCTGAATCTCGGTACGTGTCGGAGGGGCTAGGGATGTGAGAAGGCTAGAGAATAAAGAAGATCTTTGTGAGGGGATGGCTACCCTAGATTTCTCATGAGAGAACGGAAGGGCAGTCAATCCACTGTTGTTGAAAACCATCTGTAAATCCTAATAGGCAACGAACTTGGCTCCATCTTTCCATGAAACTTTCTGTTAAATAAGACATAAGCGAAGACATGATTAAAACGGCAGATCTTCCCACTGCTCGTCCTTGGTCTCTACTGCGTCCAAACCGCAGTTCCTACGGTTGGCATCAGTGGCATTCCAATTCATAGGACCATATTTCACGCGAGAATACCACCCGAGAGCCAATGAAAGCCTAGGTTTCGACATGATTAACAGGGAAAAAAAGATCCTCTGGGCCTAAGAAAAGGACTTGAATTACAGCGCACGGCTTCCGTATTGACTTGTCCGACATCCTGACGTTCGCAACAGATATCCGAACCGTCTGCGCCCGCTTCTCCGATTCGCACTTGAGCGGTGATGACCAGATCAGGAATCGTCCTTATTGACCAAAGGATCCAACTTATTCTTTTTCATCAAGTGATTATAGACGTTGCTGTATATTCAAGATTCTTCGTGATCGCTGTGAATGGTAGCGCTCGGTCGCCGTTGAGTATGTGGTAGTGCTTACACTAAAATTAATCGCCGGGTGATTCAAAGGGACATACATGACGAACGTGATTTTGGATGATTCTAAATCAATGTCAATTCGAAATTAGAAGGACCTTTGACGACGAAGAAAAGACAATCACTTACACATTACGTACGGAGAACAAAATTGGCAGGAAGCCCTCTCCGGCCTCTCTCAGAAAACATGATCCAGTAATCACCCTGATCCTAGCAGAATTGCCCTTGGTAAACACTGTCGTAACTTTTTCCTGCGGTACACAGCGTCGAGATATGTCCAGAACTGCAGATACCAACACGTCACTTGAAGTCTTGAACCAATGATTTTGAAAGCCGACTCGGACTCGCACGCCAAGGTTCACGAAAGATGAAATGCCCATCGGAGTTATGTTAAGGGAGAACAGAGAACTTGCTACTATGTAGTTGTTAGCGACATTGGAAGAGAAACGATTCAGGGTCGCCTAGACGACACCACGACCACGTGCCGCGAAAACTTCGACTGAACCTTGAAGTATCGAATTCGAAGATAGATCTTCCTATCAGTCTGAAAGGGTCTGAAAGCTTTCGCATATGTCAAACGGCTGTCACGAACGCAGCTGGTCAGAAGGACATGACAATGAGTTTGACGGCCAGACTCGGATCATATTAACGTAAATACAACTGGCGTGCTAATGCGCTGCCACATCGCGTCGATGATTTTACGCCAAATGACGCCCGTGTGAGACGCGAAGGGGTCTGGGCGGAACAATAGGATGGACCAATATGCCGACAGAAGCGTGCCTTAGCATGTTTGCCTGCTGCCAAGATATCAATAACCTGCTCATCTGTAAGGCCATGAACTAACAGGGATTGCATAGACTCGAACAGAGGACCCACCACATGCTCTGTCACAGGAAATACTCTGGCGGGGGTCTTTTTGTAGGTATAGATCGCACATCCTGTAGCCATCATCAGCGGATGAACGGGGAGTAAGACGAGAAGAGGATATCTACCATTGGCGCATGGTTGAACACTTTATACTCCTGCCCAAGGTGTTCATCTAGCTCCAATATCGACGCGACATTCCCACACCGATAACAATAATTTGGTGCACTCCACACAGTGACGATCATCCTGTCAAACATCAGCTTGTATCCCTCCATCGCGAGCTGGTGTGCACGGGCGATAAGGTCTAATGCGTTGTGATGCGCAAAATTTTTCGTTATATCAGCACCGAAGAGGAAGCCGGCACCTCGAGGGGAGAGGCCCCAACCTGTTATAGTATCTGCGCTCCAGCGTCAGCGAGACGAGTATCGATAGTACGCGGACAAAAGAAATTCGTACCATCCGGATCTGACCAGAGGAGATCACACATTGGTCCTTCGTGTGGCACTTCTTGCTTCCGTTCTATGGCCCGGATTTGATCTATACTGGCGAGGCTGGGGCTGAGGCCGCCGTGCACACAAAAGACACGACCGTCGACGATCGCACCGAGAGCAAGATAATCGAATACCTCGCAGCACCAACGCCATACATTGGAGCTACCATATTTCCGCTGGCACTCGTCATAAAATCCATATACCTAACCTCAGTTAAAGTAAAAGAAAAGGTCAACAAGTTACGGTGGACGCACCTGGGTTATTTGCCGACTCTCGTGGTTCCCTCGTATAAGTGTTATACGGTCCGGATAGCGCACTTTCAGGGCCAGGAGAAGGAGGAATGTCTCTACGCTATAGAAGCCACGGTCGACAAAGTCGCCTGGAATGAAAGTAAGACAATAAAATGCGCATATATGCAGGTGCACGCACCCATGAACAGGTAGTTTGTGTCTGGACACCATCCTCCCACCGTGAACAGCTCCATCAGGTCGAAGAATTGGCCGTGTATGTCACCACATATCTATATCGACGTCAACAAAGGGGCGGCAAATGGCAACGGAGGCGCTGACTGTAACCGGCGAGTCGACAACCTGGACATTGCCTTCTTCAATGAGGATCTCCCGAGCCTTGATACACAGCGTCTTCACTTGGGCCTCGGATATCGGTTCACAACGGCTAAGCTGGGCTATTTGACTGAAAGGGCTGAGCTGCAGATATTTGACAGAAACACGGCGCGCACCTGTCGAGATCGCTGGGCATGCTGAAGAGAGGTGGGTACAAGACTTTACCAAGCGAGTGTCATTAAAGATGCATAGCCACACAAAAGATAGGGGTCACGGCGCGTCACTTATCTTCCAACCTTTCAAATTTCAGGATTCAGAAACGGTTCCAAGATTCACCGTATCTGGCGTTGCATACTTATCGACAGGATTCGACTGACTTCTTGTTTCGAGTCTTCTTCCATACGTTCAATCTACATGTTAGGATTGAAATTTACATTCAGGCGCTATCATTTCGAACTAATTCTAAGCGACCTGCCATCGAACCCGAGTGCTCAGACAGATTTCAGTCTTCCGCATGAACTCGTATTGGTTGTGCATTGATGATCCGTGATCAGAGAAAACAACTTCCATGGATTCAGAAGTATACAGGTCAAATTAGTATATTCAATTGGATGAGAGAGGAGGACGAGATTTAGCTCTGTTGTCCGTTTCCAGTCCTATTTCACGACCCGTTGGTGTCTGCCTGGGAGAGGTCTTTTGTTAGAACATGAAGAAACACTCCGACTCCCGTTTGGTGTTGTCGGATCGCAGAATCGGAAGTCGCGGATATCCGGACCGAGGAGTTCAGCACTTCCGATCAGGCCGATCAGATCCGAAAGATCAGATATGGATTTCTCACTAACGCACTACCACCACCATGTCGACAGGGATAATATGCTCGACCCATCGCTTCAGCTCATAAGGCCTAGCATTTACGCTCAGACATGATATCTCCATTTCAAGAGGTGGGGTCGGAAAACCTAACTTGAATCCAACTCACGAGCCCTTTATACATCCTGTCATTTCGACTTTCTTCTCTCCGCTTCGCCCACCTGCGTACAACAATCCGTGCGCTTCCTCGCCCAGTGCTTTTCTCTCCTTGTTGAGCGAGAACAGGCTTCATCAATCGCCCTCTTTTTTTTTCGTTCGCTAGTAACACTTGGCTACTTGGGTCCCGGTTCACAGTATCTATCAAGTGCAAAAATAGGTAGATATTCTAGTGCTGCGGGGGCCGAAGGCATCGTCAGCTTTTGCACCTCTGCTCCATGACGCGAGCTCAGCACCAAAGAATAAGAAGGTTTCGCATCGCCCAGCAACGAGTAAGTGGCACTCTTTCAGACAAGTTTAGATTAAATCGTGCTGAACCAGACCCTTACCACTAGGCCTCACTTCTCAGTCCCTTAGTGCCACCAGATCAAATGACATGATCGACTTCGCAAGTGGCAGGACACTGGTCTCCTTAAAAGATGATGTCCCGATGCTGTTGTCTCTCTACCCAACCACCACCACCAAGAGTACCTTGCAACCCCAGGCGAACCAGGTCTGTCGCCGTACTTGAATGCAGCAGCTCTGAACTTATACAGCAAAAAAAGACGCGATGTACACCTTTCCTCAAGAGCTCATCGACGCCGTGATCGATCAGTTACACGGGGACAAACCTGAAGCTGTTCGGGACCTTCTGTCGTGTTCACTAGTCTCTCGGGCATTCGCTTCATGCACCAGGACCATCCTTTTTGAAGATATTGCCTTGAGGAACTCAGAAGACTCAGACCGCTGCTTTCATGCCTTTCTCGCATCCCAGCGCAGCGCTGGTCCAGTAGTGAAGGCGCTCCTGGTGGAGCCCGATAACGAAGAATGGGATATTGCTGCTGACCCTTGTCTAGAGCACATCCTGTCGTTGTTCCCGAACCTCAAGACAGCCAAACTGTCACGGATGAATTGGGGTCACTTTCCGACCAAACTCCTTACGGCCTTGTTCTCTGCGCCACAGCTTTAATCTGTTGTGCTCAAAGACGTGGGCATATCGGACCTCGAAGGCTTCCACGCATTCTTGCACCGATGCTCTGGAATGAAGGATCCCGCGCCATTAAGTGTAACACTCACGTCCCCGTACCCAATGGATGCTGAACTAGAGGGGTTCCCACTAAAAGTGTTAGAGGTCCGCTGTAGTAAGCCCTCCTCCATCGCGTCAAGTGGCCTATATAATTTACAACGTGTTGTCTAGGGGATGAGCATCACCCTATCTTCGTCAGATCAACTGTTCTTTGTTCAATGGAGTCGTTGAGGGAGTTGCGTCTGTTTTTCTTGCAAGGTGAGGGTGCTTATGTTTCTGGACCCAATCTGTACTTACGGCCCCACAGCCGTTGCACCCACGCCCCCATCCTTTGTACTTCCAGTATCTCATCTACAGTCAATTGCCTGTGACCTAGGCGATATACTTGGCATGCCGATAGGCCCGGTACCGATCCTCCAATGGTGGATATCCAACTTTCAAGCGCAGAATAATCAAGTCGAGAAGATCACGATTCGCGTTTATCTAAACATTGCCAGCGGCGAATTGAAAGAAAAATCCGCTCCTCAGTGGCGCGAGCTTGACCGGGTGCTTTTGACAAAGGCTCCGAAGCTTCGAAAGGTCCAGGTTATCTTGACGCTTCACAATGAGGGATACGGTGACCTGATGACTGAGACTCAGCTGGTCGTTATGGATAATTTGAAGGGCATTAGGAAGATGCATGTTGAGCTGGAATTCCGGATGGTCTTACAGTCGGAGACTGACCATGCCGAGTAAGTTTCTTCATTGTCTGCTTACTCCATATAGGAGTTGATTTTTTCCTGGAGGAGCAAAACGACTTTGGCTTGTGATGGAGAGGAATAGGTTTGTATTACACCTTTGCCTACCTCGGTCTTGTGGCGTGTAGCAAGTAATCGTTCGCTATCAGATGTTACTGATCGATTCATGCAATGATGGAACTAGAGCAGGGCCGAAGAAATTGACATTTAATTATTTAAATAGTCTATCAAGGTCGATATTACGCCTTGTATAGAATAAGAAGATCAATGTGATCGAGAGCCTACAAAAACTATGAACGACCTTCCTTCAAGTCGTTCGCCCGTATCAGCATCGCTGCTTCCTCTGACCGAGGCACAATATGACACTTGAAGGGTTCGGGGTGACTGTATACCATAATAATAAGTATTCACTCAAAGACCATAGATACCTGAACCGGTCTCACCAAATAGTCGACGAAATGTACCCCTCGCTACGGGAGAAATCTGGTTTTGGCGCCTTTCCATCCGCTCGGGAAATATTAAAGACTGAGAGTATCATCGCAACCGCGATGAAGAGAGAGTTATCAGCGAGGTGCTGCCCTGGACATACTCTGAGATGTACGTCAGCGATTACTATAAAATCTGATGGATGAAGCCGAATACCGTCGTCCGTAACCGAAAGCGAATTTGTGAGGATCAGGGTTTAGACCTTTCGCCTTGGCTTCGTTGTCGAAATATCGCTCGGGTAAAAATTCGAAGGGCGAAGGGTAGACATCTGGGTCGTGAAGAACAGCCCTGAGTTTGGGTCGAAAATCAGCAGGCAGAGTAAGAGAGCGATTGATACGCGTACCAGCTATTCGGAATTACGATGGACCCAGCGGGAATGAAATACCCGTTGTAATGATCGTCCTTGGTTGATCTATGTGGAAGCGCTGTAGGGCCGACGGGATTCATGCGGTGTACCTCATTGATGAGCGCATTGACATAGGGGAGAAGGGGCCGGTCGGAGAACGTGGGTAGTCGGCTGTTTCCTACCACACGCAACACCTCCTCCTGGGCTTTGCGCTGCATATCGGGATACAGGGACATGCAAAGAAAGAATGACCCTATGGCGGATACGGTCTAGATGCATCATAAGAATACAGCAGGGGAAAACGGGTAATTTACTCGCTGTATCAGCACCGCCTGGTAAAGGGACAATCAGGTAACGGATAACTCAACGTATGAGACGGCAAACCAGCATAGAATCCAGTGGAGACCCACTTATATATATCTTCTTGGTAGTCAGTGGGGTTGCTGTTCTTCTCAATCAGATTCGCGGCGAATGACGGAGCGGCAGTTCCTTTTTTCTGTTCAGTCGGTTAGGTTGGTATATCGTTTGAACGTGGCATGATTCTAAAACCGACCACTTGTTCCTTGACAGCTTCCCAAGGAGCGTCTCGCAGTTCCTCCATGTTTTTGCGGAATAACTCGGCCTTCTTCATCCAACTGAAGCCTAGCCATCGCGGCAGGTAGAGCACTAGAACGTAACGACGAATCAGGGCTGCGTGAAGCACAAGATGAGGAGTCACTCACAAGCTGGGAATGAATCGACCAGAAAGGCACCAGCACTTGCTGCTTCAGAAAAGTCGTGATCCCCGCGTTCCGCTAATTCCATCAGAGGATCCAAACCATCTTGCAAATCATAACCATGTGTAATTTTGAACACAATAGCAGCAATAAGCCTGATAGTATAAATAAGATCTAGGGTCGGCGTTAAAGGTAAACCACCGACCTTCGGGTGTGGTTCAAGAATTGGTCGGGAGTACGCAGTAGGCACCCCAAAAACTCCCGAGTCTTCTCCTCTTCTAGAGGAAAGAAATCTTGAACCTTGCGAGGCGTCAAAGCCTCAAATATCAACTTGCGGTATTCACGCAGCCTACTTCCATAAGGACAAAGCGGGACGCTGTCAACGTAGCCGGCACTGCAACCAAAATAAAGCCATTAAAGATAACGTACGAGTGAATAGACTTACAGTTCACCACCCATGATTAGACGCGGTCGGTCGGAGTAAATTGCACCCCGTTGTTCTAGGAGATCAGATAATGCTTTGGGCGAACTCAATATGATTACGGATTGTCCGACGGCTTTGATGTGTACTACGTCGCCTGGTGAACGGATACATGAGTGCGATTCAAGGCAACAAACGGATATTACCGACCGTACTGCTTGCTCCACTCTGTATACTTCAGCCAGGGGTATAGCCCACTCATGTCCAAGGCATTTCCGAGGATAGGAAGCCCAGATGGTCCTGGAGGAAGAGGTCCATTGCGATTCAGATTCTTCTTGATAAGTAAAACAGTCAGAACAACGGTAAGGACGATAGCCGTAAGGAGTGGAAGGTCTGGCAGAGAGCCCATGATGAGAGAAATAGTTAGTTGGGGCGATGATGCTTTACCTGAGCTAGTTATATGAGCTTGGAAGTGCGAACAAGGTTCCACTAGCATGAGGGGTGGATCCGAGCTCGGAGGTACCTGGTTCCTGCTATCTTGAAAGACGATATTCAAAGAAGCAGGGTTTCTATTGATGGGAGTGAGCCACATGGATCTGATTCTGCAACCCTGGGTTCTGCCTAGGGCCCTAAGATGCTAATATTGAGCATGCGCTTCCGTGTTAATCTCGTCGGTAAGATCAATGAGGCATCAGAATTCCATCCAAGTAAAGTTTGTGATGCCGAAATCAGAAGCGGTTGGGAGCTTGGAAGTCGGTAGCTGGACCGGTTGACATATCGACATTAGCTGTACTGCCGAGAATCCCTGTCATTAAGTTGAACAAAAGGGGACACGCATACAGGAGAGCGAAGAAAAAATCGCCGCATTGGCGACACGAAATATGAAAGCGGTTCCAACGCGGAGTTACGGATTCATTCAGGATTCAGGCGTCTACAGTAGTGCCAGATACGGCTGTTTAATGAACTTCTAAGTATGTCGTGGTTCACGGTGAACGGAGATTCTCAGGCCGATCGGAGCCGAAGAGCCGCAGCACGTTCCGGGCCCGATCATCAATCGTCCTCCCTAACTCCCACGAACCGTCCAACCTTCATCCCAAGTTCCCTAGGTCTTCCATCTAAAACTCTCATATGATAAGCGGAAATATTTTTACGATATATCATAGAGTTCCCACCTATTCAAAACAGTATTGCTAAGCTTTCTTTTTGGCCTAGAATCAGATTGTCGTCGCCGGTTGGCTCCAATTTCTAGCGCGCGCGTTGATATTGGGCCTGAAGGGAAACTCGGTGTGACCCATTCTCCACATGTGCCCAAATTTTATTGTTATGGCAAATGATGGGGGTACACAAGGAGGGGAAATCGCCGAGTTGGTCTTTTCTTTTCACCCCAGTTTCCTCCAGCGTCTCTTGGTCTCTCGTACACGAAGAAAATGAGTACGGCAACGGCAATTCCTCCTCTAGACAACACGGTGCGTTAATTCTGTCAAATTACACCCTTATTTTGTGCTCAAATACCCCGTAGATGGGAGCTCTTCTCGTTGGTGTCTTGTAAGTACGCGGTATGCTATGTTCAGTCCTTGTCAAGCTTTCAATTTTTGAACAGATTCTCTACTGCGTAAGTCAAGAGCATCTTCTACATCCCAGCTACTTGACGCGAAACATTGATATCGTCTAGACTATGGGGTACCACTTGCGTGCAAACCTTTTCGTATCTCAATGTAAGCGCCTTCTTTGCTATTTGTCCAACATTTCCCAACAATTAAATATTCTCATCGCCAGCGCTATTGGAGACTTGACACTCTTGGCTTTCGGATTCTTGTGAGTTCAAAAGACGATCCCTCCTATAAGATGCGTTCGATTCTGAATCTGTATTTAGGTTCTTGCAACATTGTAAGTCTGCTTGTTTCCGTCTTGATCATCTCACCTATCGTGTACTAGCGCTATGGATACTTTGCATGAAATTCTAATATGCCATACCATTTATACCTACTTGGTTTCAAATTTCGCCAATCCAGCGCAGCTGGAGATAGTCGAATGGTGAGTAAAATCGTCCCTTTTTTGCACTACAATATTCACACTCTGAACCAGGAGCATTCTCGTAAGTCCACGTATTAGAAGTGTTCAACTTTCTATTACTAAGATTCAATTTTCAGGTCGAAGTCGTAGCATCAGTGCGTAATTTTTTAGGACCTCTTCTTCCTTGGCGCATGTTGATTTCTTTAACAGGCGTGTGTAGCATTGATGGTCCAGTCGTACGCCTTTTTCTTCAAAAAAATACGACGTTGATGCCACAAACCTAATCCTGACAGATTCTTCACCTATCGTGTTTGGATATGTTGGCATACTTCTCTCCCATCTTTTTTTTACTTCTTTAACTGACCTTCGCGAACAGTGAGCCACAAAAATCTCTATCTCATCCTATTCCTGGTATGTTGCTCCCACCACGGCAACAATATAAAGCGTTCTCACCAATCCAAGGGCTCTCTCGTCGGCGCGGAATTTTTTGTGTGCATAGGTAACTGGCTATCGTGATCAGAGACGTTCTGATAGCTCAACATGTCCTTACAGCATACTTTGCAAAATCGTAAAGTTTAGCTTCTCTAGTATCGGTATTCGCCTTATCCAGAGTTTTAGATGGTCCGTGGAGGTCTACTCCGATTCGTATAAAGTCAGGGTTCGTGCACGCTCTCAAGTCCAACTTTCGGGAGGCTCATGAATCGCAGTCGTTGTCACAATCAATGAATGCGCTTGCCGCAGCAGGAGATTTGGCGATCTGCGGATCGCTTATAGTCTTACTGCATCGTTCCAAGTCTGGAATGAAAAGGTCCGCAGTGACTAGCCCTTCCTTGGTAGTGACTTAAAACATCCGCGATTGATTAGGTCGGACGCGATGATGAACAAGATGATCCTCTTTACAATGAACACCGGGTTGCTCACAAGGCACGTCCCTGCGGGCCAAGTGGTTTCCGATGCTGACCCGTCTTCATGTAGCATCTGCGCCATCATGTCTCTCATCATGGTAGGTTCAGCTCTTTCCTGTAAACGAAAAATCTGAGCGTTTCAGATTTTGGTTTATCCTAATACATTTCTTTACATCACATTCTTTTTCAACCTTTCGAGACGTGGGTTTTCGTGTTATTCTGGTGCCAACATCATCTAACTACCATGTCTCTAGTGTATTCCAATTCTCTTCTGGCAACGTAAGAGCACGATTGTCGCTTTGACTGGTGGACGTACTGATTTCTGTATTCTAGTCTCAACGCGCGCAGAGGTATGAAGACGACTGTGGATGGCTCGGCACTGGGAGCCTCCTTCACCTTGGATAGCGATGGCAGACGTGTGCCTATCTCCGCGGAGAGCGCTTCTGTTGGTATTGGTTTATTAATACATAATCCTTGCTAACCTTTACCGCAGAAACCCAGACACATTGTAATCAACCGCAATGTAGACGTTGAGGTGCTCGGAGACTACGAGATGGATTCTGTTAGTGCCTTCCAATTTTTTCCTTCTCCCCTGACTCTAATTTCTCTGTGGATAGCGTCAATTTGACTCAAAGCCGAAATAAGGCATTCCTATTCTCAGCGTGCTGAGCACTTAAAAACACAAATTCAGCAGTGGTAGTGGCCTCGGGCCCTTGTTTTAAAGGACATGAAAACGGGTTCTACTAACACCTTCACAATTAATGGTATCTGGAAGCGTTAGCTCCTTATTTAAGTTTTGTTTCGTGGCTTGCAGTGTACGATGATCTCGGTGCTGGACTATTTTCTCTACAAATTTTGGAATAAATTTAAATAAATAAATAAGAAATTCAGCATTGCACATGATCCTTCCTCTCTTTCTTTCTCACCACCACGTTCTCGAATATTGAATATATCCGTACCAATGAATGGCTAGTTTCCAGCTCCCTGACATACTCAGCTACAGTCGATCTTTTGATCTTCGAGCCAACAAGCACTGTCGAAGGATAACCGATGCGTCAGAGGCGTGGATCCGCAGCCAGGAGCCTCCGATACTCAATGAGGAAGAGCGGGAAACGTTGGTTGGCGTGAAAGCAGGTCTTCTCACGTCGCTGTGCTTCCCGACGTGCGATGGACCTCAACTCCGTCTCTTTACAGACCTCTGTACTCTGATGGTCTATTCCAACGCACGGCTCTGGCGCCAACCTTTACGGTCTTGTTGGTCTGGTGATGGCACGGGGAATGGAGTCGACCTTTTTGCTGGTCACACGATATTGATGCAGTGAGTATTACTCGATTGTGGAGTTTAGTCGTTCTAATTCTGTAGTCTTGTCCCTCGCATCCAGAAGATATACGACAAAGAATCTCAGATGTGGCAGAACAGATTCACGGACTCCGTTAGGACCTACCGCTCTGCACAACTCCAGGTCATGGAGAACCCGAATTATATCCCTCCGATTGCAGAATATCTCGAACTTTTGCCAGACTTGAGCGGTATCAAGATCGTCCTCGACTTCATAGAGCCTGCCGAAGGGCTGGATATTGAGGGAAAGACATCTGAGGATGTTGTTCGTCTTCGGCAGCATGCGGTCAACATTGTCGCTTGGACCGTAGTTCGTACCTTCCTTGACATTTTGCTCCGGGTCACTGACAAGGGTATCCAGGACATCGTCGGGTACAACGTAGACCAGTCCATCAACAAACGGTACAACCTCGTTTCTCTTCTCATGACCCATAAGCGCTTGCCGGTGCAGGTTGCCGCCCAGCAAGCAGGAACGATGGTGAAAAATGCCGTCGACAGTTTTCTGGAGACAGAGGCTCGAATTGTGACAGCTTTAAAGCAGCCTCCGACTTCTTCGGGCCGCTTTTCATGGATATGGAATACATTGACGCCTGCTGAGAGCACCGCAGAGGACAAAAGCAGCGAAAAACGGGAAATTGATGACCTCATGCTGTGGATGCAGGGACTTCGCGACTGCATCGTAGGTCATACGAACTGGGTCTACGAGACGGATGTGTTTTTTGGGACGAAAGGAGAGGAAGTACGAGGATTTGGATGGGTTTTTTTGCTCCCCAAGGCAAACACAGCTGGTGCTTAGAGGTAGCGCCATTCGTCACCCCGTCCGGCACGGCAGGAATCATTTCTTCGGACCTGAACCGGTATTTAATGTTCCCGGTCGTAACTGACTTGAACAAGAGCAACCAAGATATCAGTCTCAAAGGTAGTCCCAAGCCTGGAGAGGCACATACCTCGCTGGGGTTTCCCTGCAGCTGCATCCTCATCCGCCACCAAATTGTCCTGAAAATGTGACCCAGATTGTCTCCATGACTCGCCGAGTTCCCATTCCTGCCATGTCCGCTAATGTTTCCATCGTCCTCGATATGCGGCTCATCTCCAATACTTGACGTATTTCCCACGTATGGACAACTCATGCCTAGGCTTCCTTACCTAACGCCACATACCCATCAACCATTGTCGTAAAAATATACGATCCCATTAATTTTGACTCTGAAGATGCACAGTATTTTGATCCGTTCGCCCTCCTCGAAACGGAATTGATGGCGCACGCTTACCCCGCGACAAAAATACTCAGGTCGGAAAGATTCAGACAGAGAGACGAAAACATCGCGCTTGCGACTGTTGCTAGTTGACCTCAGGCTGTGGATGCAGGGGCTTCGCGACTGCATCGTAGGCCATGCAAACTGGGTCTGGAAACGGATGTGTTCTTCAGGACGTTATGGAGCTTTGGATGGGTTTCCTTGCTCCTCAAGGGCCAAGGCAATGCAAGCTCGGATGGTGCATAGAGCCGGGACAGCTTCGGTACGAATCGGTAGTGAGATATTCATCGTTTGCAGTTTTTATTTATAATAATACGATGATAGTAGCCGTCCAAGTTTAAACCGTACACCAGGCTTGCTGTACGTTTGTCCTTATCGGGATTCGATAATGAGACTTAGTGTAAGCAATGTCGTTGGATTCACCCTCCATTCTCCATCTCGTTCCTTCCCTCCGTAAATCCCAGGGGATTTTTTCCGATGCTCTGAAGTACTCAATTCAACACACTGTGGACTACGCACTACGGACAGCCTCACCCTTATATGTCATCTCGCTACGAGTTTGGATAGTTCTCTACGGCGTCATCCAAAGCTTCCACTTGCTGGTAGTAGTCGGATCAGACTATATGTTGCATAGCCGGGTCGTACTCAAAAGCCAGTGTTTTGACGGGTTGATCGATGTCTCCTGACAGGCAGGTGACCATCCAGACCCTACCATTGGAACAAAACTAAGTCGAAAATCGAGCCCCTTCTCGTGTCCAAGTTGCATGGACAGGAGCGCTTTCTTCGCTGCAGCAAATTCCGGGCTTTTCGTCCGGGCAGATTGACCTTCTTGATGACATTCTAAATACTCAGTTCGTACTTCATGTAGACAATCACAGACTGTCTCGAATGTTTCGAGCAGTATGCAGTGTCATGAAGGCCCGTTTTCTGGACGCGGATTGGGTGACCAGGCATAAAGACCGCCCAGAACTGATTTGGTGCTTGCATGACACCGAGCTGTCCGTGATGCAGTAGATACATGCTATGCCCTTTGATGAACCTGAGGCAGTACCCCCCGGGTATGTCTTTCTCAGCACTATCTATCTTGTGACCAACTTGGTGTTTCTGAACGTCAACTAGCACGTGTAGCTTCTGGGAGCGATGGAGTTTTAGCCTAGCTAAACTGCCGTGCCACTGGTCTTCTTGTTTCATTAACGCCTCGCCGGGTAATGTTGACCTTGATGGACGAATTATCTATTATTATATGCCTATTTTTTCCGAACCTGTTCAATGATGGCTCCCACCATAGCTCTTCCTTTTTTAAACTCCATCATCGCATGCTCTGAATCAGTTGAAGCCTATGTACGGAGAAAATGCGCGCCGGCACAATTACTGTACTCCACCTTCCAAGGGATTCGCTACTGCCGACTCGGACACTTGAAAGTCCAGATCAAGATGGCTTCTTTTCGCGTCGTTGAGGACAGAAGAGGTCTGTATCCTGGGTAGTCGTTTATTGCCTCCTTTTTACTTCCGTGCAAGTGTTTCTTCTCCCGTTGACAGCGTGCCCAATTCGTGGAACCAGTGCAGATGCCAAGTCAGCCTCAACTGGGAGAGGGGTTTGATAAATTGATATAGTCTCCTCGCATCCTGATACTTGGCCAGGAATACTGCATCTTGTTGCTTATCCAACTGAATAAGACCATTCTGTCGTTCCCTAGTGACCCTGTATAGAACGGACTCTGAAATTTTCCTTCTCAGGGACATCTATAGAATAAGAACACCTTTCCCATGAAATCAGCGGCTTGAATTCTTGAGTACGTTCGCTTCATTGTTTCACTCCAAAGTACTATCAATCTACATTAGGGGTAGTTCAATTTTGCTCTGAATCGCATAGCTCCCCGGGAAAATAGCTAGTTAGCGCCAGTCATATACATCTCGGTAATGGATACGAGCTTTTCATTATCTTTATTCTGAGCATGGCACTGAGCAGTGCGCCGCACTCGGAAAACCGGACCGATATTATTCCCACGGCACATTACCTGGGCACGACCACCATTTGCACCAGTACGACGACGAGCTCAACGGCCAAATTTACATGGGCACCAAACAAGACTATTTTGCGCTCTATTACTGCCAGTAACTGTGAAACTATAGGCTTGCTCTCCTATTCTTACGCTAAGGCCTTTCGCGTTTTTCTCAACAGCACTCAATTAGGAACGTTAAAATAGGCAAGGCGTATAGCCAGCGACAAGCACCGCGAGCATGATTTTGCGACGTTAGGTTCTACGCGCATGCAGCTACATTGGTGGAGCTTCAGCTTCAGCGTCCAGATGACTACATCTTTAATTCTTACCGAATGAGGCCGGCCGCCGGCCTGGGCATGGAAAATCCGACGAAGGTTAAACGCTGAACCTTGACGTTGAGGGAACGCAAATAAGGGGAGGACACTGTAGTATGTTATTCTCATCGCAATCGCTCCAAACTCATGTCGACTTCCAGCTCTAACTTGCAGCTGTTATAGCCGATAAAAATGTGTGACACTGTATACCCATGAAAACCTCCGCTCTTCAATCTTAACACAGACCAGCACCGCCAAGAAATCCGGAGCATCTACTCAAGGAGACCGGCGGTAACAAGTGACTTCTTGTCTGGCCTCTTGAGGCCTTTTACCACTGGTGGGAGTTCCAGCAATCTTGTTCAAACAACTTGAAATCATTATGATTACTCTCGGACTTTCAATAGTCCGGCATCTGGAGCGCAAGAGGGCCGTGATTGTTGCCAACGCGTTTACATAGCTACGGAGAGAAGATTTCATTATACGGGAGCCGATTGGTGCGCGCCAATAGCATTAGAGCTATATCATCAACGTGACCGCCGGCCAACGTATCTGCAAAGCAAAGTTGCCTGAGCAACTCTTTCAGGCACCGCGCATGTCTGCTTCGCAACAGCTTGTGTGTAACTGTCTTCTCAGTTCGTTCTAATATGAAACTTACCTCTCAGTCAGGTGTGTCGTTAGAGTCAAAAATTCGACTCGCAAGCACTAATGATTAACTTTCTTGAAACGCCTCTCTCCTATGGTCGCTTCCTCCACACATGATTGACCCCGTCAAAATTTTCCGCGTTTTGCGCGGTAACCAATTCCCATTGCTCTACTCGGGGCGCGTAAGACCACGCTGTATAAAGCGCAAGGTCTGACGCATGAAAGACATTCGTCTCTTCGTTCGCCTACTCATTCCTTGCGAATTGCCGCTACACTCTCCTTTTCCCTTACCTTCGTTGGCCATGTCACTTCGACGTCTGTCGCATGTTGTTGTGACTTTACTTGCTATACTTTCTGGTGTTAGAGAAACTGCTGGCCAGTCTGCCTCTTCCTACACCGACCCAATCACTGGGATGTCTTTTCAGGCTCTGCAGGATTCTTCCACCGGATTCGTGTTTGGTCTCGCCCTTCCTGAAACTATAGGCACCGATTTCATTGGGCAAATGGTTTGTCCGACGCATTGTTCCTGCATAAACCCTGAAACAAATCTCTGTTCCATTAGATCTACCCATCGACTGACGGAGCCGGATGGGGTGGCGCGATGACATCGACACTGCTTCTCGTCTATTGGGCCAATGGAGATGAAGTGATGACGTCCTTCCGTGAAACTTCGTTCGTGCTTTGGACTTCTGCGCGGTGTCGAGATAGCTGACATTTCCATAGTTCCTACGCTTCCCCAAGTGTATATGACGGCAACGTTACTTTGTCGACTATTCCTGATGGCACATACGTCAACGATACCCACGTATCCTTGACTTTTCTTTGTGGAGGATGCATTACTGGCGATTCGCTCTCCTTCTCTAGCACGGATACGAGCGCAGTCCTTGGATGGGGATACTCGACATCTAGCCTCAGCGATATCACCGACTCCAGTACTGCTTTGGTTTTCCACAGTGCTGGTTACGGAGAGTTTGGTTTTTCTATCAGTGGTGCCCAGACCTCAGAATATGACACCTGGGCTGCGCTCGCTGAGTCTTCAAGCGAACCTTCTTCGACAGCTTCAGCCTCTGGCACTGCTACTTCAACAAGCACTACCACTGCTCCTACCGCAACCACTACCGGAAACATAACATATGGTACGAGAGTCTATGGTTTCATTTACTTTGCTTACAATACATCAGATGCTATCATCGTTGGTAGTGGACCTGCTGGTATCATTGGTATGAATTATTTCCAAAAACATGCTTGTCTTCACTGACCTATATGTTTAGTTGCCGAGCGCATGGCTGAAGCTGGAGACAACGTTCTGTTAATCGAACGTGGGGTAGCCTCCTTATACTCCTGTGGCGGGGAGCGTGTCGAATCGTGGAACGACACCATCACAGTGTTTGACCTACCAGCGAATGGTTATGAACTTCCGTCTCTTGATGACACAAGCTTTTACTGTACTGACACCGCCTCCCAGGCTGGATGCATACTCGGTGGCAGTGGCATGGTCAACGCTTTGATGTGGGTACCTCCAACAGCGGTCGATTTTGAGAATTTCCCCGCCGGCAAGTTTGACGTTGGTATCCGTAATTTCTTTCATTGATGATAGCATTATACAGGATGGAATTGGGATAATGTTTCTGCATCCGCTGACAACCTCTATGCGCGCAATCCTGGCACGACCCTTCCCAGTGCAGATGGACAGTACTATGATACCGCTGTCTGGGACATAGCATCCGCTTTTCTTGCGAATAATTCATGGACAGAGGTCGATGCCATCGCAAGCCCAAGCGATAAGACCAGCGTGTACTCGCGACCACCTTGGAATATCCAGGGTGCGCAGCGCGCCGGCCCTGTTATGACCTATCTACCTCTTGCGCAAGCGATGGACAATTTCGAGCTCATGCTCTCGACAACAGTGACGCGTGTCGTTCGTAACGGATCTACTATTACTGGTGTTGAAATTGAAACAGACGGTGCAAGAGAGATTATCAATATCAATGATGGAGGTAAAGTCGTTCTAACGGCAGGAGCGGTATGTCCTCCTTCTTTTGCTTCAGTGATTCCTCCCTGATTGCTGGGTAGATGTCAACGCCACGGATTCTTTTCAACTCTGGTATCGGGCCTTCTGATCAGATTGCGATAGTCCAGTCTGGTTCGACGAGCATAACTCTCCCTGAAGAGTCTGAATGGATAGACCTTCCAGTCGGAGAAGGGATCATGGATCATGTCATCTTTGCCGTTACAGTTGACTCGGCCACTGGGTTTACTGCATATGACTACTCAAGCATCAACTCGGCCAGTGCCAATTCTACCGACACTGAATTGTACAATGCTGGTTCAGGTATACTCGCACGATCTGGTAAGTGCCTTAATGGTATCGAATGTTGCGCTTTGCTCAAAGTTCTTATGCTTTAGGTCAACGCCTAACGTTCTGGACAAACATCGAAACCAACAGAAGCACCCGATACATTCAGGGAACCGTCGCACCGAAGTATGTATTTTGTTCTGCGTCTTCGGCGGGTACTCATGGTCGATAATATAGATCCAACAACACAATTACCTGGAAGATCTATCTGACGCATGGGCTCACATCCAACGGCACGCTTGGAATCACATCCGACGGCAGTACAACGCTGATCAAGTCACCCTGGCTCACAACAGACGATGATAAGGCGACTATCACTAGTTTTATGGAAACATTCATTGGCTACATGGATAACTCCAGTGAACTAAGCATTACTTCTCTTACGGGGGACAATATCACCGCCGAGAGCTTAATCGAGGATTATACTACTGGTGCGCATTGGGCTGCGAGCTGCAAGATGGGCGAGAGCAACGACGGTAGTTCCGTGGTGGATACGGATACTAGGGTCTGGGGTACAGATAACCTGGTGAGCACCCTTTCATTGGTTTTACCAACAGAACTCAGGTGTGCTTGCAGTTCATCGCGGATGCTTCGATCCATCCAGATCTTCCTGTTGGCAATATTCAGGTGACCAGTCTTGAGTAGAACATGTCGGCATCGTCTAATTGTTTCTACAGACTGTTGTCATGATCGTCGCGGAGAAAGCAGCGGAGAAGATCATCGCCTATACGGCGCCCTCGAATTCTACGACTTCCTCTGTGTCAACGGACACTGAGACTTTCAGCGCGACAGCCTCGTACTCAGGTTCCGCCGGAGCGACTTCTGTTGAGTCGTTACCTGCTACCCAAACCTCCGTCGATTCTTCGTCTGCTGCTTTTACTTTGGTCGGGTCACCGACCTCTTCCGCCGCTGGATCCTCTTCAGTCGGGTTGACTACCACAGGAACAAGCACAAGCACGGCCGCTTCTTCCGTTATTACAGACGCTAATATCTGCTGGAACAGTATGTTACCTGATTCTACATACTATTGCTGGTTCTGAGATATGGTTTCTCAGATTACAACTCTTGCATTGCTGCTGGTCAGCCTAACCCAGACTGGGACGGATGTACAGCGACGAAGGACGACTGTTTGACGAAGGCTTCATATGGTCGTCGCTCGCGCACGCATAGGAAACGCCGATTGACGCGCTTCTGAACATGAGCATATTGGAGTCTTGATGGCACTTATGAAGGAGGACGCTCTGCTGGCGGGAGTCCATGACTACTTTGTTTTGCCCGTAGAGGGTTTTCCATGTCTTTCTGTATTTTGTATGCCTGTCAGAAGCCATAGCGGGCTTGATATGAAGTCAAGTAGTGCCGACCACCTTAGCCGCATTTTATCAGCCAGAACGGCGTCAAGTGTTGAACTACTTTATGCTCCCTCAGACGCACATTAATGTTGGATATTCTCCCTTGCCACGCCGTTTCATGTATTCTGTCAGATATCCGTCGCAAAGCTACTACGAACCAAACAATAAATTTAGCCAAAGATATTCCACATCATACAACAAAGCTGAGGATCTTCACGGAAGCTTGAACAATATCTGGTATCGCCTTTGAGGAATGTCGGGAACATGTTTTATTAGGAGATATAAGTAGTCGCGTCGGCCAAATTTAGCAACTGCAAGAAAAAGAACCAAATCCCGACAATGCGATCGAAGACTACTTATCCAGCCCGCCTTTGACCACCATGAAGGCGATTCTCATCCTCGCGCTTTGTCTGCCCGCCCTTGCCGACGAAATCAAACATCGCCAGCTCATTCCACCTGGAGCCAATACAATTCCAACCACGTCGAGTAGTTACGACTACTGGTGGCCATACCCTCCCGGAGGTGTTGCCTCTACTACAACAACCACGCCAAGCGCCATTCCGTCTACGATACCCATAGAAGTCAGCGGCATGCCACCAGAAACAACAGATTCGAGTAGTATCGTCTCTACTTCCCTGCTACCTTCAAGTTCGGATGATACCGACAGCACCATGCGCAACAGTAATTCATCCTCGTCGACATCCAACACTCCCACATCATCGGTGTCCATGATAACGATCTCGCCCCCTTCCTCCTCGCAATCCGCTCTTCCCAGTCTGGTAACCTATCCCAAGAAGGAGCCAAATGGAGCCAAGATCAGCATGTACCTCATACCCGTTCTGGTAGTCGTCGGTGCGATACTGGGAAGCCTGTGCGCGTGGATTGGCTGGGGATGCCTCACACGGAAAGGTCGACGAGGAAAGACTGAACTCGAGGTAGGCCCTGCATACGACTCGGAGGCGGGAAGGGTGAAGGCCGACGAAGGATTTTCTTGGCCGGCGATGGAGACGCAGACGCAAGAAAATACGTTCCTCGTTCTTCCAACCAATCCGCGACGGACCAGACCTTTGCGTCCATCACGGGCTGATACTTCCTCCACTCGGGTCTCGCGTAAGAACACGACCACCACGATGGCTTCAGTGTCGGTCTATTCTCAGGTTGGAGAAGATGAGGAGTATGAAGAAGAGAAGCATGACGACGACGGTATGTCATTCCTGGACGCGTACGAGAGTGATGAAGAGTTCATGGCAAACGCCCGGAGACCATCATCGCGTGCAGCCGGGGGAGGTACTCAACGCGTCGTGTCGAGACGCAGGAATCATGTCCGGACCGATTCGGATATGACTGTTGACGGTGGTAGGCTGGGGAGGAGCGTAACGGGGAAAAGTACAGGAGGATTCAGGATCATAGAAGAGTCGCCGTTGCCCACACCAGCAGCTGTGGCGAAGACTCCGTCTGGCGGCCTCGGAGGTTTTTTCTGGGGAAGTCAGCCAGAGACGGACAAGTATACGGCACTTCCATCTCGTGGACAGAACAGCCGCAGCCGCAGTCCGGTCAAGCCTTCTCGGGCAGGCACTACGGCAAGCCATCATCCACTGCCGCAGAGTCCAAGGCAGATCATGAGTCCAAGATTAGAGGGATCCTTGTGTTTTACGCCATCGATAGGTCAGGAAGTGAGTGGAACGGGTGGTTCGGAGTACGATGACGCTCTTTCGCTGCGCAAAGTGGAGGATATAGTTGAAAAATCCCGAAGTCAGAAGAATCTTCGTATTGGAGCCCGGTAATACGGTATTTTCGTCGATCCCATAGATAGTTACTTTACACGATCGATTTTCTTGAGATGCTCGAAAGTCAGCAAGGAAACATTAATTAATGGACACACTCACGAACAGTCCGTTTGTCCCAGCGTTGTGTGACTGTCACTGGTAAAGCTTCCAGTAGTTCCTATGAGCCTAGTAAGATAATTGAGAAGGAAAAAAGACGCATATATGCACATCAACGCACCCCGAAGCCAGTACTTCGGCTAGACATCGTCTTCCCACCACGAATAGCACTCTCATGGTTGAGTCTGGCCCTACACATCAGGGTTAAACTGGCAACGATGAGTGCTGATAGGGATGCTGACAGCGACCGACGACCTGCTCCCCAAAGAGAAGTGACGAGCCCTGGCTTCTGCTCCATGACCGTCAACGGGAAATGTAGATATACTGCGCGTACTGGTCTAGATCACAGGGAAATTGTTGGATATCTTGTAGTGAAAGAGGTTTCCATCGCGATGCCCATTGGCAATTCGGTCGTAGTAAGAGAAGTCGGACGACGACTCTCTTACGTATAGCGGGGCCTACATTTCATAACCGAACTCTTCAGTTATCCTGTCATCATCGTATATACAAGGAGCGACGACGAGCACGTACCGAGTCGCCTGTCCTGCTCTCCACCGACCGTTCACGGTGCCGAGTTGCTCATTTCCGGTTCCGCAATGGTCTCGTCATTGTCGGTGTTAGCGGCAGCTACCCTGGAGCGCGTTTGTGGGGTACATAAATTGACATGATGGAAGAAACAAAAGAAGAGATGTCACCGACAGGCAGCACTTTGGGCCGGCAGTGCATGTTCATTCCCACCCACCACCGTCTTTTTCGTTGATGCCTGGCTTTTCGCTGCCGTGGTCGCGCGACGTCAACGACGACGACGAGTCGTCGCCTTGGGAAAGAGGCGTACCGACGCCGCGCTCAACAGTCGGTTTTTTCTACCCACCACCTTCATCTTCTATCCCACCGGTACCGACAGACCTACCCAACAATACTAATACAATATCTTCTTCTAATAACGTCCATGCCGACGCCCACGCTCCTTCACTTCCCCGTAATTCAACTCTCCGAGTGCATGAAAAGGCTGCGCAGGTAACCCAGGGAGTACTACCGCCATCCTGGCTGCCGCCAACGACCATTTTCCAGACATGCATTCTTCTTCTATTCTTTCTGCCCCTCCCACCGCTGTTTTCTACTATATATGCAGCTCTGGGAGGGGCTATTCTCGGTGGGCACGTCCCAGTCAGGTCTTTCGCAGAGGCAGGAGCGACTGGGGGCACTATACTAGCACTACCACTGGCGCTCGCGATTTGGATACTGCTCGCTCCAGAGAAGCAATCCCCCAGAGAGGATTTCTTCGATGACGACGAGCCTCAGACGTGGTGGACTCGTTGGGGAAAATTCGTGCTGTGCGGGTTTATACTAGTCTTTGTCGGCGTTGCCACTTGCCCTCTGGGCGCCGTTTGCATCCCGGAAGAGGATAACAGAGACTTGGAAGCAGGCAAAGCAGCATTGGCCGCGCTGGTCGGTGGGATCGTTTTCTGTAGTGCTTTGGGGGTTATCTTTGCTTTGGGGGTTTTGTCGTATTGGCAATACGCGAGGAGAAGAAAATGGTGAGCACTCTCTATTATTCCTGCATATCTTTTCTGATTTCGATGCTCAGAGCGCTCAGATTCAGCCATTCTTTATTGTTGTAATCTATTGTACGTGTCTTCTATCCTACCTGCATCCTTTCCTGTCCTCTAATTTTCCTTTAGCGTACATATTTAGAGGGATCTGTATTTGCTGCTGTTGTTGTATTGTGGACACTGCTATTTGCTTTGCGTTGACTCCTTGAAACGTGAACCATACATGTCGGCATTTCTCTGTGAAGGGCCGGGGACTGAAACAATTTTTTCGCAAAATGATCTGCTGCCTGTCGAATTCGACCCGGGCCCCCAGCGATGTTCGCAAAACCATAGGGATGGTACATTGACATGGACAAGACGTTCAAGCTAACTTTGGGCAACTCAATACGATCAGTATGATTACGTAGAGCTACGGAGGCGTCACGCGTCACGGGCGATCAAAGCTCTGATTCGGAAAAACCTGGTATCTGAGCACGGGACAATGTGCCGGAATGTTGCGTTGCCGTCATTAGAGAAGAGAAGTACAGAACTTCTTGGAACATTATTCGCTCTGAGAGAAGCGGTGCTTGGACTATATATTGGGAGCACACCACTCCCTCGTTTCTTCAGCGGTCTTGAACGCTATTCCTGGGCCTGATGACTAATTGTGATGAAGAAAAGATGAATGTCGACACCGACTGTCTCAAGGAGATCGCCTCTCAAGGTTCTGGGGTTGGCAGCAGCTGCGCAACGTCGGTTGATGGGAACCGCATCTATGTGAGTCGTGAGAAAAATCATACTAGCAATTTTTGCACTGAAAATTCTCTATCAGGACGCCATCATGGTCAATAGGCATCATGACACTATCTCTGAAGAAGAGGCGACGAACTGGATTAATGCACTATTGCATGCCGCTCAGCGGCTTCGACTCGAGCAGCTACTCAGGAAAGGGAACACCTTGCGGGAGGTATTGAACGACTTTCATGTATGATATTATGTCTGGTTCTGTTAGGCACTGTTTGATTCGTTCCTTAGCATGAGTTCGGTGCATTCTTCAACAGGGGAGAGACCTACATGGATTCAGATTCAGAAGAACTTGAAATGAGCGGCAACCACGAGGAAGGTATGCCAGCTCGCGTCGAGGTATGATTACGCTTCTATCCTCGTGTCCTTTCTCATTTCTTCAACAAGGAGAGGCGGGAAAACTTTGAGCTTGATGTTAGCGCTCGATACGAGAGTAAGCACGAGGATGGAAAAATACACTCTCACGGTGACCACGACGTGGTGCGGGAGCAGCCAGATCGGGAGACACGAGTCGGCCGGCCGCTCCTCGACTGTGCTCGAGAGAGTTTACAGCCAGTGAAGCTCAATACCGGCACTCTCGAGGAAGTTGTGGTCACGTACCACGGCATTCGCCCACCTTCGGCTGAAGATTCTGATCCTGTCGAGGCCCAGAAGGTAAACAAATACAAGATGACTTTGTCGTGTCGACACGCGGAGCGCAATGGTGACAAGCCGATCCCAGACAGGGCCCTGGTTGCGCTCATGGATGGACTACTAGTACAGGGTACCTTCCTGCGCCTTCCCGCAGCATGGACAGACCTGAACTCCTCTAATTCGAACTTCCTCGCCAATAGACTCAACAAGTCATTCAAAGTGACCCAGCTCAAGTTGTTGGGCAGGGAAGATCACATGTATAGCATCACTGACGGTGCAGAAGGGGCCTATGAGTTGGTTATTGGACGGGCGTCTGCTGTGGTATTCAGTCTGCGTCAAACAAGTGCATATACTCTGGATGACCTTACTAAATGCCTGTGCCGCTGGGGAATAAGGTTATCGACATGCAAGCGAGTGCGTGTGCATGACCAGCTGCCCAGAACGTCACTCAGGACATCCGAACCCGTTCCTTACCGTCGGAAGGGCTTTCAACTGACCATGGAGGACTTTGCGAGTTATGTTGAAAGACGGCGACAGCTATTCAGAAACAGCGACGTTGCTCGGGCTGCTCTTAAACATGGAGGTCTCATCTGGCGACTAGCAATGGAGGAAGTATCGGAAGAGTATGTGACATCTGGTCCATCCCCGAGAGTGATGGAAACCGGGGCTTGCCTTCGGACGACGGAGGGCGAGGCACTATGGGATGAAATGTTGATGGATGACCAGATTGATGTCATTTGCGGTGTGTACAAGGTGGAAACAGAGGACGATCGCTACCCTAAGGGTGACCGTCGAGGAAAGCTCACAGAACATGTGTCTTGGTTTCCCAAGGATGCGGGTTGGCGAGGCTGTGGGCTCGATGTGGGCTTTTGGAGTCCTGATGCGGAATCTTGGTATCAACATAGGCTGGCAAATTATCTTGATGGAGACTTCAAATGCAAAAATCAGTCAGAGTGGAAGAGATCATTGAAACTGTGGCGGGATGCCCCCAAACTCGCGGAAGGTCTGGAAAAGGTATCGCAGGGGTTTCTTCAATGCCACGTACTGCGTCTTTGTACGTTGATCGTTCTTATTTGTTCTTTTTCTCGCATGTTCTAACAGCTGTTTAGGATTTTTTCCGACTATTCCACAACCATTCTTGATTGCTGTAATCTACATGTGCACCTCTTACTTTCCGATATGACCTAATTTGATCAGTACGTTTGGTCAGTACGTGTGAGTCTCATTACTTGCCTATTACTCTAGGGTTTAGCGCTAAACTTAGAGTGATTGTGAGTCGTATCGGAGCATTGTGATTTCGTCTAATAATTCAAGCTCCCTGAACTCTTGTCTGACTGCGTTGCTTGCTCGATCTTGTACTTTAGCCGACATGTCACCTGTCCATTTACTGTATGTGCCATCTATCTTACCTGCATCCTTCCTCTAATTTTTTTTCAGCGTACATATTTAGAGGGATCGGTATTCGCTGTTGTTGTTGCATTGTGGACACTGCTATCTGTTTTGCATTGACTCCTTGAAACTTGAACTATACATGTCAGTCCCTCTGAAGGGCCGGGGATAGCCTCACTCAAAATGATCTGCTGCCTTTTTTCACCCGGGACCTCAGCGGTTCAACGTTGCAACGTTAAACGTTCGTAAAACCTTAGAGATGGTACATTGACATTGAAGCCTGCCAGTTACACTGACAGATCGATTTCTCATCGTTCAAGTATCCAACACCAACTTTATCGGTCCGAGATCCCGGTGTAAGTACTCCGGAGTCTAGATCCATCACCTTCGTACCTTTCATCATCATTGTGATTACCGCTTGACCTCCACAATTGTTTATAGATGCCAGATACCTCAAGCTCAGGTGCAAAGACAACAACCGCCCTCTACCATGTCACTATCCTTGACAGAACCAGCCGGGTTCGACAAGTGACTGTAAGCATCTCTCAGGACGCATTGAAAGCTCTTCGGCTCAACCACTTACATCAATAGCTTAAGAGGGGTGGAGGTGCCTTGTTTCTTTAAGGTAAGGGCTTCGTAACAGATCCCGCCCGTATTGTGCTGATGGTTACCTGCAGAAGTCCTATATATGCTCCACCTATCACCGGTCCTTTTTTCATTACGCGTGAAATGCGGATAAGTGTCTGCGGAACACCTGATTACCGACAGCACCCAGGCAGAACTTACAAGGCACGCGCAATTCCTCCAGGGTTCTGTTTCTTTTATTGACGATAATCCAACAGGAAGAAAATGCGAGTTGCGAGATATGAGGGATAAAGCTGGAGGCGGGAAAGTGAAACTAACATCAGCGACCGAAGTACACGAAGCTCGTTCCTACGCGATCGCTATCTCACCTCACTCCAGCAGGTAGAGTTGTCGCATATGAAGGAATTCATCACCTCGGCTTTGAGCCCAACAAATGATCACACTGGAGCTGCGAGTTTGTATGAGACGAGATCAAAAAGCCAAAGCTGTAATTAATCAGTCCTTGGCTGAGATCGTTAACCTTCTCATTGCGTGCGGCGATCAGCGATACTGAAAGGTTCGTATTGCCTCTTCTCAAAGCCCACGTTGGACTGACTGATGAGACAGATTGATATCATCATTGTCTATGCGCGCCATGCTGTATCTCGTGCTTCCTGGGATATTCGTCGCGAGGTTTTTGAAGGGGAAGCACACCTTGAAACAAATATACGCATTGCGCGCCGAGCAGCACGCGGGACTCGAGTGTCAACTGTCGAAGGAGCCGCTCTTCCCAATGTCCTTCAAATCGACGCGGATGTGATCGTTGCTTGGGTATGAAAAATTCATGTCCAGTCTCTCCTTGTGTTTGTCCGTTTTTTCCGTCTTGGCTCGCTATCCTCGCCATTCTTATTCATTATTTTAGGATCGATTCGTGCTTTCCATCAGCCATCCTTCTATTGGAGCACTTTCCCACTCATCAGAGGTGTCGTGATCGTGATCGTTGCATCAATCTCCGGTATATGCGCTGATCATACCGGAGAAGTTTTGGTATATCTCATTACGTGCAACGACTTCCTATCTCCTGAGCGTCTTGCCTTGCCTTGCTTTCCCTCTCCCTAGCTCGGATGGTTGCAACACACTCTCTCCTTCAAGTTCTCCTTGGTCTCTCTTTTCTGGTTCCTCGTCTCCTTGCGCAAGACCATATACAATGCATTGATAGCGGATCAGACTGGTATACGAGTGTCGTGGGGGAGACGCCGTGTAAGACTATTTTTTGCTTCCCTCTTCATTAGAATTGAACTTTGTACCAGGTCGAACATATGAACGGCTACGCCAAATATGCAACAGCAATTGTATGACTCCGTCGTTCACCGTTGTTCATTCTGAATTGAATCTCTCTTTAGATGTCTTGGGTGCCTTGAGTCCTAATACTCCTCCGGATACATGTAACGACCAACTCGGTATGTCCTGGTATCTCAGCAGTAACTATGCTCACTTATCTGTTCCGCAACTATAGCCGACTGTTGTTGCAACTCAATCGCATTCGGACTTAGTATGTTGTGTCTCACGTGAGTGATCCTCGCTTAAAAAGCGACCGAGTCTCAACTTTTGCATAGATGTCAGCGAGGAATAGGGCCCAATGGCAACGGTATCGATGCCGGTGCGTATCTGAGGTGCACTCAGTATGGTTAATCCTCACCTTCAATACTGGAAGGCATCGGCGCATATCAACAATATCTTAAGCATGGCTCAAACTCGTTTTGCACCCCCAATACTAACAAATCGTATGTATTCTTCGCTTTCACGGTGATGGGGACTTAATTTACGATCCTCAGATTTACGAATGACATACAGTCGGCGGTATGCAATAATGGACTGAAGATCCACAACAGCTTCTATGACGCAATATTTTGGGCCAATGGACCGTGGTATGCCAGACTTCCGTTGTAATCTGAAGACATCGTCTGAATCTTACTCTCACAGGTTCTAGTATGTTGGATCTATCCTCAATGCAGTTTCCTCCATTCTGACCTTAAACTGGTAGTACGTGGTCCCGCGAACAGATGGAAAAGGTTAATGCTGCTGACGGGAATAATTCGTTCACGCATTGCGCATCGACAACCGTGGTTATAACTAGTAGTTCGCAGTCTCAGCCGATGTCGCTTTCAGAATCGACCCCGCTTTCTCAGTCGACAATGCCTTCCCAGCTGACGTTGTTTTCCCAGTCAACGTTTCTTTCCCAATCGACAATGCTTTCCCAAGCGGCGTTACTTTCTCAGTCGACGTTTCTTTCCCAGTCCACATCGCATTCCCAGTCCACGTCGATTTCCCGGTCCACATTGCTTTCCCAGTCCATGTCGCCTCCCCTGTCGAGCACGTCATCGACCACTGATTCCACTACCGCGAGCGTCACTTCAGCTTCTACCTTTACACAGAGAGAAAGTCCATCAAAATCTCTCAATGCGGGCGCCATAGCCGGGATCGTGGTAGGGTGTATCGCAGGAGCAGGAGCAATCACGCTGTTCCTCTTCTGGTGGCTGTCGTTCCGCCGACGACAAGCTGCTATCGAAGACTCGGAAACGTCGGCCCGTCCCTTCCTCGTCGGTCACGGTAAAGTATATTCCTCAGCTCCTTGGTTCTAGGACTAACGAAATCGGTTTACAGCACCATCCATGTACAACAGTCCTTCCGCCACTGAGCCTTTGCTCCAAATCGGAAGCCCATTGCTCACGAGTGGGTCGGCAGAGAGACGGTTCGAAGAGAAAAGACAGAGGGAGCTACCACCTGCTTATTCGGGGTAGACATGACCTCAGGCCTGAGAGTACATGAGGGGTGACTTCGTTGCGCCTGGTGAGCCTGGGACGAGTGGGAATAGCGTACGAGGGAAGGATGATGGATTTTGTTCCAGAAGCTTGTGTCAGCTGTGGACCCCGTACTATGAAGACGGACAAATTTTTGTAGTTGACTGTTTTCTCTGGTAAACAAGGATCACTGTTTACATGACTCCATATAAGCAAGAGGACGAGTAAACTACTAGATCAGTCAATGGATGATAGTCATTGAAGCCATGCTTTTTCTTCGACGTCGACATCGCACACGCGAAGTTGCTTTGATTCGCTCGCATGACAGCGGCATGATACCCTGCATCTCCTGCACACCAACTGCACCGAGTGCACGGTCACCAACGGACATGACTTTCACATGCAAATCCTCGGGCCACGTAAGTATCGTGTTCTCTCGACCTCACCCACCGCTTCTGAATCCCGATCGTCCCTTCCAGCCTCTCCGCCCTCCTTCCCGCACAGCCATGAACGTTCCCTCAGACAGCCTCCGACCGCGTACCACGTTTTCCTTTCTCCGCACTGTCCTCCAAAGTGCATGAAAAGGCTACACAGAAACCCCAGGAAGTACTACCAGTGAGCAGTATCCATTGCTCCCGCATACCTTCTCTGATTTTGTTCCTCAGATTTCGACCGATCTTTATTGTTGTAATCTATTGTATGTGCCATCTATCTTCCCGACATCCTTTCCTCTAATTTCTCTCCTGTGTATCATAGGGAAGTACGAGCTTCTTGGAATGTTCTTACTGTGAATCGTGAGAAGCGCAACGTGGACTATTTAAGGGCGCTTCCTCGTTTCTTCAGTGCTACCTACCTAAACGGTTGAGCTCTTGCTTCTGTGGTCTCGAATGATACTCCTTCCTCTGCTGCTTCTTTCTTCGTCTCCATCTAATCCCGATGAAGAACAGATGACTGTCGTAACCAACTCACTGACATTGTGTTCAACACATGTTATCAAAGGCACAGTCAATCATAAAGGTAAGTGTCTCTTGCATAGTTGCGCAGGACTCACTGAAAAGAGGTGTCAACAGAACTCATCCTGTAGAGTTTCAATCACGGCTCAAGTATAACGAAGTCATTATCTTAACTCATCGTTCCTGGAGTGATGGCGACCAAAACTCCATTCCAACACCAGCGACTTCTCCTATTACTACAACAATGGTGCATACACCTAGCATTATTTCCCCTCCGAAGTCGATGGAAGTCAATGACATGACACTGGACAGACACAACAGACTTCAAGTTGACGGACGTCGTCTCAATCTCCCCGTTGCCTACACTTTCATCGGATGACACCGACAGCACTGCAAGCCGGAATAGTCTATCTGCACTACTACTGCACCCACTTCATATTGTCGATGTCTTCGAATCTCAGTCCCCTCCTTCCTCGCAACTCGTCATTCCAAGTCTCATAATCTATTCAAAGAGTGATCGAAGTGATAAAAATCAGCACGATGGCATACTACTGGGAAGTATGCATATGGTTTGGGCGGAACTGCCTCATGCGGAAAGGACGGTGGGAAAAAAGAGCTCGAGGTTTGCTCGATGCTCGGTCAACACGCCAGCTCAGAGGTGGGGAAAAGGAAGTCCGATGAAGGGTTTGGACGCTGGCAATGGAGACGCAGACGCAACTGATACCCTCCGACGTGGCGTATCGTAACTAGTCTGGCCGCGGTCCGGTGCAGGACCGCATGAACCCGGTCCGAACCTGAACCGAACCCGCAGGTCCAGGTAACGCCGTAGCCATTGATTTACCATCCTTTTTATCTCCTATCTTATCGTCCTGACCGTTTCCCTTCATACGTGTACCTTTACTTACAATGAGCTACCGAGGTAGATTAGTTTGCGCTTATTTACCTGAGCTGTATCAGCAGAGGTGGCCAATAAATCCAGTTTTCCAGTTTTCCAGGTGCGGTTCAGGTTCAGGTTCAGCACAGCCATCGAGGTCCAGGTGCGGGGTTCAGCCTGGCCGAAATTTGCGCACCGGGTCCGGACCGGGTTCGAACCTGCTGAACCTCCAAATAATTCGTGCAAATTTCGCGAGTGTACAGGTGAGTTTATAAATCTAAATTTCCCCTCGTAATACTACCTAATACAGAGAATCGTGGTCTCATTTTGGGGTAACTATATAGTCGGGCAATATAAGGTTCAAGCCACCACATTCAGCACTGTAATTACGTCTTTGCAAGAAATTTGAGCAAATCGAGTACGCCCGAGTACGCCCGTCGCCTAGTGCCAATAATCCGGCCATGGGTCGAGAAGTTGACGAAACATTGATCCTTCCAGAGAACACGAAGCGTCGTGTCCAGGTTGCAGCAAAGCTTATCGACGCGAACAATGACGCCAAAGATGCACGGAGTATGAAGACCTTTCTCGGAGTAGAAGGAAATGTCCAGTCTGGTGGTATGTTGCTTGTACCAATATTTTAAGAAAGTTATTGAATGTTCAGCAGTTGAAGATCGTACTGACGTACCAAAGGATTATGACAAGCCAGACGGCGACGCTGTTAATCCTGATGGCACTCTGAAGACGGCAGACCAAATTGTATGGGACCATTCCCCGACATCCTCCCCGGTCCCGAAGCGAAAGATCGATATCGACGAGCCTAATAAAGAGAGCACCAGTAAGAAGCAGAAGACGGCACGTTTTACCTTGTCCGAGAAACCATGAGAGATACTGATGGGATATTATTCCAGCATGCTGCCCCCAAGCCAGCGACTACGGCTGATACTGCCACCAATGATACAGGCAGCAGTGAAGAGTCAGAGATGGAAGAAGGAGAGAAACGGTACTGGCAGATCAAATCAAATGGAGGTGAAGTACATATGAAATTCTGCCATAACATCACACTAAACTTAGTCCAGACCCGAACGAAACGCACGCTAACGCGCCTGCGATGACAGAGTCGAAAGGACAGCGTACATAGTCGTTGTCTACTTCTAATGTTAGATATATGCTGAAATCCTACTATGATAGCATTGACGACAACTGACAGTTGGATTGACGAGCTAATCCGCAAGAACTCGGCTTCAGTTCCTTCCGAGCCGGCGAGCCCAACAGCAGAGCTTGAGGAATTCATGTATAGCAAGCCAGTGAACTGGGCATTGTGTGAAGACATTATCGCGTGGTGGGGTGTACGTTGTGTCCTTGTATTGAAGTTCATATGACTAATTTGTGTGAATCAGATTCACCAAGATGAGTATCCGGTGCTGTCTGCTATGGCCCGTGATTATCTCGCCATCCCTGGATCTTCTACATCATCGGAGCGTGCTTTCTCATATGCAGGGCGTACTGATTCTGATCCTCGCCGTCGAAACCTTGGTGCCGAGAAGTTTGGGACGCTGCAGCGTTTGAAGGAAGCTTATCGAGATGGATGCGTAAGTGCGCAGAATGAAGCGTGGATGGATACTGGACCTTGTTTTGACGAGGCAGACTGGGACTTTTCAATGTAGTTGTTGATCCATGTAGTTTAGTGATTGTTTTTATATACATGGTTTGTGATACACAATGAAAAAAAAAACTGTTGGACTGGGTTCGAACCGGGTTCGAACCTGGACCGAACCTTGTGGACCTGAACCTGAGGTTCAGGTTCGAGGTTCGGGGGGTTGGGGAGCGAACCTGGAGGTGCGGGTTCGAGGTTCAGGCAAATGTGCCCGAACCTGGACCGAACCGGACCTCGGCCAGACTATTCGTAACTGACGCTGGACTAAATCTTTGGCATCATCGCGGACAAACACTGCATAAACTTGGGTCTTGGGAAGAATGTGACTACGGTCTATTCGCAGATTGGAGACAGCAACGAGGAGTGTGATGAGAGGCGACATGGTGATGATGATGATATACTGTCTTTCTTGGATGCCTACGAGAGTGACGACGAGCTCATGGCTAGCACTGGGAGTCGTTCATCACGTGCTACCATTCAAGGAGCTCAACGCTCTGTGTCGAGGGAACCACATCCGAGGGAATTCAAATATAACTATCAAAGGCGGTGGTGATTTTGGGGCCGAACGTGGTGGCCATGAGTACAGACAGGAGGGGCCAGAATTGTAGAGGAGTCGCCGCTACCTAGTACCTACACCTGCTGTAATTAAGACAGCATTTGGTGGCCGTGCCAGTGGTTTTTTTTGGGGGGGGAGCCAGTCAGAGATAGAGCATTACATGGTATTGCCGTAGGGGAGCTGCAGTCAGTCTATCAAAACTTCTCGAATGGGTAGTAGGTACTATTGTCAAATAGAAACCATCCATTCCCGGGGCAGAGTATGAGGTAGATTATGAGTTTGGAATTGGAGGGTCGCTGTGTTTTACGTCGTTGATAGGATATGAAATGAGCAGCAAAGGTGACTTGGAGTAACGCCGTTGTGCAAAGTGGAAGATATCGGGCTGTGGGCTTCATTGTTATGTAACATGGTACTTCGGGCCGGTCTCTTGAACCTTTGATTCAGTCAAATGCTCTTTTCCTTCAACATCCCAATGGCTGCATTCTGGTCAAATGCTCGAAATGTTACTCTCCACCTAGATGTTACGGTTTATTCATTTTCTTCGTTTTACTCAGCTTGATTACTGTGACGGTACTGTGACAGAGAGTCGGCAGTATCGGCACACGAGAGAGTAGACGAAGCAAAGAGAAGTCGAACAGAGGAAGACCAGGTAAAAGGAACCTCTATTCGAGTAGTTCTAAGGAGTACGTAGGAGTATTTTGGGTCTTATATACGAGTAAGATAGGGTCTAATACTAAAAGGAGAACAAGGCTAAGGTAAAAGGAAAAGGTGGGATAAGTAATATAGATGCAGGATCACCGCAGTAAAGTAAAAGAGCTATAGAAGGTAGATAAGGAAAGAATGATAAGATATGAGAGAAAGAGAGAGAGAGAACGAGAGTACCGGCATGAAGAGCCGGCACGAATCTCCTACATACGCCCTCCGATGCTTTCAAGAAAGCATCCCTTCAAGCTTCGTCTAAACCTTGTCGGCGTCGGTAGTGGCAGGCGTGTCCATCTCCATCGCGTCGGAAGGAGGAAGCACGTCGTCGGGTACGGGGGACAGACTGGGGGGACCGACGACTTGCAGAGAATATCCCGTATTGAGTCCCCACTCATCGCGCTTGGAACGATTCTCTTGACGCTGCTTCTTGGCGTATCCGATACGATCCCTGTGGCGTTGCGAAGCGGACGCCTCGGCCCATACAGCGCGGTTGGCCGTAGCCCACTCCTCGTTGGTTAGAACCCGGCCAGAACTCGGTCCTGCTGGGGAACTCTCACGACCTCCCTGCTCCTCGGCCTTCCGTTTGAGTGGTAGGGGAGGGAAAATCTCCTCTATGGTGACACAAATGTCGGATAGTACTTCGACACTCCCTCCGCATTGAACAGGGAACGCGCTGGGCATGTCCTTGTCGTTCCATCCCGCTGCGAACGACCTGTATCCGGCAGGCTCCGCCCACCCTTGGGGAATGTCACCCTTGGCCAAGTGGTTCGTGTGCTTGATGTACAAGGTCACCTGTTCACAGTGGTAGCCCAAGGTCCCGTTCTTGCACTTGAGCATGATGAAATATGGGCCCGCGCGGATGAAATTCGTCAGGACAGGTAGAGGAGGCATAGAGGGAGTTGTGGATAGAAATATGGAGGTTAGAGAGGGAGAAATCGAGGTCGTCGAAGGCCCGAGTAAGTTGCAGTGGTGATAGATAGGTAGTACGGATGGAGTCAATCAGAGAATGGACGGCGTCGAGGTTCTGATGGATGACAGGTGGGCAGGGTAGGGAAGCAAGGCAGTGGTCGGCGAAAAATTCCTTCGTAATACTGTCCTTCTTATAACCCGAAGGTTCCTCCCCACTCCGAATACCCGAAAAATTTTTCTTCAACCCGCCCTCCGAAACCATGGGACCATGATCAATATGAATGGCCCCTAGGAAAAACCCAGGCTCGTCCACCGATGAGCCCGAACCCTCCTTCAACTGCGCTATTTTTGCAATGCCAAGAACATCGAAGTAATCCTGAAGAGCAGTTAGTCCTTCAGCCTCAGCATAAGGGAGCCAGGTGTGATCCCCGGAAGCCCACTCCACCTGAAAGATAGCTCGCTCGCCTTTCCCAACATGAGAAAGAATGCCAGAGACCTTCCACTCCTTCTCCAATGGCTCGCTAAGTCCAACCTGCGAGTCAAGACGACCAGGGAAGAGCCTATCATCATTGGGGACATGCACCCGAAGGAGGGAGGCATGGAATACATTATGAATACCACGCCGTTTGAGATCGGATGGGAGCTCCACTTCATACGAGCCATTCCCGAAGTCCTGCAATATCTTGTAAGGTCCAATAAACTTCGGGGCTAGCTTTCGAGCCAAACCTTTGGGGAGTGATATGTTCTTTGTTGAGATATACACCAAGTCCTCTGCCGCAAGGGGGGAAACCCGATGATGCCTGTTTGCATCACGTGTTTGCTTGACTCGTGCAGCGAGGATGCTATCGTGAGCGCTCATCAACGCAGCCTTCACCGTCTCAGCAAATTCTCGAACACCAGGGAACTCAGAGTCAGTCGGCGAGTTCCAAATCATCGCACGAGGGACACGTCCAGTGTTCAAGAAGAAAGGGGAGTACCCTGTAGAATCTGAATGAGCACTATTAATAGCAAACTCGATAGCGGGTAGACGTGCTACCCAGTCTTTCTGGTCAGGTGAAATGCAATTACGAATCATCTGCGTAATAGTCCTGTTTGCTCGCTCAGTCGAACCATCGGACTCAGGATGATAAGCACTAGACATACGGAGATTCACTCCAACCAGCTTGTGCAGATGGGACCAAAAATTGCTCATGAAGATGACATCACGGTCGGATACAATACTCTTCGGCAAGCCATGGTGCTTGTATATCTCTGCGAAAACGAGCTCAGCGACTTGAGAAGCCTTGTAGTTGGTTCGGGAAGGTACAAGATGTACCATGCCAGTTAATAGGTCTATAAAAACAGAAATACTGTTAAACGAACCATCCCTGTTCGAAGACTCAGGGAGAGGACCTACAAAGTCGAAACCCATTGACTCCCAAGGGAAGGTCGGCACCTTCAGTGGGTTCAGCAAGCCATACGGCTTCTGATTAGTAGGTTTACTCTGTTTACACGTTGAACAGGACTCACAATAGGCCCGAGTATCCCTCGCGATACTCTTCCACCAGACATGGTCTCTGAGGTAGGCCAACGTCTTTGAAGATCCGAGGTGGGCCACCAGAGAGTGAGCCTCACTGATCACGATCTCTCGTAAATCACATTCACATACGCGAACGCTCTCTGGGATGCAGAGGAGCTCGCGACCTCCCTCGCGTAGGTAAACTAGTCCATTCTCCACTGAAAAGTTCTTGAAGTGGGACGGAGAGGCCAATATTTTGGATAGGGTAGTATCACTACGGGCGTTGGCACGTATAATGGGGAGCAAGTCGATTCCTAGTAATCGTGAGGAAACAAGGCCAGTGAGGGACGACAGCGAGGAACTCGCTAAGGTTGTGTCAGGGCCTGGCACAGCCCCAGCCGCCGGTAACTCTGAGTCCGGTATAGCCGGATCCCCAATCGAGCCTCGTTGTTCAAGTGGCTGTGCAGCCACGTTTCCACCGATGTTCAACATTGATGGACCCACGTCAGGCTCGCCCTCCGCTTCAATGCTGCCATCGTCGGACGAGGACGACCCCACGTCATCACCACTGTTACTGGATGCCGCAGCCCAATCCCCAGGACCCTCTGAAGGCCTTGGGCCGTGCAACACAAATTTCTTGCCTGCCATACGCTTTGCGAACGCCGTGGACGACTTGTTGGCACGGATCTTCGGTTTCAGCATCCATTTTGGCTTCGCACCAGAGCCCATACGTGTCAACATCATAGCGTTCGCCTCAAGTCCCGTCAACACTGGCGTAGAAACGTCGAGGTCACTGGGATCAGTAGGTGGATGATCCTCATCGTGTTGAGGGAATTCAGAGGGTGCGCGGACAGTCCCTAGAGACTCGTTGGAGTACAGACGAGATAAGGCATCCATGAGTATGTTCTCAGTTCCGGGAACATATACTATCTCAAAGTCAAAGTCCGATATCAACTCCATCCACCGAGCTTGTCGTCCAGACAAGTTTCGCTGATTCAAGAGGTGAATGAGTCCTTTGTGATCGGTGTACCACTTGAAGTGACATCCCAACAGGATGTCTCGATGTCGCCTCATTGTCTCAACTCCCGCGAACATTTCCTGTTCGTGCACCGGGTAGTTCTGTTGCGTGGAATTCAACTTGGCAGAGAAAAATGCAGCCACCTTCGCTCTTTTCCAGTCTTCACCCTGGCTTACGACACCGATGATTCTCTCGCCATCGATGTACATATTCTTTGACTTGTTCGAAGGCTCGCTGATGTGTCTCAGTCCAATTCCAGGATACAGTAGCTCCAGTTAGGGTGTGCAACACCCCCATGGGAACATGTACGCGGTCAATATTGTCTGCAAGGTATCTGACCGAGCCGAGAAACCCACTGAGAAGCTCACGGTTCGTCGGTACCTTCCAATTCAAGATGGTATCAACCTTAGAAGGGTCCATCTTGATGCCCTTGTCATCAACGATGTGTCCCAAGACGTGAAGTTCCTTGGGCAAAATCTGGCACTTCTTCTCACTCAGGTATAGTCGCTGCTCCTGAAGTATATCGAATATGATCTCACAATGCTTCGCGTGTTCCTCAATAGTATCCGAATATACAATGATATCATCAAGGTATACATCCATGAAGACGCCGATATACGGTGAGAACAAATGATTCATCAAAGCTTGACATGTAGCAGGTGCATTGCAATCGCCCTGTTGCATTACGAGACTCATCATATTCCCATCAGGCGTGGTTACTGCTGTGCGATCGAGGTGCTCTGTGATTATGCGGATCTGTTCATACGCTGCCTGCAAATCGAATAAGGACCGATACCGTCTGCCTGCCACTCGTCAGAGAATCCCATCAATAGAGGCTAACGGTGCTACCATCTTACATGTGTTGGCATTTCGCTCACGCAAGTCAAATACGGTACGTAGTTCTGGCATATTTTTTAGTTTATTAGGCTTAAAAATGCATAACATTGGGACGGTATTCTGAGCTGTGGTGACTTTCCATCGCCCCGTGGTAAGGTAATCCTGTTTCTTCTGTATCCATTGGCCGAGCAATGGCTCAGGGCACTTAGATGGTCTCCAGTGGTACGTTTTGCTTTCATTGATCAGAGGAATTTCGTGATTGACAGGCCTGAAGGGGGGGTAGTGGTGCCTTTGCCGCATCATCAAACAGTCCACGGGCTCGAGCAGATTCCAGGATGATGTTCCGCACGTCAGAGATGGCTTCTTCAGCCAATTCCACGGATCGTGATGCTAGCTCACTAACGTTGGACCCTTCAATGGGTAAGCTCTCCTCACTTCCAATATGGACTATGTTCTCATTCATCCCCATAGTGACTTTATGCTGAAATAGGAACGGGGTCCCAAGAATGATATCGTAATTTCCGAGGTTTGCGATGTCAAAGTACCTACGTTCATCAATTCCTTGATATTGAAACCAAGGCTTCGTGCCATAATTAATTTTCGAGTGCGAACCCTGTACTGCAAGATGAAGTGAAATTGGTTTCTCAAGCTCAATTTTCTTCAAATTTAATTGGTCTGCCAAGGTAGTCGACATGAAGTCAGACAGCGAACCTGAATCAATGAGGGCCCGAGCTTTATTCCCTTCAATGAAAACATCTACTACCATTGGCTTTGGGACTAGCCGAGTAAAGTCGTGAGGAATACCCGCATTACGTTGGATAGCAGTAAGTTTGTCCCGTTTGTGACTCACATGTCCAAGGTACAGGCTGGCTAGTCTCCTGCTGGGTTTACGTGGAGAATCTCCTACATACCCGCCCTCCAAGCCAGCGAGACCAACTTTCCAACCAGACCAGCAGCAGGTATGCAGTTGTTTCTTCTCCCAACGTTGAACCCGGGCTAACCACCAGTTGTAGAGTTGGAACTCTGGGTGCAAAGCCGTAGCCCGAGGCAGACGAAATTCGTGACCAAGAGCACAATCCCTTACATGAAAAACGTTCGGAGACTTGTATGAAACGGTGAATCTCCTGGCCAGGCCATGGAACCCGTCATTAAAGCCATCATCCAGGTACTCTTCTATGAACGCCGCTGTCAAGTCCTTACAGAGTGGAGGAGGAAGCTCCACAGAGGGGATACTATACGTATGGATAAGGTATGTTTGGTACCATGACACCATGTCACCATACTGAACAACGTCCGCAGGAATCAACACCTCATCCTGCTCATCACAGAATGTATCAAACAGCACAAACTTAACACCATTAGTTCGGTACATAGTAAACCGTGGACTCCCGCCCTCCATTCCCTTGCGATCACTCAACTCGAGCGTATCCGGCCAGTTGGTCTCAGCATTCATATGCCAAGTCCACCATTCATCCAGCATATCGCCCATGGGTTGGTCGAGCCATAACTCAGCATCCGCGGGAGTCCATGAATTACTAGATATGTCGTCCACACCGTTGTCATTAAGCTCCAAACCGATACTGTTGAGTTCGAAGCTAGTGGATCTATCTGCTGCCTTAGACAAGCGAT